TTTCTCACCGCTTCTCCCTCTTCACTACTTTTTCCCTCTCTCCCTAAAAAATGGCACTTGGTGACAAACGGTTGTAGCGTACGAGGTGTGTTCAAAAAGTAAGGTGACTTATATTTGGGCGGGCTACGTACATTCGATCTTCGTTTTTTTTTTGTTATGTCGGTACACATATTCCTAACATATGTTCACAGGTTCACAGTTTCAATCTGTTTGCACGTTTGCTTTTTTTTGTGAGACTGAAGCGTTAGACGAGTTTTGTGTGTTCGGCGATTTTTTGTTGTAAAAAAATGGAACAAAGAAAATGCATCAAATTTTGTGTAAAAAATGGAATACAGTGACAAAGTGACAAAAAAAACTTTGTAAGTGCTACAAGCGGTTCCAAGAAAGCGTCGAAAAAGTCAAACAAATGGTGTTGAAAAATCGAAGCACCATTACGGAAGTGAGTGAAGACGTCGGCATTTCTACTGGCTCGTACAATGCAATTTTTCCGAAGTTTTGGGCTTGAAACAGGTAGCAGCAAAATTTGTTCCGGAAGTGCTTAATTTTGTACAAAAGGACCGTCGATGGAGCGTCGCTCAAGAGTGTTAAACGACGTCAATTATGATCCTGATATTCTCAAAAAGGTCATAACTGGTGACGAATCATGAGTATATGATTATGACGTTTTAACCAAAAGAACCTAGAATCGCCAAGACCGAAAAAAACACGTCAAATTTTGCTTAATGTTTTCTTTGATTATCGTGGAGTAGTACACAAGAGTTCGTACCACAAGGTCGTACGGTCAATAAAGAGTATTACTTTGAAGTTATGCGCCGTATGCGAGAAGCAATACGAAGAAAACGTCCGGAATTGTGAGAAAATAATTCATGGATTTTGCATTACGATAATCCACCTAATCATCGTTGCTTGTGTCAAACTTTTTGGCCAAAAACAAAACTACAATCATGCCTCAGCCTCCATATTTGGAGTGATTGAGGAGATAAAGAAAAAATCGCTAGAAGAACTCAAGGTCATCCTAGAAAGTGCTCTTTTTTTATCTTGTTCATATTTGATGGCTTTATCAATAAGTGCTAGCAGTGATCTCGCCATTATTGTAATGTTATTTTTATTTTTTTTAATGATATACCTGTCTTTCATTACATTAAAGAACGATATTAATTAATCACATCATCAAAAGGGTTGTTCCGAAAAAGATCCACAATATCTGTGGCAGATCTGTCCACCAAGAACAGGAATACGCCGCACTTACCTTTCGAGGCCGTTTTCTAAACAACTTTACACGAATTTAAGCTCGTTTGTTCTCCAGGAAATTTATAGCACTCGGAGGTTTATTGCTCAAAACTGTCCCGCCGTGAATTTTATATTTAAAACTTCGTCAGCTTGTCGTGGTTTTACGACACTCCCGTGACGAAATACGATCTCGGCGATGGGATAAAGTTTTTACGGCCGCTTTATATAAATAAACGAGTGAGAGCAAGAATCAATTTTATGTTAAGTGCGACGTCTTACTTTAATTAAAAAATCAACGTCTCGCCCTCCTCCCGCAACGGAAGTAAATGCAAGTAAATTTAAGCGCGGTCCTGAAATTGGAAATGAAGAGGTCCGGATCTGTTTAGGCCTCTCTTTACTATCATTAGCACTAATGCTAACTGTATATAAAATTGTTGTAAGGATGAAATCGACATGACGGGAAGTATTAAAAACGTTTATATAGTCCTTAGTCAACGAAATGGTAACAAAACAAGTAAAAACGTAATTTATTAAAATTAATTTCGACGGCATCCATAGAATGAAACTGTTATTTTTCCTCATTTTATGAACATCTGACGTATAAATTAAAAGTGAAGTTGTGGGAATTGACAGCCCCAGGCATCGTCTATCTCATAAACCTTATATGATATGATCTTGCATTGTATTTTTAAAATTATTTCGATCAATTGCCACAAAAGTTGATCGGTAAATTCACAACGTTAAACTATTTACACACTACCATCTTGCTATACTCACTACTAATCCCAATTAATTATTTAAATTCCCGCGCTGCATGGTATAACTGACTCGCCCAGGAGTGTTGGGTGCTTCGCTTTTATAGAACGCAGCGCCCTCTGTTCCAGCCGTATTCTCGACAGGCGGGATCTCTGTAATCACGCTTCTATTCTCGCGTGTCTTGGAACGCAAACAGAGCCTCGCCTGTCCGGTTCGGCTCGGTTGTCACATTATTAACAAACTTAGGGCATAATGCCGGAATCATAAAATAAAAAAGTGTGCTACCATTCATGCGCTTGCGACCCAAAAGATCTATCATAACTCTCTCCATAACTGTAGAGCTGTATCTTTGGGATTAAACACACCCAACAAATGAAAACTGGCTATTGATCTCTTGGCTGAGTCTGCAGTCAGTGTTTTCTTCTCTCGTTCTTGCCTCTTGAACATGCAGTGTAGCTTAACAGGTCTGGGAAATTCCTCGACTTGCCTTTGCCTTTCCTTGGCCTCTCTCCGCCATTGCCGGGATTTCCCCACCTCCTCTCATACAATTTTAGTTTTAATTACCAGCAAAGTGGGTTCCACAGCGATCCCGTTTTTATTAAAATGCCTTTTGGCAAATGGCGTGGGCCGCACACATCAAAAGCGCAAAATGGAATCGTAAAATATGCCGGTCGGGATTTTTCATCGATTTGCCGAAAGTGCTGTTAATAACTCGTGTACCATTGGGTTATTAATTTTCGAGTTTCGGTTTGCGCTTTCGTTTTGTTTTTGTTGATGCCTCGGGCAGCCGAATATTGCCCCCTCCCCGGTTTTAATTTGGCCTTCAATCGCTCGGTTTTGTTTTTTTTTTCGTTAAATAACCGTTTAACATGGCAACCGTAGCGTCGGTTCGTCAATTTATATACTTTTCACGTGCGATAACTTCTTGCTTACGCTTTACATAATGTTGAGCGATTTGCGTAAGGTCACTCACCCATTACCGACATCAGTCGATTATAGAGAAACGTGATGTTCGTTACTTGGACAATATTATGTGACGGAAAATAACATCACCTCATTTTAATTACACTAGTAGCTAGGCAGAAAATTTAACAAAAACAATATTAGTTTTTTATTTTAGATTTATTTAAAAAAACGTGGTCAGACGTCTGCAGTTCATCCGGTGATACTAATAAAAAATTTATGTGGTACTTTAACCAAAATTTTCCATTAAAACCCCGTTCTCAAGGTTTCAACAAAAAGTCTTGGATTTCCGCGTCAGCAAAGAGTCCTAGCAAACATCTAAAAATTAAATAGTTTGCGCAAAAAGGCTACATTTCTGTAGAAATATATATGAAAAAAGTAAACATAAAAAATTAATAAATTTTGCAAAAAATAAATCAAAATAAAACTGCTTGGTCTATTGTGTCTGAGATAAGTGGAAGGAATAAAGGGCCAAAGAATTGTGTGATTAAGAACAATGATAATATTATTAAGAAACCGATAGCATTAGCCAATTTTATGATCAATTTTTTGATAGAAGCTCCTAATAAAATACTTGACAGAATTAAGAAGTCATCTAAAACGCACTAACATTCATTTTCAGATGTAATTTTAAGTTTCTCCGGAAGCATATACATTAGACCAGTCTCTCAAAGGGAAATATTGAACTTATTAAAAAAATTTAAAAAAGCAAAAATCTGATGGCTCCGGTGGTGCGCCTTTTGTAATATTCAAAAAGTGTCCGAGTCTATAGACCTCCCGTGATAAATGCATCATTAGCAGAGAGAGATTTTCCTACAGCCCTGAAATTCTCGCGTGTTACTCCCATCCTTAAAAAGCTTCCAATAGCAATCACGTCATCCTTTTCTAAAATTTCAAGCACGGCTTCAGATCAGGTAGGTCAACTCAAACAGCGATTCATTCAGTTTTGGATCACGCTATAAGTATATTGAGTTTGGAGAGCACCCTACAGGAATATTTTGTGATCTTAGAGGGGCGTTTGACTGTATGAACCACGAAATTCTTTTCGTAGGCAGTATGTTGAAATAAGGCAGGAGAGGGACAACTTGAGTCAAATTAAAAAATCTCAAGTCCAATCGGCCGGTGGAGGTGTACCGCAAAGTACAGTGCCTGTCCCCGTTTTATTTATCCTTTTGGTCAATGAACTTTTTGCTCAGCTGCCCAGTTTGTGTTTATCAGAGTGCGCTGACGACTGTTAAACTTTAATCTCTTCACACTGTTATCAAACTCTTGAGTAAATTCGACGACACGACTACACGTAACACAGACTGTTTCTCTATAAAAAAAATAAGACTAAAATTTAAAAAATATATATTTTACAAACACCAGTGTTACAGTACAGTTACAATAAACTTTCCCCAGAGCTAAATCCAAATTAAAATTTTTTCTTCTATAAAACTGTTTTTATATTTTAAAGGATTTTACTTATTTGTTTGTTATCACTGTATCACTTGACGAAATCCATGACACACAATCGAATATAAATATGTGGGATAATAAAGATGTTATATTAATAATACTCATACATTAATTATACGATATGGGGAGTATCTTTTCTATTTGATAACTTGTCAAAAAGTTACTGCTACTTGTGCTACTTTTGCATAGAAATTAGTGGCGATCTCAGAATAAAGATGCGGAGGTTGAAAAATTATGGCGCCCCACAAAAGGAAATCAAATAATACATTTGGTTAGTTAGGAATTTTCATGTCATTTTCACAATGTAGGGAATGGTAGAGGAGATCAGATACAGGGTGTTGTGGATTTCGCATCTTTCACAATGTTATGAGTTAATTTGAACTCCATTCTGACGCGGAATCAACATTTTGTTGAGTAGGACTTAAATGTAAAAAAGGGATTTCAAAACAATGTTGCCAAATAATCGGAAACACTTAGGTCGAATATTTCGTGTTAATTTGGATCTGATTTAATATTTAATATGTATGTAACGTCTAAATTTGAAACTTCTAGTGAACATAAAACAACAAACTAACGAATACCTCTTGTTGCAGGTGCAAAAAGCCGGGTCGATACTTGGACAACCTCCCATCGACATCGGTGGTCATTTGTTTTCACAACGAAGCCTGGTCAGTGCTCCTAAGGACCGTTCATTCGGTTCTGGATCGGTCTCCGCGACATCTGATCGAAGAAGTCGTCCTCGTCGACGATTTCTCGGATATGGACCACCTGAAAGGCCAGCTGGAAGAATACTGGACCAAGGAGCCCAAAGTTAAAATCGTAAGAGCGCAGAAACGGGAAGGACTTATACGTGCCAGGTTGTTAGGTAAGCTCACTTTAGGTAAGCGACCTGGTCGTGACGTCTTAGTGACATTATAACAGAAGTATTCTATTCTATATTCCATAGGGTATTTTCCGAAAAAGAAAACACCCGTTAAAAGAAATTCGCCTCGTTTCGATGCAAGAAGAAAAAACAAAAAAAACATCTCTTGTTTTGAAACGAACTTTAATAAGCGCGCGGAAGTTGCGACAGTAAACTCGCGGGAGTTACAATCGTACGTGACTAACTTAAATTGGTTCAAAAACCAATTAACCGGAAGATAGACACACAACATGTTGTGCCGAACCCGAACGGAATCGATTTTCAATGGATACGATTGCCATGTTTGTTAATAGGAAGTTTCCGGTCATTCCTCTGTAAGACGCCTTGGTTCCGTTTAAGATTCAACTTAAAATAAATATTACGACCCCTTTTTTTTATCGCCATCGATTTTTTAACCTTTTAGTTACCAATTTCAAAATTTGATTACGCCCGAATACAAATTTAAGAATTAAAATTACTATTAGAATACGTTCAAAATGTTTGTTTGACCCAAAAAATAACAGATTAAGATAATAATGATGAAAATTAAAAAAGGAAAGACAAATTTTAACATAAAATTGCAAAACCCACAAAACAACAAGCCAAACAAGATAAAACCACATTTTGCTTTTGTTTATACCAGAGTTATACTTTAAATGCATTAATCCTTTCATGCTTCGCACAAAATAACTCGGGTTCATTTTTTTCAATGTCTTCAAAAACTTCGTTCAAATGTGGCTGTTAGTCATCAGCTGCGTGTAATTTGATTTAAGTCTTTCCAAGAAAACACAAAAATACCAAAGGTGAGACGATCCAGAGTGGTAGTCGTGCCAGTGCGAGTTTTTCAACACTGGTTATTTATATGAAAAAAGGCACGTCGAAATTGAAAACTGTCGAATTCATTTGCCAGCGACCATGTTGGCTGTTGAACGCGTTAACCAATAAGACCTAACGGCGACAAGTTTAAGGGACGTAGGTCTCCTGCATCTCCTTCCACAGTATTCTGTTTTGTGCCTTCTGTTTCCAGTTTGCCGCCGTTTTTTCTTAGGTCGTCTTCCCATCTCTTACGGGTTTACCCCGATTTCTCTTATTTTCTCTTGGTCTCCATTCTATCAATCTTTTGGCCCACCTATTGTCACTCAAGCGCGTTATCTGACCAGCCCCTCTCCATTTGCCCTGAGTAATTTTTTGTGTGTTATTTTAACTCCTTGTCTCATTAGCCTGTTTGGTACCATGTCTCTTTTTGTAATTCCCAGCATTGCTCGTTCCATTTTTCTTTGAATTACTTTCAACTTATCTAAGGACTTTTTAGTCAACATAAGCGTTTCCGAGCCATATGTGATCACTGGCAAAATGCATTGCATGCAATTTACCAAATGCGGCCCCAAACTTATACGGCGTTGAATCTCGCAAGTTCGATTATCTTTACCTATTCTAATCTCATGTCCCAGTGTAGCTATAAATCTAATGTATCTCGTACGTGTGTATTTTCATATTTTCACCGGCAACTAGATTGGTCATGAATTTGTTTTCTGAAAATTAATGTTAAGACCTACTTTTTCTATTGCCTGTTTGAGTTGCTTTGTCATTTCGAGGGCTTCATTTAAACTTTCGGCGTTAATGACAGTATCACCGGCAAAGCGCAAATGACTCGGGTATTCGCCATCGATATTTATTCCCTTTTTTCTCCCAATCCAGTTTCTTAAAAGCATTGCTAATAGCTACATGTTAGACCTAGTCTATGGACTATTTGTCAATCAATAAAATTAATAATACTCGTCATCTAGGGGCTCGCCACGCAAAGGGCAAAGTCCTGACGTATCTGGACTCGCACTGCGAGTGCACCGCCGGGTGGTTGGAACCGCTACTGGACCGGATAGCTCGTGATCCGACAACGGTGGTGTGCCCCGTCATAGACGTCATCGACGACACGACGCTGGCCTACATGTACCATGACAGTACCGGCGTTAACGTAGGCGGTTTCGACTGGAACCTGCAGTTTAACTGGCACGCGGTACCCGACAGGGAGAAGAAGAGGCACAAAAACACCGCCGAGCCGGTCTGGAGCCCCACCATGGCCGGCGGCCTTTTTAGTATCGACAAGGTAAACCTACCAACGCAAACATGAAATATGAAACATGAAAAATGAGCGGCGAATACCAGATAGTAAAAAAACAAATTACCAAAAAACAAACGGACGAGATATCAGCTGAAAATTAGGGATTATTTATTGTCTATGGTTCAGCTGCCGAAAAACACTGAAGTTAGGACATACGTAATAGTTTATTCCAGGGAAACTGAATAGCAAACCATGGCTGTGTTTTAATTATATTACTTATTAACAGCAATGGTTTTTTAAACCCATATTTGCTGTTTTTAACATACGTAGTTTAAATTGCGTCGCCGACTTGATTTTAGTACTGCTTATACTGATTGTAGGTGTGGTTTGTACACACAATTTTTATGGAGACGAAGCTGTCCTTCACGTTAGCTACTGTCCTTTAGATTCGTTATCGATTAGGAAGGTCTGGTTCGTATTTTATCGGCATTTTAATGTATGGATCCCGGTATTACGAGAAAGCCAATACGCTATATGGCTGATAATCCGACACTCTGTCGCTTCGGCTTACAAGACTTAAACTTCGTATCGATTCGGGTTAAAACGATAGATGCATGTATGGTTTATATGGCGAAACCGATATATATGTCGGCGCCCTTAGCTTTAAGTGGTCGATATTTTCCCATATTTCGTTTTGAGTGTTTATTTATGTTTATTATTTATTGGTCTAACCTAAACAGTTATAATTCTGTCATTTGTAATATTGTGGATCCATGGGAACCCCAACCTTGGTATTTTTTCCGAAATGAACGGAACGCGAACCGGAGAAGATAGTCTGACTTTATGAAACCACTGGTTAGGTCGGGTAGTTTTGTTTTTGATAGGCTATTTTATAGTTGATCTAGCGGGTCGCGGATCGTTGGATTCCCTTTAATAATCAATTAAGTGATTAGATTATTCATTTCTTTTAAACACTATGTTGTGCATTCTTTTAATATGCCCGAGAAATCTAACCACCCCCAGCGGGTTTGTGTTTCTATTTTATTTTTATTATATTATTTCGACGATTTTCTTACGACCTCCGACATATATATCATAATATATAGGGAATCCGTTTAAATTGGACCAAATAAACGGATCACAGTTTGAGAAAGGAAAGTTTCTTTGATATTGGTGAAATTTTTGGGGCTTGCCCGCGGAGGCGAGATATACGCAGTCTATATATTAAATAATTTATTATAATAGAATTGCAATAATTGTATATTGCCATCCTCAAAATAAATTTCTCGTGAACTGGACTGCTAACAGTCTTGGAATAGCTTTCAGCTGCTTGAAGGGAAAAAAGTCACAAGAACTCAAGTTAAGCGACTAAGGAGGCGGATGAACCACAGGAATATTTTTCCAAACAAAAACTGGTTTATTGAAATTGCTGTTTTTCAAAAACCTTGGCTGGCCGTTTCGCCTTGAGTTAAAAACTCTTTGTGGACTATGCCGTGGATAGTAATAAAACAACTCATCAATCGAATCCAAAAAGTCAAGCCATCTTTCCCCTCTTGATGTCATTTTGGTCTTGCGAATGTTTTTTGGAACCATTTTTACCCAGATTTTTCTCATCCTCAAATGTGTCCCTGATCATTCTTACTGCCAACCGAGATTCTGTCGACATTTTGATCGACAGAATCGGTATTGTATAATTGTCCGATATTTCAAGCAGGTTAATCTAATTTCATAACCAATACCCTCCATTTCCAATATCGACGAATGAGCTACCAATATCTAGAAACAAATTTATCGAATTGTTTTCCGCTACCGAAACGAAGCGCTAAAATAATTTATCAAAAACAAACAGTGGTTGGACTTTTGGCTCGAATATTTATTTGGGCCAAAACGGAGCGGGCGGCCAAATGCAAATGGCCAACGAAGGAGAGAAGAGGAGGACGAGGAGGAGGTAGGAGAAGAAAACGCGGTCCGCATCCGGAATAATGTCTCGGTTAGATTAAGCCAAACTCAAATATTTAAATTCCCAAGCCTAGGATGTTTAAACACAGGGAAATTTTATTTGGACAGCGCCGGAACTGGCTACGGCAAATATGAACGTAGCGGCCGTTTTGTAATAAAATTTGAATTCTCCGGCTCGGAGAACTTTATAATGAAACTGATTTCGGTTTAGTGGAAAATGTGCTTTGTTACCGCGCATAATGCAAGTCCGGCCGGCGACTTTGGTTCGAAATAAAAAATGAGCTTCGAAATTTTTAATAAATCTTTATTTTGTGCATTTTGTATACTGAATATTTCTGTTTGTCCTACGTCATAATAGCTACAGCATTGAGGTATTTGAAGTCCATTCGTTACAAAGAAAGAGTAATGAAACGAGAATCGGACCAAAGTTGCTGAAAAAACATCAAACAAAAATGGGCATTAAAAAAAAACATCCTAACAGCTATCATCTTAAAACGCCACTTTTTAGATCAGCTTTTTCTAGTCGATTTCGATGAAATTCTATCAGTTTTGATGTAATTTTCGATACAATAAGTGCCTAAGCAAGCATGGTACGATATATATCTTCGGTGATGTCAAAAATCAGTAAATAAATGTAAAACGTAATAAACAAGTTGGTGTAGAATTTAGCTGTTTATGTTATTGTTTATTGCCACGTATAAAAGCAAAACCATTATTTTTCTGTAAAATTACCACGTCAGTTTCGTTTCCCACGGATCCGAGCGACTTCGGCCATTTCCGGGATATTACTGCACGTGTTTGGAAGCAATCGGATGTTTTCTTCAATTTTACCGCGCGGCTTGAACATTGACGTTTCTCATTTCTGACGGCTACATCAATTCATGTTGTTTTGCAAAACTATTTCCAAAAACTAACCATCGTAGAAAAAGTATAGTGTGTAACACGTTTGGTAATTTTTTTTTCTACTCCTGTCTGTAAAATGCCTAATTACTCACCGATCTAGCGTGTGGGAAAGGTCACTTTACCACGTCAGTTTCGTTTGACATGAATCCGAACCACTTCGGACATTTCCGGAATTTTACCGCACGGATTTGACAGCAATCGGATGTTTTCGGAGATATTTCCCACAATTTGAATTTTGACGTTTGTCAATTCTGACAGTCATGTCAGTGAATGTATTCACGTTGTTTTGCCCGAAAAACTAACGGTCGTAGAAAAAGTGTAGTATGCAACACGTTCGGTAAGCTTTTTAAGTCACTCGCTTATTAAACACTCGCTCCGCTCGTGTCAAATAAACTCATGAGTCAAATGCCGTTTACCGCACTTGTTGGATAATATACTCTAAGCCACTCGTGACTCAAATGCCGTTTACCACACTTGTTGCATAATATACTATTGTGTCCAGATTATTGTAAATGACACCCAAATAGCCAACTCGCATTTATATATAAATATTAAGTTTTAGATTAAGAAACAAATGGACGTATACCCATAGAGACGAAATTGATTTGCATATGCTTGACTAACATAACAAAAACGGTCCTTGTATTGGTTATCTAAAGGCTGCCTGGGTTATCCATGTCTACCAATAAAGTTAAAATACAGCCAATGCAAAAGCACATAAAACACGTTCGTTCAGCGCATTTTATATTTAGCCGTAAACGTATATACTCCGACATAATGCACCACTTAAATTTTATAGCACCCCTTGGCGGTCATAGTTTTTGATGCGTTTCCGGGGGATATACAAAATGTGCGCTTCGCTATTTTTAACGCTACGGACGCCACTGAACTGACAAAAAGTTGAAGCGAGGAGAAAAAAATTCACAACAAAATGTTTTTTTATTTGAGACATTGCGTTTTCCTTATTTTTCGACGTTGTTTCTAGTAATAAGGGGTTGTTTTGGCTCTAGCTTAATTAATATTATTGACTACCTTTAATTTGAGATAAAGGCAACTAAAACTACGATTTTTTCTGTCTCTGGACATTTTCACATTTCTTGCTTCATTTACGAGGTAAGAAAAATGAAACAGTATATTATGCAGCAAGTTTTATAAACGCAATTTGACTGAAGAAGAATGTATTGCAGCCACGTCTGCTTCCTAAAGACTCGCGCGTACGCAGGAACCGGAGCGACATCAGACAAGCTTCTTCTCGGGAAGACGGCTCGAATGTTCCCTACCGCAAGCAGCCCGTTCGTTCGCTGAAGTCAGTGGAAACGAGAAGTCGTGTAACGCGAAAATATAATCAAATCACTCAGTGAATATATTCGTGCTGTTGCTTTTTTGGAAATTTGTGGCTAAAGTGCTGTTTATAAAGCCTGTTGCATTATATACTCTTTTTTATTCACAAACAATAGAGAAGTGCAAAATGATCAAGCACCCCTTTAAGTATTGTCGTATATTTTCTAAACACCCTGTAGCACCGTATCTGTCGTGATATTACTCCACAGAGGCAATTAGGTTTGTTTTTATAGAGATTTACGAAATTTGAATGAGCCAGAAGATATTTCTTTTGAAAACGATGTTTCTGTTTTATTATTCTGTGGAACGAGTCAAGCTATATAAAACGGCATAATGAACTCCATTAGCTTTATTAAAATGTTCTGTTCTCGTCGGAGTATATTATATTGAATCCGCGTGGTTTTCATTCCTTTTGTCTTGCCGGTTGCTTTTGGCGGGTTGCTCTGCCGAGTTTTCTTTTTAAATTCCCTGGCTCATTCGGAGGTAATTATGTAAGAATTTGTACAAGGAATTTGGACGGTTTATGAAATATCATCCTCGTCAAAGAACCCGAATAGTTTTTAATGTTAGAAGTTCAATGTTTACCGGAGGATTATCGGATTGAGGTCATATAATTTAATGAGTGAATCTCAAGATCGAAGGACATTGCAGCGTAGTATTCGAGAAAAGTAGCTTTTAAAATTTGATATGAAGTGCCTCTGCATATTTCGAAGAGAGAGAATAGTGACAGCGTGAAGCGTTTGTTTAATAAGTTCAAATAGGAAAAACTGATTCTGAAAAGAATACATTTTTGATAATATAATAGAATAAATAGCAAAATATAAATAAATAGGATAGGATAGTACTTTGTAGAAATAAAAAAATATATAAATAATATGACAATATAACGTGGGAAACGTTTTGCAAATGGATTGGAATATAGTTTTTAAAAAAGATGAAGGTTCCATCTGAGCTTGGAAAGTAAGAATTATTAGTTAATTAAAAGAAAGAACTAGAAAGTTAGTATCAATAAACATTAGGCCATCTCTCAGACAAAATCGTCAAGTTTATAAGATGCTTAGTAATAGGCTGTACTTGTTTTTGAATCCTTGAATGTTTTAAGACATTAGGTACAGGATTATAATATTTATATATATTGTAGGTAAATGATCTTTCAAACAGTTTATAAGTTACCTGACCGTATTTTCCAATCTTGTAAGCATATGTAAGATAGGTTTTTTTAGACTCTTTGAATTCTGTTCGCGCCCTTCTGAACATACATCTGCGATTATATACCTGAGATTTTAATCTTAAATTTGTGTCGATGATCACCCCCAAATTTGACGCATTTCAAAACAATCTCCAAAATTTTCTAGCATTTTTTATTCATGATCCTCTGCTTCAAATACACAGAAAAGTTGTATGTCATTTGCGATTAGACTAAGTTCCAATAATATTGTAACAGACGAAAAAGAATGACGGTTATAAACTACAATTTATTCGAGACTAAATGTCAATCTATAGAAATTATCAGTCAGTTTGGCGAAACGTAGCAGTTTTTAAGTAATTATTTTAATCCAGAACGGTACATCTGACAAAAAAAAGAAAACTATTCAGGAAAAATATTCCCCTGGAAAAAATTCAGCGTACGCCATTTTTCCTTTAAAGTTACGCTATACAAATCGCCGACCGACTGCACAGAAGAATCTTTTCGCAAAAGTTACGACGTTTAGACGTTTACAGGAACGCCTTGTAAATAAAAGTTGACTGGTTAATGAGGCGAGAAGACAAAACGAGACGCGTTATTAACGAACGAAAAACGGGGCCCTGGAGGGACGTTTTCGATATAACTTCGTCGAAGAGGCCCAAGTAAATAAAAATAAAAAATGACGCGAAAGAATAATGGTCCAAAGTGCGCTTATAAAACGGATATAACTCACATTTTTAATATAGTGAGTCTCCCAATAAATAACGAATTGTCCCTGTACGGCAGAATTGATATACGGCGCTACCTACTGTTATTTATTTAACATACTTTTAAATAATTGCACTACATACTTCGAAATAAACCTCTATCATACGGCATTACATAAAACGTAAATGGCGCGAATCTGTATGGTCCTAACCTTAAAATAGAATACCATAGAACAATGTTTAGAAAAGTACACTACACCTACCTGCAGCTATGTGTAGCTACGAGTGTCTACGGTGATTAGGGTGCCTTAATTTTAAGCACGACTTTAATTTTGGTTAGTTTACTTTTGCAAAGTGAATGGAATTCATTGTTACCTTCGAAATTTTCATTTAGTTTCCAAAAAAAAAATATCGATATGACCTCCACTTTTTTGTCATAAGATGTCGTATAATAATATGGTTGACTTTCCTCCCCTAATGCATGACAATTTATGAATATTTTTCCCGTCGTATATATCTCGCGGGTCCCATATTTTTTGCCATCCGCTGAGCATTCGACCAAACCGTCGGGATACGCAGACGACACGGTCCGAAATATCGACACGGACACTTTTATTTTTCCGCAATAAATTAAAGCTTCCGCATCGAAACTGTCGAATACCGGGGGCAGTATGCAGACGTGACTTCGGTGTTACGGCCGCAGCCCGAAAAGGCTGATAAATCACACGCCGCGTTTTAAAAAAAAAAATCCCCCCGCCTTTATTTTGTTTTTCGTCCTTTTTCTACAGGAATTTTTCGAAAAGCTGGGCACCTACGACGAAGGCTTCGACATATGGGGCGGCGAGAACCTCGAGCTCTCGTTCAAGACGTGGATGTGCGGCGGCACGTTGGAGATAGTGCCTTGCTCCCACGTCGGCCACATCTTCAGGAAGAGGTCGCCGTATAAGTGGAGGAGCGGCGTTAACGTGTTAAGAAGGAACTCGGTACGATTGGCCGAGGTGTGGCTCGACGAGTACGCCAAATACTACTATCAGAGGATTGGTAGGCAACACTTTATATTTACACTTCAGGTGGTTCCTTAAATGCATTATTAAGGGTCAGTCTCTCAATGTAAAGTTTAAGCCAAAACATCAGAAATCCTTTTTTAATGACCCGCTGATACCTGATAATTATTTTTCTTTAAAAAAATATTTCCATTAAAATTCATCCAGAGCGTTTTAAAAACGACGTAACAAGAAAACGTTTGATGACGTCATGATGCATTAAATGTCAGCCGATGTATGAAGTGTTTTTTATAGCATATTTGTTTAGTAAACGCCATTTGAGTCACAAGTTTATTATATTACCGCACGGCTTGAATTTTGAAAACGTGCCCAAAAATTAGTCGAATCAAAAGTATAGTGTGCCACAGGTTTGGTAAACTTTTTAAGTCTCTCGTTTATTAAATACTCGCTCTGCTCGGGACAAATAGACTAGTGAATCAAATGCCGTTTTCCTACTCTCGTCTGTAAAATACATAATTAATTACCCACCGATCTAGCGTGCGGGAAGCGTCACTTTACCACGTCAGTTTCGTTTCCCACGAATCCGAGCTATTGCGGACATTTCCGGGATTTTACCGCACGGGTTTTGGGAGCAATCGGATGTTTTCCGATATATTTCCCACGCTTTGAATTTTGACGTTTGTCAATTCTGACGGTCATGTCAGTGAATTTATTCGTGTTTTGCGAAAATGTACCCAAAAACTAACGGTCGTAGAAAAAGTATAGTATGTAACAAGGTCGGGAAACATTTTAAGTCACTCGTTTATTGAATACTCGTGAGTCAAATGCCGTTTACCGCACTTGTTGCATAATATACTTTTGAGCATTTCTATTAATAATTTCAATTACGACTGATGAAGGATTTTTGAAGGTCCAGTCGTTATAAACCTAGTTGTGGATGCTTTTTAGTATCTGAGTTTTATTTAAAGAATGACTTGTTTACATCGGCAGAACAACGCGGCATTAAATGTGTTCGCGTGACAATAGTGCATCGTGTTTTCTATGTACTTTGAGTTAGTGTATTTCAATATTTGGCAGCTTTGTTCCAAATCTACAAAACAAAACATTTCTAGCAAATAAAAAATTGGACCTATTCTTATAATGTTTGAACGCCTTATATTTTGATTTCTAGCAAGTCGATATACAAGGTGGTTCATAATTATTTTTTTAAAAGGCAAAACATTGAAATTAAGAATTGGAGATTATCTTTGTTCGTTAGTAGCTAGTTAAAAGAGTCGTTTTTTTTTTTTTTAATTTTGGCAATATCGTTTCCCCGAGTTGGATACAGATTCCAACATTTGGTGGGTGGTGGGGTAAGCCTAGAGTATGCATTAAGTATACAAAATCGTTGTGTCGAATGACATTATACTCGATATTGTATCCAGTACTAAATAAAACTTTCGTCACTTGATGTTTGAATGTTCATCGAAGTGGGGAATTTGTGCAGGGCAACCACCTTAGCACGTAGCATCTCCACCAGATAAGTGCATTTTTAATTAAGAATATTTTTTTCGTTTAATCTCAGGTAACGACAAAGGCGATTTCGGCGACATCAGCGGCAGGAAAGCGTTGAGAGAAGGGCTGGGGTGCAAGAGCTTCAAGTGGTATCTGGATAACGTGTATCCGGAACTGTTCATACCAGGGGAAGCTGTCGCTAGCGGCGAGGTATATATACTACTAGATTTTATTTTTCTAGCAATCCAGTTTGATGGCATCAATTTTTAAATTTTTAAACTTAAGAACGAACTACGATATCAAGAGCGATCCACAAATTACGTCTCACAACATTTTTCTGGCCAATTAGAGCCCTAGAAGTTCTGACAGTGAAGTTATAATCGCGGCTTAAGGTGATGCCGTTTTGGTTGGATTATAAAGAATAATTATAAAAGAAGCAACAAAGAAAAAGTAATTTTATTTTTCGATTTTATTCAGTTGTTTGCAAAAATGAAAACAAACATCCTTTCTTTTAAGTTTGATGAATACGTACGTATCAATCTTTGCTTCATTCCTCTAAAATAATCCGATTCCAAATTCGTGTGACGTAATCTATGCCTGTCCCCCACCGCATAATTAGATCGAAAGGACCGAACCAGGAATTATAACTAGATCGCCAATATTTCACGATTAAATTCTGTCATGTAGATACGCAACAAAGGTTACGGAGGCAAGACGTGTTTGGATTCGCCGGCCCGCAAGAGCGACCTACACAAGCCCGTCGGACTATACCCTTGCCACCGACAAGGCGGCAACCAGGTAATTCTACTAATCCGGCATTGAACGTTGTTCCTTTTCAGGTCGCGAACGACTTGAGCGTTTGCCTGGATTCGGCCGCAAATCCCGACGATATACACAAACCTTTAGGTTTGTGGCCGTGCCACGGTCTGGGCGGTAACCAGGTAACGAGTCTTCACGACAATTTGAGGTGTTGAAGGGGATAAATATTAACCAGTAACCGGTGGAAGGAAGAGTGTACATATGGTCCATAACAATGTTTTTCACGTCGCTACTGGTTTGGGTTACTCCCACCTTCCTCCGTCTTGATTACCACTATGTTCTTCCTAGTTTATGTAAATAGGAGCGCCCCACCCTTATCTGGTAGCAAAGGTTCTTCTTCTTCTTTATTTCAGTTGACCACGACCGGTAAGCCAAGGTTGGAGGCGTTCTTCTTCTTTACTTATTTTGAACGGCAATCATCCATCTTCTCGATATGAAATCATTCGGCTTTCCAATTGGTCCTTTTTGGCTTTGATAATCCGCTGTACATGCGTATTGTATCTAAATTTCGAGTTGTCTTTTTGACGACCTGTTTTTTAATTTGGGTGCGAATGGAACTTTTGAAATTATGATTAAAATGAATCACTTCTAATATTCTTTTAATCGATAAGAAACAAAATTGGGAAGTTAAGTAATTAATTAAACATTAAACACGTACTAAAATTAAGATTAGACCAAGAAATGTTTGAGGGTCATATATAACAAAACTTCGACACAGACACGTGTGCTAAACGTGAGTTTTTCCACAATCGTTAAATACAATATTTCTCAAAAACAAATTACTTTTTAGTTAAATAGTATAAGCAAGCGGCTTCACTTTTTATACTTACAGTTTGCAAAAGTTACACTCGGGGTATGTATCCAATTATACCCAACTGCCAAGATGTGCCAACGATTGTGGAAAAATGTTATTTTTTAAGTGTCTGCCGTACGTTTGTCGGATAGCTAGCTGAGCGATTAAACGTCGAAGCCCCGATCGGATTATTGAAAAATGATTAGAGAGAAAGGAGAAAACATTTAAGCCAGGTTCATCGGAAACCTCCGCCGAACGCGCGATCGGCTGCCATTTTCATCCCCGCCCGGTAATTGAATTAAATCGAAACCCTGTTACGGTTATTATATGCTGCCCGGTTCACCGTTTTATTAACGGCAACGTATAATTCGGATCAAAATAAATTAGTTGGGGCTATTATAAAACTACCTTCTCTTCTCTACTTTTAATGATTACGGACGGGATTTGATTTTGGGAGATTTAATAAACGATTAAACGTTCATCAAACGGCCGGGATTAATTCTATTATCGACGAGTCCATTTTAATTAAATTCGTTCGTGTACCGTTGCTTTGTGATATTTCTTCGATTTTTGAATCGTAACTCTTTGAACTCTGATACAGTGCACGTCGGCAAAAATTTTATTGATACATATAACATTTTATCTGCAAAAAGAATAAAATGCTCTTCGAATTCGTCAACAGGACACCAAAAAAAAACATAGTCTATACCCGTCACTCGCGGCGAAAACATAATCCGGAATAATAATGTCGACCGAATAATGCTGACGATAAATGGAAAGTTTTGAATAATTCATGTATCCCATACAAATTCCTGTCTGCGCGTTGGCTGTTCAATTTTCATTCGTTTTGACAATGTTGTCGCGAGTTTCAATCAAAACTAATTATTTAAATGGGAAAAAACCGATCAACAAACAGAAAAAGGCGATATCGCGAGTGAGGCGGGCGGGTTCTTAAAACCTAAAACGAGGTTATAATAGGTTCAAAAATTTGACAATTAAAAGATCTTCGTGAATTTGTTTGAGGAGTTTTTGATAGTATAAGTAACAAAATTGTTTATGAATTTGTTCACAAAAATTCTGTCTTCTACTTTGTTAAACTTTCGATTAATTCCAACGAAACGGACTTTTCCCTTTTCTTCAAATCTCGTCTTACTGGTTTTCATGAGAGCAGTTAAAATTCACTTTACCGTGCGTTGATTTGCCGCACAAGTTTCAAAATAGTATTTGGACGGTAATTTCTTTCGCAGAACTTAAAAATCGCAATGAAAAAGGTATACTAATCACATATATCAACAGACTCGGGACTCTTTGATGCAAAGACGTTGATCGCAAAACCCACACTCACCGAAGCTTCCAAATATCGAAAACACAAAGGGGCGCTTCCTTTGATGCATTTTTAAACCCCTTTTGACTATGGTCCTTGAATGTATAATGCATGGAATTTGCGCGCCAATTGGAACGAGCGCGAAAAAATAAAACCACAATGGCAATTTTGTTCTTTGCCAAATGTTCGGCGGACGGCGTTGATAAATTCTAATCTATCAATACAACTGCCTCAATTCCGTTCTATCTTAATTTTCCTAGTGTTGGTAGCGGTATTAATATCTTCAACCAAATGCAAAATCAGTGCTGACGAAGCTTGTTATTCCCATAACGGTTAGGTTTGTCAATGAACCGAATCCAGGTGAAGCTCAAAAAACATAATTTTGTATTGACACACCGCTAGCCTGGACCAAGAAAACTTCTAATTAGGACACCAAGCGTCAAGTAACAGTAGCAGAAATGTGTGTGTGAGTGTCGAAAACCGACAAATTTTGTTAATCAGAAGTAAAATTATACTTACGTCTCGCCCCACGCCTCTGTGCATCCGATCGTATATCAAAACATTCGCAACGGTCGGCGCATCACTTTTGTCGCTAATTGACGTAATTACGAAGATAAATCGCTTCAGAGGATGCATTAATTACAGCCAGTCACGCATAATTATGCCTAATCGCGTTATTATTACGTAGCCTGTATGATCAGATAGATATAGTGGCTAAATATCGAGCGGATCGTGTCGAGAAAGTTGGCATCGGGATTTTGTTTATTTAGGTTAGAATGTCGTTTTGGAAAATAATAAAAGCGTTCTTGGCGGTTCGCGTCCACAAATGCATCTAATGTCAGGGTCACGCGAGAGCCAGGTACAATAGTATTTTTTAAACATTTCGGAGTATTTTAAAGGTTCGCTACGCAGCTTATTTAAATGCAAAGCTTTTCCGCTTTGTCCATTACTGGCATATTCCGATTTTTTTACTGTTTAAAATTCATTTTACTAGTAGTAAATACAAAAATAAAAAAAAAATCCATTCTAGCGGTCCCCACTGTGCTCCGCTGGATTAAAAAATGTTTTTAGGTTGTAAAAATTTAAGTTTATTTATAAAAATGCCGTTTACTAAACTTTTTGCCTAATATGCTAAATACTAATAACATTTTAATGGGTTGTTATTATAAATAAATTTCGTCACAATTTTTTTATTCGTGATTTTTAATAAAGATGAAAATTGAAAATGAAAATTTCAAACGCTCCAATAGAGCATAAAAAGTGCAGGACTTACAATAGTCGATGAAAATGTTGATGTCTAGTTTAGGGACACCCTGCCCTGTACATAGCTGTATTATTAGTATTATTTTCGTCGATAAACTAACCTCTAAACACTTCCTTGACAGAGTAACAGGTGTGATAATTTTGTTACCCATTTTTGAAATATACAATAAATATATATAAAAATAATAAAATATAATAAATGATAAAAGATAAGTTCAATAACTTCACCCCAAAGTGTGTCGATTTTGGCACCTAGTTTCACAAATCAAGCTGAATTCGAGGTCAATGTCTAGATGTAAACAAATTCTCATAAACTTCACCCCAAAGTGTGTCGATTTTGGCACCTAGTTTCACAAATCAAGCTGAATTCGAGGTCAATGTCTAGATGTAAACAAATTCTCATAATTAATAAATGCCAAAGACATTACATCCACAGCAGAGCTCAGGCAGGTCATTAATACATTTCTCAAAACAAGGCAGTCAAAAAAAATACAAACTCCTCTCTCATGACTCCTGTTCAGTAAATACCTGCAGTTGTAAATCCTCAAGCCATTCTTATTAAAATATATTTATGAATACTTGTGTAAAAAGTATTTAGCATCTACCTAACTTAAATAATATTTTCAGTTTTGGATGTACAGTAAGGCGGGTGAAATCCGACGAGATGAAGCCTGTGTCGATTACAGTGGACAAGAAGTCATCCTATACCCCTGCCACGGAAGTAAAGGCAACCAGTATTGGGATTACGATCCCGACAAACAGCTCATACGTCACGGTAGCAGCGATAAGTGTCTGGCTATCAACGAGGCGAAAAATAAATTAGTCATGGAACACTGCAACCTGGACAGTGCCCACCAGAGGTGGTCCTTAGAAAATTTCGACCCGAGCAAACTTTAGTGAATCCGCGCGTGTAGGTAAAACGTTATGACGACGAACGTCTAATCACTAACGTGAAAAGTTTTCGATACTTTGTCGATATTTTTACTCTGTGGTGCTCTATTTGTTGACGATTTCGGCCCGTGATGTGATGCAAATTCGTTAAACGAACATATCCACTTTATTTCGCATATCGTTTCGCATATCAAAGCGTTTTATTCGAAGAACTACGCCATTGAAAATTTTAAACATTCCATAAAAGTATTGGTTTTATATTATTATACGTTTTTGAAAATATATATATAAAATGAAGTATTCTGTTCAAAGCTAAATGGCGAGCTTATAGAACAATTCAACGTTCTCGGAAATCCCCTCCCCCCCCCCACCCAAGCCCTTTGGTGACGCAACAAATCGCCACAGGGTGTTTCAAAATTCAGTACCAAGATTTCAGGCACATATTTTTCCGATAAACATGTGTCCGCAAATGCTTCGTGGCACATATATAAAACGTTAACATTGTCAATATTTTTTCCTTTACATCTCTTGCAGCTTTTGAGGTCAAAATTAAAGCCCTCTCCACCTGAACTTTCTTGGATTTATTTGGATACTTTTTAATTTCTTGTAATTGATTAGTAGTGTCTGCCGCCATTACAAAGAAAAAATTAAAATAAATTTTCTTTCTTCTCGGGCTTCGCTAATTTTAATTCAACTATTAAATGATGGTCATAAGTGGTTTTCTTATTATTTGAAAGTTGTTTTAATTCGTTTAGGAATAAAATAGAAAATAAATCAAAAAGTCCAATTTCAATTTGAAAACTATATTCCCAAAATCTGCGTACTGAATTTTGCGACACCGAAAAGGTATTTTAAAATTATTTCTGTTGTCGAAATGACGAAAAATTTATAAACATTCCAACAAAAAATTCTTTTCGCTAGTTAAGACTCATTGAAAGTTGAAACTGAAAAATAGATAAACAGTTGGAATATTTACATCTGTTATTGTCGAATTTACCAGTGTGATTAAATGCGGCAATTTTTCTATTGGCACTTGGTACGCCCAGAAATAAGGTTCACTAAAAATAAAAAATCTTTCAGGTAATGCCTTCATCGATGGAACGTAATTGTTTATTAATTCCTAGCAATAATCCCTCAAGTTTAAAAAACAATGTTCGTTTCGAACGAAAAATTAATCACTTTATTCGTTAGTCACTTTTAAATGTGATATTCTTTGTTGTTTATTTTAATATGGCTTGTTACTTGATTTTATGTCATTTTTGTAAGGCTCAATATCGGTTAAAATGGAAACACTCTTCCTCGTGCATTGGTATTCAGGCGAATAGATTTTGCATAAATTCATAAAAATATCTTTGTTAGGTTAAGAAATAGGTAACGGTGAGTAGATCTCGCGCAAAGAATTTGGATCTATTACAATATCATCGGCGCCATTCGCACTTATACAGTGCGAAGCTGTCACATGTATCATATTCTACATTTTTAGTATTTATACGATAGACATAAATAGGCCAGTGTATTGTATTTTTATAACGTGCCTTAATTTTTTGTGTATATAACGATGTTAATAAATAAATATTATGTTGATATTTCGATTATTATTATTATACCTTTTAACAGTTTGTAGATAAAACAAAATTCTAATAAAACGTCTGAAGTGTCTGCGTTTTATTTACCACAAAAATTGTTATATACTTAAAAGCGTACCAATTGGTCAACTGAAGAAGTAAATCGACTTCAAAACTTTTCTAATATCGAAATCTCCCGTCTTTGGTAACTGTCGCAGGGTCGAATTTAATAAATGCTTCTTCGTAGAGCCAATTCCGGAATCGTCCTCAGCTATTTCGCTACAAACAAAAATCGATCTTAAGTAATTTCGCTTTTGGATGCCAAAGAGGGCTTCCCCGTACCTTTCGTCGTAACTGTATTTGTTATGGAGGAATTGCGATAAAGATTCCAAAATCGGTTCCGAATGAAGTGCGACAAACTGTTCACGGCAAATCTACAATGTAATCCATCGAAACGTCACCCTTTAAGCGAATACTCGCGATACTCACCCTATTCATAATGTGTATGGTCGACGGATGCGTCCAATAGCAATCGTGGACGGAGACGAATGTTATTCCAGCCCGCTCCGCGTGCAACGACGTCAGCATCATGTGACACGAATCCAACGAATGAATAAAGTTCGGGGGAAAGGCGTTCTTTTGCTTCATCGTGTTCGGCTTACTGAAAGAAAATATAGACAAAAATCATGCCGGGGTTCTCTCTACGAACCAGACGATAAGTTAAAACTCCGCAAGCCCAATGGATCTACGACAGAACAGAGAACGCCTTACTATGAAAACGAATTCACCAAACTCGAAGAGATATTGCTTCGAAATGACGATCGATCATTGTTCCGACGTTTAACGATTAGTGCCCGCATAAGCGCCAGAAGACAGGATGAAGATAGATCGGATCACTCAGCAATTGATGGAGAGTACTCGATGAAAAACACAGCTTAAAAAAATCGATAATTAACAAACGCAATCCGGCAAATCAACTACGCGTATCTTAGATACTCATAGAATTGTCATTAACAAATCTGACAGTAACTTAACGACTGCTAAAATATCCGTATGGTCAAAAGGCCTAACCCAACACCTATCGAAATTGTTAAGGAGGTTGTGCCCGCAGATATACAGGTCAGTTTTGAGTTTGACAAAGAGACGGACTCGCGATGGGAAGCCCGATTAGCCTCGTTGTTGCCAATTTTTACATGGAGGAATTTGAGGAAAGGCCAAAAAACGATCCAGTCAGTGGCTATGGTACGTTGATGACACGTCATATGAAATCACGGTCGAGGTGAATAGTATACATCCGAAAATCCAATTTACAATGGAAGGTCATGATGGAAAACTCCTATTCTTGGACGTAGTGATAAATAGAGGCGGAAACATGAAATTGGGACATAGGGTATATCGAAAGCCTACACCGCTACTTACAGAACGAGTCAAACCACCATCCGAGACAAAAGATGGAGATTGTCAAAACATTAATAGGCAAAACGACTAGAATTTCCAGAAGACCTGACGGCGGGATTAAATCATTTAGAGAGCGTTTTGTTTGTGAAAAAACCAAATAGGCAAGAGACGAAAGAAGAAACGCCCTTACATCGGAGGCGTAACTACCAGGCTCGGTAAAATAATGACGAAACATAATATAAAAATCAATTTTTAAACCCACAGGGCACATTTAAGATCGTCTAAGGATTCCCGAGAACCGTTGTCGTCGGCCGTGATATACAGAATCCCATGTTCCTACGGAGACTTCTATATTGATACAAACGTAGCGTCACTACACGTTTAGCGGAGCACGGAAGATCTTGCCGCTTGAGGCAAGTAGAAAAATCGGCGCTTGCGGAGCACATGTTTTTCGAACGGCGAAGCACTGTTATACAAGATTACATCGAGAGACCATCGAAATATATAAACACAAAGACAATTTTACTAAGAGGCAGGAAGGGTTACAGCTGAATAGAACATGATACAACATCTTAAAGAAAACACACAAGAAACCGTATGCGAACTGGGCAAGGAGGCGGGCCGTACTAACACGCTCAGTCCGCCGTCCGAGCGTTACAACACAGGTACGACTTTAACAAACGGCACCGGTACCGCAACAGTCGTCTCGGCCCGCCGAGGATGGCTGCCGCAGTAGCAGTTGAAAGCTTTGGTAGCAAAACCAATGGACCACGGCCAACTGCCCGGACAAAAGTATTAATTATACCAATACATCAATGCAAATACAAAACCGTCAGGATTTTTTACCAAATTAAGGATTTTTAACTCACTTCCACACTAGCTATGTATATAATCTATAGAAAGTATGTACGAGTTAATGGCGCAACGCATTTTTTCAAACAACAGAGATCTGCATAAGGGCGCTGGAAGATTAGCAGCATGGCGGAGCATTTGGAGGAAAATAACGAGATAAGAAGAGCCAATAAGCTTGGCTCAGGAACCTGCGAGAATGATATGAAATGACTAGTGTTTATTTATTCCGTGACTAGAAGGGAAAAATTAACCTCCCAGCAAGGGGGCAGCGACGCTGATCTAATTTCAAAACGCTGATAACGACACTGCTAACTCACACACCATATGGACAAAATCGAGTTCACCGATAACGACGAATGCTGATTGTGCTTGGAGGATGATGCGTATATGTCAATGAGAATCGGATACTCCCTTAGCGTTACAGATATTAAGGTTAGTTTTATAAAATCAAAATGAAATTACGATATTTCATGATTTCAAAAATTTTCGGCCCAGTATGCTTACTTACCAATTTAACGTCGTAATGTTTATGGTATCCCACTTAAAGTCTAAATATATAAATATATAAGAAAATGGACTAACACTTACGTGTATTTGTCTATAGAGTAACCTTTATATCCGGGCGACACCTTCCTGTGCTTGTTGTAAGGTTGCACAACCGGAAGTCCCAACGGCGTCACCCACTCTATGTGCTGACTGGTAACACCGGAAATCAGTTTCGCGCATTCCGTGAACCAATCTTGAATCTCCTTCGTCGACGTAAACATCGTCTTCAAAGAATCGAAGGTGCTCTCTGCGAACACGCGATATGTACCGCAACAGTACTTTTCCAAAATGGACGCCGCTCACTTGTTAGGTACAACGACGCCGCCCACACGGAATCCTTGGGAAAATCGTCGAGGTCCTTCAGCTGGCGGGCGATTTGAAGTCGAGCCCCGAACTGGGTCACGCCGTACACAGTCGTCATGATCGTCTGTTTGATCACCTTCCTCGTCACGAAACCTTCTAAAAGTTTGGCAATCTATCGAACACAGGGACGTTCAAAACAACGCTGGAGGAGGCGAAAAATCGTTGCGCTTACCGCTACCCCGTTTTCCGCGTCCTCGATCCTACGCCGTTCGACCAACGCGACCACCGCGCTGTAAACGTCCTGCGGCCCTTTCGAGGGTGCGAGGTTCACGCTATACGCGCCGGCACTGTCGCGACCCAGTGCCGCGTAATGCTGCAGCCCGTTGCAGCTCCCGTCCTACACGAAAAGGTGTAACCAAAAAAATCTTTCTCCAAACTATCCCTTCCCCTTCACTATCTAGTCTATCCTTCATGACAGAGAAAAATCGTAAATACAAAAAAATGTAACTCTTGATGCGGTTCTTTAAACCAAACTGTCCCACCCATAACGTAGCTTTTGATGTAGCATTTATTTTGCCATAGATCGTGCTCACCCTGTACAATATTAAGAACTGTATACCCCAGTAAAACCTTTGTTTATCGATCGATTTTAATAACGATTATGTGTTTTTAAGATATTAGAAATTTTAATTATAATGATAAAATTTCAAAAACAATGATAAAGACTTTTTAAGGGATACTTATTTTTTAGTAACAACAGCATTAATAAATATAAATTAGCGAGTGAATTTGACAGTCGAATATTCGCTTCTCCATGGCAAACTTAGTTTTTTCAAAGGAAACAGCATGCTAATGTCAATCAACTTTGATATTTTCGTTATTTTCATTATAGATGAGAATTAAAAATATAGCGTTGTTGCTGTTTAGTTCATATCTGTCTTTCAGTAGAATCTATTCAACGAAAAAAGAATTTTCAAAATTGAGCCAGAAACAAACATTCTACAGGAGTAATGCTTAACGCCCACGAAATTTCGTGCACCCGGTATTTGAACTTCACGGAAATTAGTATAGTAATAGTAGTAGTACAGTATAGTAATAGCTCTTCTCGATACTTGACATCAAGAATTAGTCCCAGTTAGCCATGACTTCAGGTTGATGTAATAAGAAACGATAAGGTTTTAGTGCGTTTTTGAGAGAGCAATCCAACAAAAAAAATTAAAATCAAACAATAATCAAAGATTTTACAACGATGTACAGCGTTAAGCGGGGAGTAAACAATATTTTAAACACCCTGTATTGAAACATTATAAAAATTGGCATGGTTGGCTCTAACTACTCCTAAATAAAGATTCGTTACCAATTTATTTATTTTTAAATCCCTAATAGTACATCTCTGTTCTCTCTCTTTTGTTAAATAGTCTCAGTTGGCTATGACTTTAAGTTTAAGCAATAAGCAAAACAAAATTTCAGTGCATTTTTCAAAGATCTATCCGACAAAAACAAAAATTTTGAAAATCGAACCATAAGCAAAGATTTTCCAAGGGTGTACAGTCCTTGAGCGGGACACACTGTATATGAAAACTTTAAATATAAAAATTGTAGCCGTCGACGCCGACTATACATATGTTCAAACCAAATCGCCCTATTTATTACGAGTTTTTTAGTTGCCGCTAATAATTTACCCGCAAAAATGGCAATTTTCAGAGATTTTATATTTTCTCCGAAAAACTGTCATATCCTGTACAATTTCGAAAACATGCTTTTCGTGAACGTTGCAGCCCTGGATCTCACGCGTTTCGTGGTTCGGGCGTTTTTTCTATCGGACAAACGGTTGTCCAGAGAATATATTTTTTTTAAAAGCCGCAAAATATGATTTTTGATTTTTTTTTAACTACTTCCACAGCATCCGCAATTTCAATACGTTTTGCCAGGCGACCACAGTCTATCCGTCTGCCAAATTTCAAGTGGCTAGATTCAAATTTCGGATACTTGCTTTCTTTCATGGCGATTGTAAAAAATAGAACTGAAAATCTCAAAAAGAACGATGGATGCTGGTGTCGGATAGAGGCCAGAAGCAGAACGGCCAGACAGAAAAACAAAAACGTTTTTTTAAAATAAAGGTTGTCTAAATTAATTTTTGCCTGTGATTTCGTATGCGCAACGTGCCCACCTACCTGATGTACAGGAAAACGCGAGAGATATTCTTCCGGGTCTACGCCGGATCGGACCGCATCGGCAATTTCCATGCAGCAGGCCAGAGTTTGCCAAGGTTCGTCCGAATGCACCCACCACTGCTCCCCGTCGAGGGGTCTATCGGCCGAGTCTAATATCAAATGCATGTTGTCATTGGCGTACTTTAATCTGTCGTCGACGGAATCCCGTTTCTTCAAACCCGTCAAATTGATGAGGTGGATTTTTAACCAGTCCAACCCTTTCGGACCGAGGGGGCGCGGTTCCGCGAAAATGAGTATGGACCGCGCCAAATCCGATCCGAGATGATTCAGGTGAGGCGGTACAGGGTACACGCGACCCCTGAAATCCATGTTGTGCGGTAGCCAAAAAATATGATCCCGGAACTGAAACCACAACAAAAAAAAGTGTCTTCAGGAGACCACAAACGGCCCATCATAAGAAAAATCAAAATTCAGTAGGGGACGTATTTTTAAAATTGATCTACAACTCGTTAAGATTTCAAAAAAAAGAATAGGTCGCGTTTTAAGGCCCACATCATCCCGCATGCCGATTGATTGTTAAAATGCCCCCTGAACTTGCGATGCTGATAAATTCTAAAATACAAAATAAGTTCCCGGCTTTATTTAGAAATTTTTTAGTTTTCTTAAAATTGATTGCCACATTTAGAGAGAAAAAAACATTTTTTAGTTTTTTTTCAAGTCGTCAGAAATACTAATACTAATATTATTTGTCGTTTTATAGTTTATAACTTGTATAAAATTAAAATTGAAAATAACTAAGATATTCGACTTCCAACATGAAAAATATTCCGGGTACTAAATTTTCACATGGAAAAAAAATATCTGTTAGGATACCATCACGTAGATTACGCGAAAACGCAGTGACTGAAAAAAAAAGAATTAACGCAGAATAAAATTTTCATCATATCCTGAACGCGCAAGCGCAAGTCCCAATAGACTTACGTGATTAGCCAGCGACAACCGATACAGGCAGTCGCACCACAACGAAAACATCTCGTTTTTCATCCTCCTGTGCTGCAACTTTTGCTGAAACGCCTTAAATTTTTCGGCCTTGCTCATATTGGAGGTAGCCGCGGGTGGTGGCGCCAAAGTGGCAGGATCGACGGGCACGTCTAAACGTGAAGAACCACCGCTGCGAAACACCTACGGGTCAAAATTGAACCGATCTGTACTAAACTAAATCTTGTATTAATTGAAAATAATGGCAATTTTTCTCCGTCAACTGGATTTATCCCTAAATCAACATAGGCCTCAGTTATGAAATCAATATGTTTGCTTTAAGCAGGCAGAAGTTATGTTATGTTATGATTGAAAATGTTAAAAAAGAATGTATTGATATATTTGTTAGGGCACATGATGTATATCTTTACATGATCACGTTAATTCAACATAAAACGATAAAAGGATTGAGTACCAGAAGGGCTATGATATGTATTTATATATTATATTTGAAATACCACCATTTAATTGATAGAATTTCATTCCATGTTCCGAAAATTGTGCTTATAAATATACAACAAAATAATATACTGCGAGAGTGTAGATTAGTAAAAAAGTTTATATAGATTTATTTAATACAAATATTCTTGCCATATTCTTCTGAATGTAGTTTTACTAATTTTAAGTCCGTTTTGTGCAATCTTCTTTCTGTTTTAACATAACTTAGTATGTATGTTTTTTCTTACTAAATATATGCGCATTTAATAAATCTTGATATGATCTGATATGAATTGACCTAAGTCGAAAACTTTGAACTATAATAACTGAAATATTGACATTCGACTTTATCAATTTAGCTCCTTGTTTTTAGTACTATGACACGCTACAAACTTCAATCACTAGTGGAAAAAAGCTAAAAAAAAATGCAAATAAGTATCGGGCAGTGGACTAACCTCTAATATAATATCCAAGACTTTGCGGTTGACCGTCCAAGGTGTCGAGGCGAGCTGGTTCAGAGCGTCGAAACTCGGATACAACTGGACCGGATCGCTCTCCTCCAGTCTCTGCTTCTGCGCCTGCGCCTCTGCCGGTAGCCTCACGATATCACAAGGGGTAAGCAAATAACCTCCGTGGTCCACGGAAGTCCATGGGACCGGCGGGCACAGCATGGGCACCTCGTTGGCGGGAAAAGTCAACGTTTCGGGCTGAGCGGCCCGAAACAATTTCGCCAGTTCAGGGTGGGGCTTGATTTCTTCCGTCACCGTACGCGATTGGTTGCGAAATATCGTGTAGAACGCGGGCAACCAACACCTCGAATCAAAAACACACTTTTTCGAATTTTTAGTGTTTTTTAAACCTTATCCCTTATACTGATCACGTGCACAATAATATCTGCCAGATTTCACAGTCATCCCAGTAATTTAAACAATTTCTTTTGAACAGTATTTGCGTTAAACCAGACAACAAAGGGACACTTTAAACAAAGTCAACCGCGATGGATTACTCCTTCACTTTCTCTCAGCACCCGCGGCAGAAAGCGCATACAGGTTATACATATTATTGTAACATAGTAGTGAATTTAATGGTGGTTGGTTAGTTTTGGATGTAACAAGGTGTTTTACGCTACATTAATTATTTATTAAGCACTTTCTCTCAGCACCCTGGTAGAAAGCACATACAAGTTATAAATAATGCGTATTGCTGTAACAACATGGTAATGGATTTAATTGTGCTTAGATGTAACAAGGTGTTTTACGCTACATTAATTATTTATTTCCAATTTAAGCAAAGTCGACTGCGATGTATCACTCGTTTACCTTCTCTCAGCACCCGTGGCCGAAAGCCCATACAGGTTGTATATATATAGAGTATTGCTGTAACATAGTAGCGGATTTAATTGTGGTTGGATGTAGCAAGGTGTTTTACGTTACATTAATTATTTATTTACACTTTACGCAAAGTCGACTGCGATGAATTACTCATTCACTTTTTCTCAGCGCCCTGGTAGAAAGCACATACAAGCTATAAATATAACGTATTGTTGTAACATAGTAGGGCATTTAATTCTTCTTGGATGTAACAAAGAGTTTTACGCTACATTAATTATTTATTTTAATGTCTTCTAATGCAATATGTGCACGTGATCACTATAACGTTAAAAGGATAAGTAGACTAAAATGTCGCTTCCTACTTGTGTTTGCCGTTGTGTTTCCAGTCCACATTAATTTTGAAGTCGTGCAAAAGGATCTGATACAAGAATTTTCCGATATCGAGTACTACGGGCGGTACCCATGGCTGATGGTTGGATGATATTGTTGATCCCTTGTCTCGACAATTGTGCTCTAGCCACTGCCACTGAACTCTAGGATTTACATATGTTTCGCCTGTGGGCATGTGGTCGTATTTCCCGTGAGCAATCGCGTACTCATGGGAATATTCTTTGTGCAGAGTCAAAACCTTAGGGAATAATAATAAAAAAAAAACTTCCATCTTTTTATGTCTTCATAAAGGTTTTGAAATTAACTTATTTTTAATATACCAATTTCACACTACCAACTTAGCAGTCACCTAGTATATAGTGAATCCAGCTGAATGACTGGGTAATAGCGGATGATAGCTACATCAGAATGCTACAGATTTGATAAAAAAGAATCCCAACTGAGTAACATTTGCGAAAACTTAGTAATTATTTTGTAAACTAGCCTGACAATAATTTTTCATTAAATTTTGAAAATTGGTCTAAATTCCTACCCATTTCTACAATGTTTAAATTCTTAGACATTTTGGCATTTTCCCTATTAGGTCGAACCATCTGGAATTAAATTTGTCGGAATATTCGGCGACCAAATACAACTCCTCGAAGTCACATTAAGTTGATTACATAGGGGATAACCATTTGTACATATAAATAATGTTACATATTAGTAACTAATGGTTACTGAATTAATTTCATCATGACTGGAGAACCAGCCTATCAAAAACTCAGCTATATTAGTTATGTTTTTTTTTCGTAAAAAAAATTTGCACCTCTTTTTTTTGCTTGCTAAATTAAGATGACGAAACGCTCACCTTATCCAATACGCCCGTCTTCTGTTTGAACAACACCCTGTACCTTGCATACACTTTCCGTCCCAAGGACCTATACAACATGCCGAGGGTGGGACTATATGTCTCCGAACCCGTAGCTAATTTCTTCGCTTCGTCCAGCATAATCGCCACCATGTCGTGGGTGGGAACGCTCCTAAAGTAGATCTCCAAATTCAAGGGTCCCCGTTCGGCAGCCAACGCGGCCACTCTTCGATTGAACGCCGCATGAGCTGCTTCTTCCCACATTGTTAAATGCTCATTAAGGATTTTCCGATAACGAAGAATTTCGTCTGTGGGTTTGTCTTTTGATGCAATACTTTTGACCTATATGAGACAAATCAACCACTGTCTATAAAAAAACCTTCATCGCTCATTATGCAGGGTGCCATCTACAAATCAAATCACGAGGATTCGAAAAACTAGCCTCAAATTCGCTTGATAAATATTTTGAGAATTTGCGATTTTACGATTCAGTCGGGCCTCTAACTATACGTTGCAAGTAATTGAAAATGGTAGCATTCATGTTTGCGTAGTATTTTTTATGTTGATGTTTAAAAAAAAAAACGTTCTTTGGTTATAGTTGCTCTGTCGTTGGATGTCACTCAAGAAATCTTAAACAATTAGTTTTGGTAAGTGGTTAGTTATTGAAGGCATACTGTAAAAAAGTTATCGGTTAGTAGACCCAATTACAATGACATGTTTTGCATTCTTCATCTCTTACAAAACTCTCAAATACGATCTCTTGCGTCGTTTTCAACAAACCATACACCAAAAAAATGATAACAGAGCTGCTTTATTATCGCTTATGCAGTTACAATGAGCTAGTCCGAGGTTCCGAGGTTCAAAGGTATAATTGGTATTGAATAAAAGGGCCACATTTGTTTACGTTTAACAGCGGGAATAAATTCGCGAATAGGTAAAAATAAGTAAAAGAAGATGCACAAATTCCTTAAAAATCATTACCGAGGGTTAATTTAATTAGGTTCAACTACAAGAATGAAGTCACAACTTACCGTTACATAACCGTTCTCTTCAAGTTTGAACTGCTTTTGTACAGCTTCTTCCAAAGAGGTGGGGGTAAACAACCCGCCATTCTCGATCCACTCGTGTCTCTGATAACTCAGACGCTCATCATGGTTCAAATGATTGACCAAGTGATTGTTGTAGAAAATTTTGGGATCCTCATAGGTGGGAACATATTTTGGATTGTACGCCCGCATAGCAGCCAACACAATCTCCCTTTCGTCGTTTAAAAATACCCCATTGTTCATCATTTGGTCAAATGAATATCCCGCATAATGAGCCTCCTTGGTGAAAATTCGGATATCCTTAAGGTGATTGTTTTGCATATTCAGTCGACCAAGACATTCAAATATTGCGATGTAGCATTGCAAGTTGGGCTTCAGACCATCCTCCTCCATAATTTTTAAGACTTCCTTGAGTTTAATATAATCGGCACGATTCGCAAACCCCTATATAAGAATAAGAAATAATAATAAGAAATATCTTGACTTCCAGCACTGGGGTATAAAAATAATATTTTTATCTATTCAAAAGTATAGATAAATAGGAAATTTAACTCATTTCGTGCAAACAAAATCTCTTTTTAATATTTCAATGAAATATTACCCCTAAAAGAACAAATACTTTTTGTTTAACAAGAGCTATATGGTTTGCAAAGAATGTATTTTTTTTGTGTGACGTTACAACAAATAAAGGCTTAGCCAATGCAGACGAGTTTTTAACCTCCGTAAAGTGTTTCATAACCGGGTAATTTTCTTATTTTTATTCTAAAAGGCATGGGTTGTGATTTGTATTATCTCTAAAAATGTGTTAAATTTATTTAATTTAACTATTTCTAATGTAATTATGAACAGTTTAATATTGTTACATTGCCACATTGTTACACATGCCAATGCCTATGTTGCCATCACAACCACAGTTGCTTTTAGATGAAAATCCACGACTAAAGAATTTTTTTAATGCTATATTTGTATTGGGCTATATGGATTATGAGCTAACGAAATAAGTTTAAATTTCAAACAATATACTATGTATTTATTTTGTAGTTACCTTCAACAGGGTGCTGTAGACATTTACGTGTTTTAGTGAGATAATACTTTTACACTTTTTACTCTTCACTCTATGGGAATAGAAGGCAGCCAAACCCCTACCAGGCTTGTGAAGGTAGTTGCAAACTTCCATATACGCTGCTAAAGTTTTGGAGGTAATTTCTTCACGAAATTTTTGATCTAGAACATTATGCTCTACAATGGTTTTATTCAATTTATTAATACCTCTCGAGGTTTCCCCCGAGTCAACATGATCATGACTCTCTTCTTCAATTTCTTCTGGTTGGAACGCATTTACTAACTTAACACTAAAATTACATAGCAAAGCACTTATACACTCCTCTCCGAAAAAAAAATTACCTTTCTAAATCAACTTCCTTCTCTTGTAATTTTAAATCACAGTCTTCAATAACAGCTTCTTCATTAGCATAAATTTCCCTTACTTGAGCAGGGTCTCCCAAATCTATTTCATATTTATTAAAATCAGTGTTAAAATTATTCTGTTGTAATTTGGAAACATCACTGGAGCCAGGGTTGGGAAAATCATCAATTATAGTGAGGTCATTGTAGCAGTGCTCAACTTGAAAAAAGCGCCTGCTAGTCAAATATTCTAATTTATATAGTTCATTTAAGTTTATGGGAGAACTACTTAAGAGCTTAACTTCCTTTGATGACAATTTTTTTATGTTTGCTTTCTTTAAAACTGACCGGTTATTCACAACTGAAATAATAATAATAATAAATTAAGCAAACGGCAAATATAAATAATAATAAATACCCATGAGAATATCTGTATATTTGGTTGCCTTCTTCTTCTTCGTTAAAATTTTCTGAGTTTTGGTTAAGTTAGAATTATTAGCAATCGATGAAACCTTCCTGAATTGAACTAAATAACAGAGAAATAAAAAAAATAAAATATTCACCATGCCCAAACGTTTACTTACTACGCGAATGTAAATGTAAATGTTTACATAAGATGCACGTTTTTTCGGAAGCACTCAATTGGTCGTTTTCAGCTAAATTACGGAGCGACACTAATGAATATCTTTGAAGAGAAATTTTCCCAACCTCTAACACTTTATACATAGCGAAAAATAACGAATTTGCAGCCTATTTTATTAATAAAAGGCTGGTTATTCATCACGACGTCGTGTTTGTATTTTGCACCATTTTTCGGAAGGCCCATTATGTCATTCCATGGAATCGAACTTTATCCAGTCAAACGTTGGGAAAATTTGTTGAAGCCAATGGCCCATTTTAAGTCACTGACCTAGCCGCACAGTGTTCTTTTTTTGGGCTTAGTTACAAAATTAAGTTCGACTACTCGCAGCTAGAGGTCACGAGTATACTACAACTGAAGCATTTAAGCGGGAAAATTTTAAATGGATGTGCACTTAATTGCACTCCAATTCCGAAAATAGTGAAGAAAACGAACAGATGTGTGGCAGTTGCATAGAGCCGTTGGGTCTGTAAAGAGGGTTTATTTATACAATGATTAACCTCTAAAACGGTCATATTCATTTTCGTGTCGTGTGGTAAAAAAGTTTTAGTAACTTGGTAAGCATATAGTTTAATTATAAATATTGGTAAAATAACATAAACAGACTAAGCAAACTAATTTTTTTACACAATATATTTCCGAGTTCCCATTTTCTAAATTCTCTAAAATAATAATGAATTTCTACAATGCGTTGCCACATTTTTTATAATTTTTAAATTAACATATTACAAAGTAAGCTTTCATTAGTTTGATTAGCTAATTATTTTAATTTAATGAAATCTTGTTTACTTAACGACAAGTTATTTAGTCAACAACGAATCATTGATGATCTAATAAAATCTTAAGTACCCACATTCGATATGTTACTGGTACGACACAAAGAGATACTTTGAAAGCTCCCAGTCCGCGTTAAGTGCACTATTATCTTGATTAATTACTGTCAGTAATTGCATATACGCTTACAACCCCATGCATATAGAAATTAAGTTTCTAAACGACCGCATGGTCAACAAAAAAATAACATACCTAAATAATGATACTGAAAACTCAGAAAAAATTAAATAATGATGATTCTGATGATAATATTTTGTCCAGTCTCCCTAAAAAAATCAATTCGATTCTGTGTAATGATATATCGTGTGAGTAAAATGTTATTTGAGAAAAAACGTTGGAACACAGCTTTTACACAACAACATAAAACCAAAAATTTATTCATGACAACTGACTTTTTTAACAGCAGATAATTTTTTTAATTAAAAACCTCTGAACTTGAAAAATTTTAGTTAAAAACTTTTTCCAACCCTTTCAAAGAACATTCCATGAAGTTTACATTACACATTTTTGAAAGCAAAAATATAGAGAACAATAAATAATTTTGAAATAATTTTTGAAATGTGGCATTAAATACAGTTTTCTCGAATTTTGGTACACCGCTTATTAAATTGAAAGTCTTTTCTATCGACAACCAAATCAAAATTCAGGGGCGTACCGTGAAGTCTATGTAATCGTATATGCGCCAATATATTGTTTTTCATAAAATATGTTAAAAATTTGACAATTTGGAAGAACTTCTTTAAATCCGTTATTTATTTATAGACTGCCCGTCTCCTAAGTTGTAATTTTCCTTTAAAATGAACAGCCTTATGTGAAATTCGCCACACCATTCGCCTGCGATGTATACGCAAATGGCATAAGGTTAAAAGATCAGGTCACGTAAACTATCTCCCGATTGATTGTTTTCAATATAATTGTCACTATTTAACAAAACAAGATTAAGGAAATTTAATTAATTTCTGATTTCGATTTTAGGTTTCGTCGCGGACCGAGAAAATGATACCGCGAACACTCCTGTTTTGCGCTGGCCTACTGTGGATTGTCAATGTACAAGCGGCTGTCACGTAAGTACTAATATATACGGTGTGTTATTGGCAAACTAGGGACTAAGCGGAAATACCCAAAGAATTTTCATCCCCTCCTAAGGATTTCTTTTCGGGCTGTGTTTATCGCCTACGAAGAAGAGAACGTATCTCATCCCAATGATTTTTTTCTGTGGTACAAAAAGAAGAAGAATATTTGTTGACCGTTAAAAGTTAGTAGTATATTGTAAAAAATATTGTAAAATTCAAAATATAAATAAACAGCAACTTATGACTTTTGTAAACATTTGTAAAAATACTTTGACAAATAACACATTAACAAAAAACAAACAAATATGTAACATAATCTTAAAGGAAACAAAATAAATGATAGAAATATTTACATTTAAACACTTGTTATTTCGTTTCTAAACGACTTGAACATTTTCAAAATCTAAAAAATATTATCAGAATTATTTTTAAACCTCATCGTTAATTCATTTTATGTTTTGGTTAGTTAAAAGCATTGCATTCAAAAACCAAAGCAATAAAATGTTTTTAGTATTTTTGTTTACTTCCGTTGAAAGGAAAAACAACGAACCAAGATGGAATCTGTTTAGCGTTTGGTGCATGGGAAAATATCCGCTAGATATTCTGTTTTCTTCTCCAGCTGACGGATGGGGGTAAACGAACTTGCGTTTATTTTTACATTCGCGCCGATGAGCAGAAGTGCGTTCGCAAGATGTCGGTCGATCTAATTACGCATTTGTCATCAACATTTTGCGGCTTGAGTGCCACTCGTATACTCCGTATCGGTTAATTTTTTAGTACTTGGATGTTTCTTCTGTCAAAATGGAAAGGATTTGGGACCAATGTGTATACTGGCGGTTACTTTTTAATAGTAACACTTTTACACGTTTATTTGCCGCACTTAATCGCAGCTACAAAACCAACACCCCGCAAATCTTTGCCTGTGTGTTGCCTACTAAACTGAAATGTCCAAAGTACTTACCTGAATTTGTGACGCTTGAGTCGAGTCCTGGACAAAAGCTTAATGCTCTGTGGAAAGAAAATAAAAACACTAGAAAATGAAGACTTACGCTGGGACAGAGTAGACTTATAAAAGATGGTACTCATGAAAGACTCAACATTTACGGACTATATTAAACTACATCGTATAGGTACCATCATCACCTAAAAATCTATTTTTATGTTCATGTATATATACCGGGTGTCTCAGTAAGGGTACCGAGGTATAGTATTAGGGAAACGCACGGTTCTAGAAATTTGGATAAAAAATTATAGACAGATCGGCTGAGAGAGCTAGACATTATTTATTGTTTTAAAGTAAAAAATCATAAAATAATAAAATATATATCGTGTTCCATCCTAGATTTTAAAACTGACATCACTTCCGGTTAAATCAGAAGCGACCATACAAAAAAAAATGAATGGAATTAAATTAGAGATCTAAAACTAATCAAAATTGAAGTAACTTTTGATTAACGACTTTTTTGTTATAGTAACGAAGATATCAGGGTCGCCATCTTGCAGATAGTGAATGTAGTCAGAGCGACCGATGACAAACTGGAGCGCCACGAATACAGGGAACGCGTTCTCGGCGAGCAACTCAAAAAAGGCATGATCAACATCGATAAACGGATCAAAATGTTGGACCCGTTGAAAGGCACCGTGAGCAGAATAGACGAACGGTTGGCGACGGTCGAAACCATCCTGATGCAAAAGGATCGAGACGAGAAGGAACGACAGATGCAGCAGAAGAAAATTTACGATGCGATTTTGGATTTACAAAAGAACCTGCCGTTGATTATCGATCAACTCAATACGGATTTGAGCAGTAAGGTAACCGTCCACATTTTGTAAAAGTGCGTTCAATTTATCTTGATAACATTTTAATTGGCTGTGCCTTTTTTGTTTTAGAGATGTCAATGTAAACAAAAAAAACAAAATGTGGGGTTAGGGACACAAAAAACTATTAATTTTCTGACATATATTTTTTTAATGGAACATCCTGTATATAGGTGTTTAATAGAATATCTTATTCCGATTACAATGATGTAACACACTTTATATTTCAGTCCATTCGTTTTTGACAACTTAGCAAAAATAGAAAATTTTTATATAATTTCAAAGAGTGCTGACGGACAAATAAAAATATGTTTAGGTTTGACACATTAGTAAACAACGTTGATGGTTGAATTATTGTCCAACATAGTTTTTCGAGAATTTAGCATACTTAGCACATCCAGTCTCCTCTATTACTGGAGTATATGAAGACACAGCTATTTCTCGGGGATTAACTTTTGAAAGAATATAAATTTTTTACATAGACATAACAAGAATAATAATTTTTTGAAAAACATTTTATGTACTGATTAAAATTAAAAAAATGGCGATATTGGTAATAATCCTAAACAAATACACGGGGTACCAGGGGTACCAATCAATATATTGTGTGGTGTCATAGATAGCCATATTTTGGGTCCGATATTTATAGATCAAAAGTTAACTGGAGATCATTTTTTGTAACTCTTAAAGCACCAAATAGAACAATATAGAGAAGTTTTACCCCTAAATATATCAGCGCTGATTATATGGCAGCAAGACGGTGCCCCTCCTCACAATGTTGTGCAAGTTAAAAATTTTCTTAACATAGAATATCCCAGGGGCTGGATAGGGAACAGCGGAACTATGGGCTAGCGAGTCAACAGCTCCGACTAAACTTTAATGGATGTTTTCTTTTTGGGACACAAAAAATCACGTGCACAGAACTTCTTGTAATAATGTCGTTGAACTTCGGCAAAGGATTTCAGAGGCAATCAATCAGTTAAGAAACAATCCGGAAACGTTAATAAATGCTAGACATCATACAATTAGAGAAATGTATTCAGGAAAATGGTGGTCATTTACAGCGGTATTTAGAATAGTTAAAGATTTTTTTACTTTACTGTCATATGTAATGTTTTTGTTCTGCTTTTTGTAATTTGTAAATAACTATTGTTGTTGCGGTCTGTCACGGCACTCCTTGAAATTATGTAAAAAATTCCTATTTTTGCCGATTTGTCAAAAACAAATGGAGTAAAATATAAAGTGTATTACATCATTGTAATCGGAATAAGATATAACACAAATATAATATACAGGGTCTGTGTCTGAAAATATATAGTGTTTTGTTTTATACGTTACTTGGAAAAAACTTGGCTACTAGCCCTACATTTTGTTTTTTTGTTTACCTCTCTAAGAACGAAAAAGTTACAGCCAAATAAAATGTTGTCAGGATGGAGATTCGACATCCAGAAAAAAAGTTCATATAGACGTTACTAATTGTTAAAATGTGTGTTAAATTAAATTTAAAAAATTAAACAAGTCACTCGGCGTAACACTTAACGGAACTTGAAATTTATTTTGTTGAAAATAAAAAAGTACATATTTACACAATACAATTCACTATACACACGACCAATGATGCATAAAGTGTCTTTGTTTATATCGGTCGATTATGTATATTTGAGCACTGCGCACTTTACAAATTTGAGATACTAGAGTGAACATAATTTCCGAGCGGGACACTATCACTGGCACTTTCCTTTTTATACCAATATTTTTTTGACCCACATAGGAGATATGAGAATAATCAACTACAATATATTAAAAATCAACCAACAGAAACCTATAAAATAAACAAATGGAAATACAAAATAGAAACACACCGAACTACAGCAATCGCCATGTGCTATCCCATTGTGAAATAACGCGCACTCTATATTGATGTCGATAAATTGAAATATTAACTTAGGTTTTTTGTTTACTGTCAGAGGGCGCCCCGTACGGTGTTGTTTCTGAATTTAATTAACCCATTCTGTTTTGTGACGCACTCTGTGTCATTTTTGACTAGGCAGACCTATTCTCCATGCAATTATACTTGCAGAAGGTACTGTTGATATTATTTGTCGCTAAAAGCAGCCGTTTTGGATTAAAAAGAATTTTAAGTTAAATCTGGCGTTTTTATATTTTCTATCTAACGTTTTTCTATTTAACATGGTGTAGGCAAAATGCCAGATTTCGTTGAAATTTGACAACGTTGGATAATGGTACTGATAAGAGGCTAATTTTGGTTTAACTATATTATATTATATTTGATTCTGGGGTTGTTTTCGTATCTTGCCTGAAAAAATAAAAAAGTTGACAAAACAATTGGAACTTTATTTTTTGGACCCTTTGATAAATTTGGTTGTAACAAATTAACACTGAAGAAAATGACCATCAGCGTATCTAGCCTAAAACATTTTCGCACTCTGTTACAAAACCCTTACTTTAAAAGTAAGCATTTTAAGACCTACGTTGATATTAACTTTTTTTCTATTTTTGAAACATCTTGCATAAAGTCATCTACATCTCTTTAAGAACTTCGTTTGGTATATTTCTTCTGTTTTCGTATTTTAAGGTAATTTAATTTTAATTTAATTATCGATTACATTTTTATTTTCGCCAAATCATTCTTCATGGTCACTCTTACAGAAAATGTTGCAATTATTATTTTACCAATTGAGCGGTTCGGGAAATCCCAATAAAAATTTCGACTGCATTCAGTTCTCAGTTCTCATAGTATAAATTTACTTGTATTTTTAAAATTATTTCGGTCAATTGACTGGTCAGTTGACGGATCAATTGACTGATCAATTGACGGGTCAATTGATTGATCGATTGACACAAAAAAAATTGACCGGTCAATTCCACAACACCAACACACAACTTACAATATTTTTTTGTCTTTTTTAAAATTTAATAGGTCTTTTAAAATTATATTTACCTTTACTGTTTCCATTTTAAAAGGTTAACTTTGACAGCCCTGTATATTGAAAAAAAAAAAGCGTTTAAATGTATTATCTTGTGAAAATAATATTTGGTTAACCGATGGACCTGCTTTTGTATACCACTTTGTAGTTCTAGGGCCCGTATCGAGAAATCGTTTTACTTTTCATAAACCTGATGAACGCATTCATTGCAGATAATTATGAGCCAGCCTCCTGCGGCCATTAGCGAGCCGGTCATGTCCAAAAAGGACTTCGAGAAGATGGAGAACGAAGTGCTGCAAAGGATCGCGAAGGTATCGACCACGATCGACAACATGGAACACGAGTTGTCCAAATTGCGCGACGACAACTTGAGCAGTATTAAAGATTTGAGCAATCGCTCCACCGAAAGTCTTGAAAAAGTGAAGAGGCAACTCGACACCAGCGAACAACTATTGGCCAGATACGAGACCAAATTGGCAGAGTACAATAACAAGATTCCGGAAGCGACACCGGTTAACTACAAAGAGCAAGAGGAGTGGAAGGAGAGTTTAATGAGAGGTGAGAGGGCAAAATTCGGAATAATAGAGAAAACTAAATCTATCAAAATCAAAATAATTAAGAACTAAAAGTTCAGATTTCCACGAAATTATATATTTTGACATGACAATTGTTTCGACAACACCGTGTCTTTATCAAATGTCTATCCACTACTAATTGCCTCACCCAATTCAAATCAAATTAAAATAGAGGAAGGAATCTTTCTTATTCTTTGTAATTATTTAAAAAATTTTTTGTTGTGTTTTTCTTTAAAGAACATTGAAATATGATATCTTCAAAAAAAAAAAAGAAATTTCAGTGTCTAGGTTTGCAAAATTTTAGTTAATTATCCAAAAAATCAATAAAACCAAACTGTTATCAATACTACAACAAGTGCGTAATAAGTGAGTGACTTAAAAAGTCTACCAAATGTGTTGCATACAATACTTTTTCTACGACCATTAATTTTTAGATACATTTTTGCATAACACGAATACATTCACTGCCATAACCATCAGAATTGACAAACATCTAAATTCAAGTCGTGGGTTATATTTCCGAAAACAGCCAAAACGAAAAGTAACGAAACTGACGTTCCAAAAATGACATTTTCTGCACGCTAGACCGGTGTATAATTGACCATTTTAAAAGACGGAGTAGAAAAATATCTTTTTTCTACTATTCTACTATATATATATATATATATATATATATATATATATATATATATATATATATATATATATATATATATATATATATATATATATATATATATATATATATATATATATATATATATATATATATATATATATATATTGTGCATAATGAAAGTTCCGACATTAATTTTTTTATAAAAAAATATTCCTGACGTAAAAATATTGGATGCAACCAATTTTTTAAACACTTTCTGTCTCGAACGCTTTGAACATGGATCGCCACTCGATTTTATTTTTTCCTTTCGTCAATTTAGCGCTGGAAACGCAAAAATCGCACGTAAAAGAAATCCTGAACGACTTGAAAACCGTCCAAACCCAAGTGAAAGACATCCCCACCAAAACGGACATCGAACATGTCCAAAACAGCACCCTCTACAAATTGGAACAATTGAAAGGAGATGGGTCGCGCGCTACGGAGCAAATCCCGTCGCCAGACTCTCTCGAACCATTAGCGAAGTCCATCGGTGAGATAAAAGACGAAGCCGCCAGAAATCGAGAATCTTCAGAGAGGTCCTTCAATCAATTGACCGAAATAACTTCGCACTTGACGGAGAGCTTCTCGAAAAATTACGAGCAGATAAGGTAAAAAACAACAACCAAAAACACCGTCTTTTAAAGTAGCCGCAACAACTGGGAATGAACGATTCACATCCATTTTAGTAAAAACAATAATTATTGTTATAAACGGCCCAACGCAAAAAACAATTATTGTTTTTGCTTTTGGTTCATTCTAAAAGCTCTCTTAAAAAACATTTTTTTACTCAGCGGTATAATACATTTTGAATCGCACATCCATTATACATTTACATCTGAATAACAATGCGATAATAGTGCCCTTTTCACTGTCACCCTCTTGGTAGCCTTAAATTTTGAATGGCATAGTGCGGGCTTTATTAGAGCACACATACACATTTTTTTATTCAATAAAAAAGTGGAATCCCAGTTAAAAAAGTGAAAAAAAAAACATTTACTCAGACTTTTTTGAATGAAATCTTCGTCTTTTTGCGAGGAAGCTGTCCGGACTTTCGGCTGTATGTTTTTAATGGCATATCCCGTTTCAACATTCAGCAGTAGTCCGCCATCATCATTGGTATTGGTATGCCTTGGTGAAACCTCTCCCCCCGTTTTCGCTAGCTGCTCGAAGATTTTCAGGAAACAAAATAAATAAGAACTAAAAGTTCAGATTCGATTTCGATAACACCGTGTCTTTTCTCACAACATTAATTAAGGTTTTATATATCGTAGCAGGTGAATATATATAATGAGTTCTTATTTATTTTGTTAAATGGATTTTCATCAAGTAAAAGCCACCTAAGTTCGATTTTCAGGAAAAACATTAAAAGAAAACTTTTTTCTCAATATTGGTCACTGTTTGAAAATTTGGTCTATGCATAATGTTCTTATCTGCGGATAAACAAAAACACCTTCTTATATTCAAATATTTGAAACACTGTCCATTTTTGTCTAGGGCTGCTTCATCAAGCCAAGTTTGATATAAAGAGGAACCAGTAAAACTTTTTTGGGCTCAACTAAGCTATCTCTTAATACATTTCTGCTACCAAGTGTAAGGCTAGAGAGCTATTTGAGTCTAATGTCTATCTCTTGTCCGACTATCCCACTCACAAATAAAGCATGGAAATATTGTATAACTCTAGGAGCATGCAGAGCACTTTAAGGTCACCACTGATGTTCTTGCGTTTATTTTCTTCAAATTCAAATTTTCATACGTTCGAATAGCAGAGTGAATATTGGGACACGTTTGGTGTCTTATTTTTTCACAAACAAAAATAACAATCATGGCTGTGATTCTTAGGCTCTCGCCATACCATAGGAACATCCAAGCTTTCATCCTACCTTTTTACCAGTTTCTTAATGCTTCAACGCAAAGAGAGCAAACAGTATGAGGAGCCCAGGATTTGTCTTGGGCGCCAATTTTTACAACAAAATAATCGTGGTATAGATTTTTCGCAAAAGAAGTTATAGTTTGTATATTAATAAAATAACATTTTAAAGATATAGAACGCTATAAAAAATGACGTGATAGAGTTTTTTGGAAAAAGGGCCCCCAAAAATATACAAATAAGCAAACAGCTTTCAAACATCAAAATCACGGAAGACCATGAGACATGAGACAACAAGAGAAAGACAAAGCAATAGACAATGGTGAGAACATAAAAGATTTTTGCACCTGCACAGCTAAATACAAAAATTGGATACATGGTACAGCTCGACGCTTTGTTTGCATATTTCGTATTATTTTTTCAGCTCGGAAATTAAAAACCTGGCGAAAATCGAACAGGTGGTGATGCACACCGCCGACGACGTGCTGGACACGAAACGTCGAGTAGAATACTCGGTACATCAGATCTTGGCGGAGGTCGGGAAACAAGCGAAGGAAAATTCGAAAGCCATCAACGACGGTATCAGCGAGAGATTCGACGCGTTCGAACTAATGATTTTGGACGAGGACTCGGGCGCTTTACACAATTTAACGTCTAAAATAGGAGAGGAGATAGACCAGGTGTGGCGACAAATCGGAATAATGCATCAACAGATGAGCGCGAGCACAGACACCCTCAACAAGTTGCAGAATCAGACCGACGCCTATGTCAACGGTTCCCTAGACGTGATGGACAGTATGAAAGGAAAAGTAAGTCAATTGAAATATGTAAATATCAAGATAAATGACAATGGCGTGATAGAAAAGTCAGGCAAATTTTACAATAGATATAGTCGGAAATTCAAAATATTTAAGTATATCTAACGATTTAAAAAAAAAATAAAATTATTCAGGAGTGATATTTCAAAAAATATACACGTATGTAGCTAAATATTTATAGTGGGTTCCATTTTTTTGTGTTACGACGTATCTCCCTTATTAATTAAGCTTGTTGAGACTTTCGTCGTCCAGGGGTAATTTGTTTTGCTTATTGCTTCAACAGTCATGGCCAACTGAGACTGTTTAGTAAAAGAGAGAGAAGAGAGAAGTACTATTAGAGATTTATTTAAAAATGAATTGGCAACGAATTCTTATGGAGGAGCACTTAGAACCCAACTATACCAATTTTTAATAATACAGGGTGTTTGAAATATCATTTACGCCCCGCTTAAAGTTGTTGTAAAATCTTTAATGAAGATTTGATTTTATTATTTTTTTTTATAGATCTCTCAAAAACGCACTAAAACCTTTGTTTATTATTACATCAACCTGAAGTCATGGCTAACTGGGACTAATTTTTGATGTCAAATATCGAGAAGGGCCATTGGGGATTTCTTTAAGAATAAATGTCAACGAATTTTTATTCAGGACTACATAAAACCTAGCTATACCAATTTCCGTAAAGTTTGTTTATGGATCAATTTTGATCATTCTTTTTTTGTTGTATATATTTCACTGAAATAGCACAATTGATTGACGACAGAGCCTTAAATAAATTATATAATTTATTGCAACCCTATTACATCCAATTTCGCATAGCGGTCATATATTGTCATGCCAAAAGGAATTAAAATAATGTTTAATAAACTCTCTGACAGCTAAAATATATTAGGGGGAACGGGCACCGTTTTCCATGGACTACTTATAAATAAAATTAAAGACAAAAATATAAGATATGCTTTGTATTTAAAATGCTTCTTATGTGTTACATATTTTTTAAAATTTCATAACAAGCCTAATGCAAATTATTAAAATTCATGTGTTCCATTTTAAAAAAGCATAGTTTTAGTTTATATTTGTGAGTTTCAGAAGAAAACATATATACATGTATACATATATGTCATATAAGATTACTTTGAAATTCAATATTTTTGCTTAGTTTTACTTTATTTACTTACTTATTGGGAAATTTACTGGTCAGAAAATAGCAGCATTTTTTAGGGAAGATCATTTCAAACAACATTTCCCATTTAACTAATATTTTTATTTTATGAAAACGGAAATTTTTAAATCAATAGGTAAAGAATACATTTTATACCCAACTTTTGTTATTACACGGAACTACTTATTTTTATAATTTATTTATATTTATATAATAACTCGGTTGAATTATCATTTATTTATACGAAATCAGATCATGCGTCTTTTACTTACCCAAAACTAACCAAAAAAAAAACTTTCTTTTGTCATTGGTGCAACCATATGCAACACAAGAATTTATCAATTTGAGAAAACGTTAATTAACATCAACACGAAATTATTGGTAGACATTCTACATGCACAAGATTGTCACCTTAAAAAATACTCAAAATTTATCACAAAAAGAACGTAGATCCAAAAAGACCAACAGATTTCTTATAACAAGAAAAAATTCTAAACCTTGTTCACGTCCGTTAAAGCGCAGTGGTGAGGTGTTGGTTTTTGGTTAAAACCAACGCTTTAACCACAGTTATGAATCGAACATTTCGTGATTCCGAGACTTGCTTGCAGGTTGGTCAAATCACTAGCCACATGTCCGAAGTGGAAGAAAATCTAAACTACCTGCTGGGTCGACTGTCGCTGGTAACCCAAGAATTCAACCGGATAAAGTCCGGCTTGGGATCTGCCCTGGACGAGATACGGGCCAGCTTTCAAACCGTGCAGGACAAGTTAAAAAACAAAGGCCCTGGTCCGCACAAAATATCCAGCAACGAAATAATCGAAACTTCGTAAATGACGCACATTAATCGTTCGCTCGTAATTCAAACCCGATCGGTTTTGATAACCGATTCAATTAGTTCAATTAGGTTCTATGTAATTTGTAATATTTTTGCAAATAAAGATTTCCGAAGGAAGGTATACTCCCCAACCCACACCATAAACAAAACAATTCCTTCGTGTGTAATATAGTATTACGAATAATTTAATATAAACCTCACAATCGAATTCCATAAACAGATTTACACATGCTCTCTCCTACAATTGTTTTTATATAGTATTATTTTTTTTACGTTTTCAGACATCAAATTTTGCTATGGCGTTTTCGTAACAAGGGAATCCGACTAAATTTCACCTACGAACCTGCACTTTGCGCCATTTTCTTGCTAAACAGCGATTTCCACACATAACTGGATTTTTCCCTGAAAATTTAATGGAATCTGGGCAGAGACTTTGTCAAAATAAATGGTTGAAAACGCAACGTCTAAGCTGAAAACTGTCGAATTTGACGAAGTGTCAGCGGCCATGTCGGTTTTCAAGCGCCGAAAGGTCTTATTGGTCGAAGCAAGTTCCCAAATAACTCGCGCATAAGCGCCCTATCAAAATGTTTTTATATTGGTTTCAAGGGTGCCTGTATCATTAGCTTACATTAATTTATGACGTCAATCAACACTACCTCTACAATAGAGATGAAAAACGACAGACACAGTCTGAGCGTCACCTTGAAAATGAAGAATAAATGGTTGTACTTTTCGATTGAGTATTTGAGTATTTTTTTGAATGGGTGAGATAACACCTAAATATTGAAACGACGAACATTTTTTTTTATTTTTTAATAGATTTGTTTATGTATAACGCATACCAAATCTCAACTCAATATTTAAGTTGCAATAAATAATTCAATTTGTGACACCCGGTCATTCTTCTTAAACGGCACTAAACGCGCGGGAATGATCGTGACGTCATACCGCTGTTTTTTCGATCGATACGGATGTTATAGTGCTATTCTCAGGTTCTAGGCCGAGAATTAAATTATTTACGTTTATTTTTGTCTCGTGTATCATGTGTTTGTATTTAATCTACGTCGACCAATATTACAAATCGTGCCACCGTATTTGATTAAAAGTTGTAAAACGCCAGATAAATATTTTATTCGTCTACCAAAAAATACAAACCATAGTTTTTTTGTTAACATTATGTTCATGTGTCGCGTTAGCCTTAACCGTGCAAACACTTTTAACTCTTCGAACTTGCACCCATCCTATTGCAGTCTCCTTAGGAATGGCTATAAACTCTATAAAATAAATGACACTTTAAGTCATCAATGCCAACATACTTTAAAATCAGTATTTAGGTTTCCAATAGTTTAAAAAAATCCTTTTTGTCAACACGTTGACGTTCTCCAATGGCTTCTCTATGAAATTGAAAGAGTTACAACCTGCATTGTTGAATCATCAGGGGAAGTACTAACAATCGATTTAAAATCACCTTGTACGATCAAAAGTAGTTGTTTATTTAATTTTTATTCAGTGCTAATATTATCATCCTCTGTTGTACCTGTTTGCCCGAGTTATTTATCTAAGACCGACTGTAGTCGCAGAAAAAGTCCTTCAGTAAAGGCAAAAAATAGAACTTAAATAGACGAACCTTGGAGACTCAGTCCTCTTATAATACTTTTACTAATTTCTGGCATACAACAAAATGTCGAAAAAACATTTGTCTATTTTATATTAAAGAACTAAATACAGTACATTTAAAGTGTCACGTTTTTGAGTTCCAGAATTTCCAGTCAAAGCAACTGTTATAAATCTGATTACTGAAGTAAATTAGTTTTTAAAAGTTACGAAAACATACTTTCTCTGCAGTCTATTATGTTCAATCTTTTCTTATGCCTGTAAGTTTTTGAGAAGCTCTTTTTTGGTCATAACTCTCGCCCAGACTAATATCAATTGAAACGTATATTTCTTATCCTCTTTCACCTATATTTCATACCATGAACGCCATGCAACCAGATATACCGCTCGCTACATTTATTTGCAAGGTCAAGGTACTAGGTCGAATTCGAAAAATTAAATAAAATTAAAAGTTTACAAATAAAACCGGGCAGTTCTATTATTTATTAATTTTATTTATGCAAATTATGCGCTAGGTACAATATAGAACGCAAGATCCGCCGCACGAAAACAGCGTGATCACTTTTTTCTTGTTTAAATCTCTCATACCCCTTTTCGGTACTCAGTACGTACAATGGATCAGTTTTTTACCGTTTACCCACAGATTTTCGAATTTCGAATGTAACGTCAATCTAAAATCTTAAAAGTATATGGTCGTACGAAAGCCGCCAATACGAAAATATACGGTGTGAACGCAACAATATAACCTCCTAAATACACAACGTTGATATGCAATTTATTTATTAACATATTTCGAGCTTAGACTACGTTTAATTTTCGTATTATTAGGCGATCCTTGCGTAAGCGCGGCCTAAATATTTAAACGAAACCTTATTTTTTTACATGTTTTTTTCTTTTTTTTTCTACAAAAAGTTATTCCTTTTGAATGTTTCCCGTTTTCACGTACCAACTAAATCTGTGAGCAAAGCAAAAAAAAACCAATCGAACAAAAATATATACAGATTTGTTGCAATAGTGGCAGTGACCTATTTAATAATATATAAATATGAAATGGGGGTTCACCATTAAAAAAGAATCCGTCGATATCTCTTTTGGTACAGTTCAATTAGACTTTTCGAAACACGAAAGTGCCACATTTTTCATAGCGAACTCCTTGCGCCCCGAGTTTCGGAAAAATCGTACCAACGACAAACCAGTATAAACGAGGAGGATGGATATTACTTTTATTTTTTAAAAAAAGGCACCAAAAGGTTCATCATTAAATCAAAATCGTTGGTACGACTTTCAATGAAATGTTGCGCAATATTTTGATTGCTTACCAATAGAAAATCTTCCTCTTTTACAGAGTGGAGGCAAAAATACAGCTACGACTATTAGGCAAATGCTTTAAACCGCGTATCCCTTCTAATTGTTACTTTTTTCCCTAAATGTAATTTACATCGCGTGGGTTTTTCTTTTTAATAGTTATACTTTCAAGGACGGATGGGTAAATAAAAAAAATGACTGCTTAAAAAGTGTAAGCTCGTTTTGGTTTCTAAAAACTAGCCCAATACCCAAGTTCCCACACAAGTGTCGAGCAAAATGTATTAATTTATATTTGCATCCGTTGGCCGAGACATATCGAACGTCTTAAAACTAGAATAAAAAATTGTAAAAAGCCGTATTTTTGCCAAAAAATGCATTTTAATTCGCTTAACAGTAACAAGATTCGACAAATTACGACCAGGACAAATGTCTGTAACGGTGAATTTGAAATCGACATCAATCTACTCTGGCTCGTTTCCAAAATGGAACACAATCAAAACAAATGTTTTTAGGAACTTTTTCATGCAGAACCATCATCATTAGATATTACGGATATTTTCCTGGGGTAACTTGCTTCTTATCCGCCTAGAACATCTCAATGTTGCATCATGTAGGTATATACAAGGTGGCTAATACAAAAAAATATTACAAATTCAATAACAATCAACAACGATAATTCGACAAATGCATGCTGTTACTCTCAGGTGGTTAAAATTATTTTTGTTTACATTAAGAGTACGTTTTAAGGCCAAATATCTCGGTATTCTGCTCGATTCTACAACAACAACAACAACAAAGAAACCCGATTCCCCCCAAACAGTCTACCTTATACCTAGACCCAGCCTAAGTATAACCGTCATGCGACTAAATTAAAAAAAAAGGAACGCAGAACGCCAAGACTGTCTCGAAGAATTTACTAAAAACGTGTGAATAACAAGGTGCAACACTCAAAAAGTGAAAGTATTACTAGTCTACGCTCCCTTTCACTCGTCATCCCAGCAGTACGAAAACGGCCAGCGAAAGAATATATTTTTAATGGTGTACCAACATTTTTGTTGTACCCTGTCTTTTTTATATATATTTTTTTTTGATAAACCGTCGTTGCACGATTTAAATTTTCCGAGCGTGACATAGATATTTGGGACATTTTGGAACATTTAAAAATAGGGACATTTTGGAACATTCGAAATTTTGACAGCCGTAGCGTTTCCTACCAACGTACCAGAATTTTTGAGACACGCAAACCACAAAAACTGCAAATCCGATATTACTTATACAACGCGTATCAAAAATCTGCCACAACGGCAGTGGTAGCGCTAAAAAACCAAGACGTGACATCGTGGAAGCGCGACCGCTTCCACCGCCACAACGAAGTGTCAAATAAGCGCCCCAAAAAGTCTCTATTAAAGTAGCGTAGAACGTTAAACCTTGATAATTTTGAATATTCGCGTAATATCGATGTCATGCCAAATTCCGGGAAAGATTTGGGGAAACAAAATGTCCGAGTATTGCTACAGAAGGAAGACAGACTCATCAGTCCAAAACAACGCACAACTATGTACAACCCGTAATGTTACTTATGTACACGAGGAGCGGAACGGCCATATCGACACTATTCACACTTATTGTCTTAATTCAACTACAAAATCGATAGGGGAGGTGCGAAAGCGAGTTCTATTTTGGCAGTTCGGTTAAAAAATTCAAGACGGATCTACCGAAACTGGTAAAACGTTTTGTTCTTGTGGTTACGTCGATATGGGGCGTCCGTTAACCTCAAATCAATAACAATTGGACTAGCACGAACTTAGAACCGGCGAACGGGTACGATCGTTCAGCTTCTCCGTGTGCGCAATCAAAAATAAGTGAGCACAGTTTACAAATTAGAGCTCCCTATTGTAACAATTACATGTCTTTAACATTCAATATATATAAACATCAACAAAATGGGGCCGAATAAAAATCCAACCACAAATCAAGTGAAATCAAGCCCGCTCTGATCGCTAGGTTAATTTTATAAACGCACGGTTTCTTTATTGAAATGGTGTGAGTATAGCTTCGGCGCATCAAGGTTAAAAGCTAGTCTCGCTGGTTCATTTAACTCGAAGAACGCCTACTTGATGTTCTCAACAAAAAAAAAGTTGGGAAAACGAAATAGAAGCAGTCCCAAGTCCGTAAGGGTGAACACGCTGCACTCATTATTTTGTATGTTTGATGATCCGCACCCCAACTCGATGAAACAGTTACTACCCCCTAATTTCACGGGAGCGTTAAAATATTACTATTAGTCCTTATAACAATTTTTCCCACGTTGCCGTTAGAGAAAATCAGATTAAATAAACAGAGCCCAATTTCATTTAAGGTACAAAGGGAAGAAACAGCAGAATAAGAATATCTTTAGTTTCTTCATATAGCTATTAGAGTCCATGCTGCTAATACAGGAAATTTTGAAACGACGATGAAAAAAATGTTCAAAAAGGCCATTCGATATATACATGTGCGACCATTTGAAATCTCGTTTTTAACAAACAACAGCTGTCATTTCAAACCAGTGCGTTAATTCGAAGAGTATTCTCCCAAAATATACCCAGATCCCGCTAAATGTTCTGGACGAAAAAACGAGTTAAGTTTCCCAACAACTATGTGATCTAATAGCTATATGAGTTTCTTGTTCGCTATCACTCCCTTCATTTTCGTTACTAGTTTGTTTAGGCACGAGCGCAGCACCGTGGAGCGAGTGTTCAATAAACTAGTTTCTTTCCTCCATTGTGATTCGCCTTGCTCACTACTTTGACTTGAATAAATTGATTGTACCATAAAACTAAAACGTACTAAAATTTTATTAAAATATACAGGAGAGTTTCAAAGTCAGAATGTTTGGGACCCAATAGAAGCAACAATGGAAAAAATATAATATTTCAAGCTCCGCTACGGTATTAGCGGATATCCTGTGACCACGCGTTAAAATAGAATATTCCGACACTATAACAAAAAAATCTCTTGGTGTGATAAAACGTCGCTGCAAAGCCAGCCTCCTATATTGCATTCACTACACATTAACAGAGCGCCAAAAAATAAAGACGTATGACTAGTCAAGGTCACTGAGCAATAGCACCTTTCCAAGCAACCGAATTCTGAGTACCTACCGGCTCTCCCCTTGGAGATAAAAGTATATTGTGCGAATTGACAAAAATGATCTGGGCTAGGGGCACAGGTGTAGAGTGCTTATGGCGGAATGTGAACGTGCTGAAAAACATATGCGGAATAGGCCACATATCAGCGACGAAAACATTAAATTCATTTGGGCAAAATTCTAGCGGCACCCAAGATCAGACGTAACAGGCTCATAACATCATATTAAACAGCATTTTTTTTAGTATGTCCACTTGGCACCTAAGTTAAAAGGTTAAATTTAGTCATACCATTTAAAGTTTAACTGAAATGTGAGGTTATGTCATAAATTCCCCAAGCCGAAATGGTTTCTATCGTCAAAAATAAAAACAATCGAAAATATGACGCTTGTAATGGCGAATTCAATACATACCAGAGTTTGTGTGATCTGGGAGTAACTTCCTGAACCAGGCGAGAGGATCATTGTAACGTAACGAAAAACTATTCTTAACCAAGGTAATAACAAACATTACACCAAAAATACATAAAAAATGCCAGTGTTTAGAGTTCTGCAATAATAAATAATATAACCATATCAATTCGCCCAACTGCAAGCTCTATTATCTGACGCTTAATTTTCAAGTTTCGCCTTTGGGTTTCGTTAACCTGCGTTTTTCAATAAAATGAAACGAGAGCCTGTTATTAGTCACGACCCATAAAATGGAGACAAAAACCTATGTTTTTTTCCTCAGTAACACAAGGTAACTTAACTTAGTAAGTGAATTATTTACCAAAAAACAGTCTTCGAAGTAACGAAAATTGAAATATCGCCAAGAATTGATAACGCCCGGGAACGAGAAAAGCCCAAATCATCTTTGTGTGTTGAAATGAAATCACTATCGTCACGGCCAATAGTCATTACGAACAAAATATAGATATATCATATATCTATCCCCTTTAATCTACACAAAAACCAAACCGAAACCATATTTTATACAATGTACAACTATGTACATATTGTCGTTAAGTATATTTTGTTGAAAGTTCATTTTGCGCTTGGGGAGCGTGGCTATGCCCGCAAAACAGTCACGCTTACTATTATGGTTCACTCGAGGTCGCTCTCAGTGCTTGGACAGAGAGTGCCCCGAGTGCTTTCCCTAACTGCTCGTACTCGCCATGGGGCTTACGGGCGACAAGGGAGTACAGGTGGCATCACGTAAGCAACCGTTCAACGTGACCAGGAGTTTACGCGAACCCGCGTGGTCCCTGTGTTCGCACAGCCAAACGCCTTGCCAAGTGCCCAGATTCAGCTTACCCTCTGTTATTGGAATGGTGAGGGAGGATCCCAGGAAACACGCCTTCACGTGAGCTGGCTGCATTTAAAAACATCGCATATGAAAACGCCGCTCTCAACTACATTCACTTAACAGCCTATCTTCGTACAATAAGGAAAAAAATTCCGATTTCAGCTATAGATTTTCACGTCCACTGTCATTTCATGTTAACGCGAAAAACTTTATTTGACCCAAATATATTATGATGGGATATGGTTATTTCAAAACGAATGCGAAAAACTTGGGGGGTGTTTCTTGGCTTACAATAAATAAATATATATTATATTATATAAACGATGGCTCAAAACTCCATAAGGAAGATATCGCGCTACGAATAAGTGGAAAAAATATGTTTTTATCTTAAAAATGAAAATAGAAAGAACAACAAAATATTACGCAAATATTAGCATTATAAAAACACACTTTCTCAATATACGGGCTTATTAGAAACGTTTAAAAAACTAAAATGTATTGCATGTAAAAAAAAAAAAATAGAAAAATGGTTTGGTTGGGTGCTATGGAACGGCTGTATTTTGTACCAATATTTATCAATTAACTTCTATACAATTTTATTTTAAAAATAATTTATTAATAAATATTGCTGAAGCTTGATCTCTACACAAAATGCTTATCTGCAATTTCTGCATTAATGTGATACACCATTATTGAATTTACACTCTCATTATTGAACAATTCAATAATAATATAACAAATTTTTGGATCTCCTTCACTCATTTAAAAAAAATAAAAATATTGCAAAAGTGTGTTTTTATAATAGTAATACTTCTGTAATATTTTCTAAATAAAAACATTATTTTTCCGCCATATTTTTAGCGCGATATCTCCCTAATAATAGGCATTTGACCCAACATTTAAAAAACTACCCTTTCATACTAACAAAACTTCTAGATTCCTTTTGCGTCGTCGGTTATTAATAAATGGAACTTTGAACAATGGACACTTATTTTAAACAAACATTCACGCCCTTAAGTTTTTCACATCTGTTTTGAAACAACCAACCTGTAATGAGGTTAAGGTCAAAATCACATTTGTTTACGGCTACCATAATTGTAAAAGTATAAAAAGCTATGTCCAAGACAACTGAGGAGTGGTTCATAATATAGAATATGTACAAATTAGAAGGTGGTGATAAATTAATATTAGAAATGTTAAATAAAGAATTTAAAATCTTACAATAGATCTAAAGGTGAATTTTTTATTTTGTGGAAAAGGAAGTCGAACTAATTATTTTTGTATCATTTTAAGGGTGTACTAATGTCAAAATGACACCCCCTGTGACAGTCTGAGGACACATTCAAATATGTATTCCCTGTTGCCAAACTTCAATCCAAATCCAAACATTTTAAATTACCATTACAAAAAAACAAAAATGTTGGATTAACTTAAGATATTTTTAATAATACCCCAACTGTAAAACCCATACCTTATATCCCAGAAGAAAAAGGTTATCTTTTCAAATTAGATGTGGTTCTTGCACACTTTTTACGATATTTCTTAATACAAGAATGCATAGACGCGTTATTTAACGAGGAAAAATTTACAGCAATTACCATATCATCGGGTCCTTCACATGAATGCCTATAAGGTAAATCTTCGGGAACAATTTTATTTAACATCATTTCCATATCGTCTCGGACATCCGGATCCCAACTTTCGTTTAGGGCTAAGCTGGCACTAGTGTGAAGTACTGCAAAAAAAACGACGAACCATATTTACGATAATATTTAACAAAACAATTTGGAGAAACTCATTGACAGTTATCCCGGTGAGGCAACCAAATACTCACTTTGGACGTGACAGAGACCGATGGCGAACTGCGATAGCTCAGGTATCTGCCTCAAAATTTCCTCAGTCACCAGATGGACGCCCCGATGTTGCGGCCTCAGGTTTATCTTTTTTTGAAACCAGGCCGAATTACTCTGAATAATTCTGGCCGAAGAAGCCATGTTTGACTTGCCACTGCCGCTGTCGGTCGCCAGTTTGAACGTTTATTTATAACACCGATCACAAACAATCAAATTCCACTAAAGCACTTTTAGACCTCAAGATCATTATTATCATGAGCAATTCATTGACGGATTTTTTTTATAATAGTTCCAGTGGAAATTATAAAGGTTACACCAACCTTCCTTTCCTAACCGCAGTACGAGCGGTCCGTTTCTGACAGTTCGTCCCGGCTCGGGAATCGTCGGACGGGCGCGGACCGAATGCGCGCGTGATTTAAAAAATTTAATGTACCGGATGTCCCCAAATACACTACTAAATATATTTATTTACTTCGTCGGCTTTGCTTTAGGGAACAAAAAAGGATGTTGAAAATTTTTACCCTCAAATTTTGCAGAAGTGATAGTGTGTTAAACCTTTTCGGATTATTTTTATTTTTAATTCCGTGCATTATTCTGGTGCTGTTGGATCCACCCAGCCCAGCCTATGCGGATAGTACAGGAATTTTTGAAACGAAAATTATATTGAGATGGCCCATTTTATATGAGCATGCGTGGTCATTTGAAATTTCGTTTTCAACCAATTAGACTTGACGGTGTTCAACAGCCATCATGGCCGTTGACAGTTCGTCAATTCGCACAGGTTTCAGTTTAGATGTATCATTTTTACAGCAGTATTTTCTCATAATATGCTCTGATCTATTTAAATGATTTGGGAAAACGAGTTAAGAATATAAAAATCGCTGTTTAGAAAGAAAATAACGAAAAGAGCAGATTGGTGAGGTACGTACATTTTTCATCAACAGGGCCACTAAATTATCTAATAGAAATATGGATTCACCGCTCTGTCAAGTTTGTTGGAAAACTTACCTTTAAAGAACATTTCACATTCCGCGTCAAATTCTACTGTTCCGAAAATATACATAGACTTCATATAGACGAATTTTTTGTACTAATTTAAAAATTACCAATGACTACTAGTAGCTAAAATCGAGATATAATGAAGTGTTACACTCTGTATACATTTTTCCTAGAAATATAATCTTGCATGTCGTCGCATACATCCATTATATAAAAAACTCTCGGGGTAGGTGTGTGGCCCAATTATGAAAAGGGGTGCGGCCACTAACACCCTCAATTCCGCTAATTCAGTCGATTTTCATCATTCAGAAAAACAACATGTCGACCGCAACATTCGAGGCTAATCCAGACAGCGAAAACGAACCGTGGATCGAACGGCCGGCAATTGAGGGTTCGAAATTTCGCATATGGCACCTGATGTTTTTCAGTTTTTGCGCCTTTAGCTTTTTGGGTGAGCCCCTGACGTAGAAAAAATTATTTTTGTTACTTATGCGCCGATGAAAACGTGCTGTTTCGATATATAGTGGTCGTCATCTGTTGTTGCGTACGAATTCGAATACCCAGAACGAAGCAAGAAATCGAGGCAGATTATCAACGCAAAAAGGTCGCCAACAAGTTTAAGAAGCGTCTGAAACACATCAACGATCAAGTGATGGAGTCCATCGATTTGAAACGAGGTAGCGAACGAATTTAAAGCTCGATTTTCACGACACAATTTGACGCAGCGGCGTAAACAATTTTTATCTCGAATTTAATGCGAGTTGCAATAACTTTCGTGGAATTTTTTATATTGCCTATTGGATATTTGCATTAACAGCGATTTCGTAGGTATGTCGATGATCTAAATTTATATACTCCATTTTTTTTGTTAGTTTTGGTTAGTTTTGGTTTCGAAGTGACTGCTAAAGACAGATGTCAGTGAATACCGATTCATGATTTCACTGCACTCTAGATACTCACGTTGATAGCGGAGTAGCAGAGACTAGATTAGCATGATTGGTGGTTGCCAATGATTGCTATTTTTGCAATCAAACCATCCAGCCTAAGAAACTATCGCAGCAGTACTCAAATTTACCGGGTGATACAAGAAAGTGGGAACACTCTATAACTATTAAACGGCTTGAGATAGCGATTTGAAATTTGGAAGGGTTAATATAGGCTAAATGTACATTTAGTTGCACAAAAAACCCGATAAGGCAAAATATTACTTAGTGGCTTTGCTTCTATTCATTGTTAATTGTCAAGTCGGTAAGATTAAAAATGCAGAAGAAACTCTCGACAAGCTCATGCAGTGGAAAGAAAAAAACAGAGTTTCTTCTGAGATTCAACGATTAGAATTGTTTGTTGAAAGTGTTTTATTATGGTAACAAGTTGATATGCTTTTGGAATACTGGGATACAGTCAAAAACTGACGTAAGTATTGTATGTATACGTATGTCATAAGCGACAAGCAGTTTTTATCGGAAACTCAGAAGAACAAGAGAATAGTAATATTTTGTTTTCTTTTCAAATCGGTCACTTCCAACCTCAACAACGTCGGTAGAATCGATTTGAAAGTGGTATATCAACGTGTTACTGTAGGACAAGTTTTACATTGACACATTCATTTATTTTGGAACTGGAGTTTTGTATTTATTTGAATTAAATAAATGCGATAGATATTTACTTAATAACCAGTTTATTTTAAGATGAATAATAAAATGTCTTGTATACGACACTGCCTGGTTCTAGAAATTAGTTTCGCTGGAACCCTTCCTAACATTTCTGGAGTTACACTATCAAATGCGCTGTAATTTTTGTAGGTTGAACAGTGCAGTTACATAAACAGGGTCTTTCACGTATCCACAAACAAAAATATTTAACAGTATCAAGTCCGGTGACCGTGGGGGCCAATTGACTGGATCGCGTGTTGAGATTAGTCTACTCTAAAATCATGGGGAGGCGCGCCATCCTGCTGAAAATACATATTTAATGTCACGACAACAGGTAAATCATCTAACGAGTCTTGAATTTCATTTTTAAGAATTGTAAATATCTGTACCAGTTAAGGCACCATGAAACAAAAACAAGCGCAATAATTTGCCTTCCTATCACTCCTGTCCAAACGTTGATTCCGAACTGTTCTTTAAACTGTCCGGGACGAATAATTTTTTGATTACTTGTTCTGTCTGTGATTCATCAGTGAACAAAATTGAGTTAACGAAATTATTATTCTCGTCATGTTTATCTAACAGCCAATTACAATATCGAAGTCTTCTTACACAGTCATCTTCATAAAGATGTTGATGAAGGTTATACTACTTATATAAGAATGACAGCCGTGTTTTTTTTTAATTCTCCTCCCAGATGTCTGTTTCTTTTCCTTCCAGTGAGCTTATTTTTTAACTGATTTTGAAAATTTCGGTGTCAAAATGTTGGAAAAAAAGTATCGGTTTTAAAATGTTTTTGTTCGCAATAGAGTGCTATTTGAAAAAACTAGGTTGTCTTAGAAAATTAATAGTTCATTACATTAAACGCCATTTGCCATTAGACAAGTAAAGAAAAGTTTTCTTTACAATTTTTACCATGATCAGGTGACCCGGTACATAGTATTTATGATGGTCACAGCCTCCTAGACACACTATTCAAAAATTAAATTTGAATCCAAAAATGCATAAGTTGTAACATTTAAAATTCGAAAGTTACTATCGTTTCCGCTCAAACCGGACGACATATTGTTAAAAAATTGGACATTCGGCCTATATTAACCCCTGAAATTTTCAAATCGTTCCCACTTTCTTGTGTCATCCGGTATACACAGTAAGTTTAACTTACTTTCGGCTGATGACATTCCATTTACTCAAAGTTACACTAACGGTTTTCTTTTAGTCGCAGAATCTCGGCGTGCAAAAAATTTACATTAGTTTTGGAAACAAGTCGCAGCGTCAAGTTGCTTCATTTAATACCTCTAAAAATCGGGTTTATGATAAAGCAATGGCGTCCGATCGAATCTTATTATGTTACTTCGCCACTGTATTTTAGCACTGGAAATTATTATCGAAACAGATTTTCAAAGTGATAATTGTAAGCGGGAAGAATCCATGCCGTGCGAGGTCGTGAATAGCGAAAGCGAAAAATTAGTGGCTCCACCCGAAATCGGCGACAGGCCGAAAAACTTCGGCAAGCTTGTCGCCAACGTAATGAAATTGGGAAAATTTCCGCCTGGCAGCGAAGTTTCCAACGAGGAATTTTGCCAACGCTGGGATTAATAAAAAATGTGTTTTTCATGTGGCTTTTTTGTTAACGCGCCGAACCATTAATTATTAAACAAATTGAATATAGAGTGATGACATCGGAATACTTGTATATCTATTTTTTCTATTATTACGAAGAATAATTGACACTCGGTTTTTTTCTGGTAATACCACTTTTATTTTTCGAAGAGACAGTTACTTTCAATTACATTCAGCACCCTGACCCCAGAGATGTTTTCTGCTTTAGAACTAACACAAGAATACCCCTTCAAATCTACCTAAAAAAACCATATGCCCCCGCATAAACTTTTAATTGCCGCTTTTTCGAAAATTCCCAATTTCTTACATTTACCCAAAAATTTACAATATATTATAAAAAGAAACCTTACTTGATGTATTTTGAATATTATTGTGTGGTCACATCTTGTTACTTTGTCGGTTTTTAATTTGGATTTTTGTCTCGTCTGTCTGACTTTAGTTTGATTTAATTTGTTTAATATTATGAATTTTCGGAACCTAAAGGAACTTAAACCAATGGCACTTTATTACCCTGACCTGATGACAAATCCAGGTAGTGTATTAACTAACATCAAATCACGTTTTGAACTTATTTTTTCAACATACGGTAAATACTTTTTTTTCTTTTAAAATTTTACTGTTTCAAATTAAACGATATAGTTTATTTCGTGCCATTTTTTATTTGCTGCTTCAGAGAGCAAAATGGACACGCTAGAGGCGCTATCGCCGCGTTCTAGTAAAACTGATTTTTAAATGCCGTGTGACTTATGTTATTCTTTTTTGTGTTTTGCGGTGGGTTTCGTGTGTTTTCGGTGAAATTATTCTGGAATACTTATTACGTTATTACTATAATTATGGGGTGCAAAAAACTGAGTGCTAATTTTCCAAACCTTGGTTTATCTCTGGTACAATTAATCCTGTAACGAATTCTCCTCACTCTAGTTATTCCCATTCTTAAATATTAGTTCCCGCTTATTTTGTAGCTCAGAATCGTCGGAATAAAATATTGACAGGTTTTATGAATAAGGAGCAGAGATTTGAACCAATAATACCATGGCCGCTGATAGCGCTGGCTGTCAGTTCGTGAGTATGACCGTTTTTACTTTAGCTGAGATTTTTTCGACGGTATTCTTACAATATATGGCCATGCGTATTAAATTTCCAGTGAAACAATGAGTTGAGTGTGTTGACGTTGCTGCAGAAGATTGTTTAAAAGAATGACGATGACTGATATGCAGGTATGTAGATCAATTTAAAAATCGGTTTAAAGAAATATTATCTTTATTCACTATTTACAACAAATATACAAAAAACTAACAGCAACTTCTAAATTTTCAATAAAGAAAAAAGATTAATTGACTAACGCATAATGGCGTATTTATATGGTACAATGCAAAACACCATATGACTTAATTTCGGGACCTAACGACGTAGACACAAAAATTCATATGCATATGGCATGGTAACAATATAAGGTCAGGTGTACTTTTTTTGGTCAATAATGAATGTACGAGCATAGAATTAGAACTGCTAGAACGCTGGTAGAGAGAAACCCCTCACGAAGAAGGAAACGGGAGTTGGGATGATATGCGCCTGCGCAGAAATATATATAATAGGTCTGTAAAAAATAGTTGTACGGAAGTATTGTTGCCAGATAAAGGACAAGTCACATTTTATGTAAATTTTAAATATATTCACAGAAACAATATTTTTATATATTTTTTACTTGTAAAGCTAGATTTCTAGTTACTTTATTTTTTTGATCGGCAATTTCGACTTTTCATCTTTATTACCTTCGTAACTATTGGCAACGCCAATTTTTAGAAGCCGTTTCTTTTGTAACCATAAATTGTATCCAAAATAATTTCATATTATGATGCGCAGATTATTTGATAGTACACATTCCAACACATGGATGTTCAGTCTCTCTTTCATCGTGAGTGAATCGGCTTATATATATTTACTGATATGCCAGCCTTCTAGGAGTATTATTTCTATGGGTTCCAGGTTGGAATCAAAGGCCGGGATTAGCCAACTTATTCTTATATGCTTATTTGTATTTGTATTTTTATTGTATATCATGGAAGTCTGGCAGTTGTAAACAAAAATCACAAAAACAATAGGTTATACAATTCCTTAATTTAAATATACAAACTCTTCAACAACAAAAAGGGGGTTAATCTAAACTCAAAATTCTCAAATTTCAATTGTTAAAGACTAAGAAATTGGGTAAACGCGTTAAATTGCTAATAATTTACAATTACGAATTACAAATTAAAAATACGAAGTTGGCTAATCCCGGCCTTAGTGAGGTCGTTGAGTACCTCCGGATGCCGCCGTAAATTTCGCCTTCGCAGATGCAGAAGTCCGAATTTTACCTGTGTATAACAAACCACGGTTTTTTTTTTCGTTTTTCTTATAACTTCTGCGATTTTTCAAGATTGAAGCTGATATTTTTTGGTTGGTTTAATTTTTTTTTAAATAACTGTTTAAAAACAAAAGGCTCGATATTATCTGGCAGTTATATGGTTTGCAATACTCAGCCGGGGGTTGGCACATGCGTGAAAGCCATGTATACCTTCAACTGCTTGCTGCCAACTGTAACTATTTATTTATTTTCTACATAAAATTCTGTTATAAAACTAAAGTAATGGGTAACTTTTTTATTTTTATTTGCCGCTTGCGTAACTAATCAGATATATTGCCATTCTTATATGAAAGAAGAACACAAACATATGAAATATCCGATAAAATATTTGGAAAATGAAAATTTCTGTTTTGCGTTACGTAAAACATTTTTCTGGAATATCAAAATTCTGGAATTCTTCAAGTTGTTTTTTAAGTGTTATTAGCAAATACCAACCCCGTAATTTAAATTTACGTGGCAAATCACAGATTAAAAGACGACTTTTATATATATAATATTGACATGGCGACGGCACTGCGTTAAAGGAGGCGGAGTCTGAACATGCATTCGCCGGTAGTTTAATTTTTTTTTCGTTATTTAGTACACCATTTAATTGAAAAACAAACACGAACGAACAAGTTTTTGTGCTAGTAAAGTAAAGTTTTAAAGTTTTCAAATTCATTTATTAAAAAAAAAAGTAGTTTCTCAGAATCTCATCCACGTGGTCGCCAGACCGTCACTAAATGAAAATTTGTGAGCGTGTCCATTCGACTTGGACTTGGACTTTTACTTATTTACAACCGAAACAAAAACTATTGCGCGCATCTTTGACATTTAATCCCCGCCCACGCCTACTGCTCTTCTCCGTGATAAAAGTCTGTGTTGAGTCTGGCGGTTAGGACGTACACGACGGCCTCGTAAGTGGACATCATTATGGCGGTGTTAGGAATTTGCCTTACCAATTGAGTCTTCAGTCCCCGGTACATGCCCCTGGCGCCCTCTTCTTTTATGACTAATTGTAGCGTTTGGAACAGGCCGGTGTATTTGTTGCCTTCTTCGCGGAGCCGCGTCCGCGCCACCTCGTGAGGGTACGCTATACAAGAGGCCACGGTTTTCGATATCGCGCCGGCCACCATGAATTCTAAAAAGTCCGTCGAACTACGCTCGTCGCCGTCGTAAGCGTGATACGCTAGCAGTCTGGCTTTAATCCCTTCGTATATCACAAAATGTATAATCGTTTCGGATATGCCCATGTACGACGCGGTTATGCCCTTGTAGAACCCTAATATACCCTAAAATCCCATAAGCTGGCGTTAAACGTTCAACGAAACCAGCAGCTAAACTTACGGATTTTCTGTATATATGCCGCACGCATTGAAACGCGGTCATGGGACGTTCTTTGTTAAGATCAAGCTGTAACCTGGTCTTAACGAACCATATCGGGTTCGTTAGGGTGCACGCCATAAATCCGGCGCACGAAGCCGAACACACATGAACCATTGGCGAATCGGGAGGCAGTAGGCTGTTCCAGAACCGTTTCGCCTGAGAATAAGTCGAAAAATAAATCGCCCTCGATGGCGCTACACCTACTAAGTTTGGTCCAAGACCTACAAGTAAAACAAACGTTTTTTGTCTAAGAAATATCTAAATAACTTTTTCATCAAAAATTCATCACCCAAAAATGAGGTTATAACTTATGGGTTGGTTCTAATCATATAGCTACTAAACATATAGAGGCCCTGCCAGTACAGCAACTCATGAAGCAACTATGGAACATTTTTTTTGAGAAGCTCCACTCAACGTGAGCATGCGCGAGATTTCAAATTTTGTTTTTAACCATTGGCAGTTCTAATGGAAAATTCTAATGGCTTCTAATAGATCGTCCATGTTTGGATGCGGCATTTTTACAGCAGTATTTTCTCAAAAATGTCGAAATCGTCTTAAATTTTCAGGCAACAAAGAAGCGCAGAATTGCAGTACCCGGCGTCAATATAATTCTGTTTTTATGCTTTAAGCCCTGTACATACCATGCATTTTCTACATGTATTTTTTCATGTAAGCTATTTTTTACGATTTTTTTTGCTTCTTATTCGGCGCAAAGCGTTAGTTTGCATACTGAAATTACTTTGAGATGCTAGATATCGCACAAAAAACATCTGCGGAAAAAATGTTCAACAAACACCTCCTACAGACAGTAGTTGACGAAGGGTATTTCCTATGCTTGTTCTAGTAAAAATTCCACTTGTAGCATAATTGTTTTCTTATATTTCCCACAATTCTTGTACACTAAAACATATTACCCAACATTCTTCGTAGCTATTTAGGTATACCCAAAAATGTAGGGAATTCTGTTTAGTAAATTCACATGTAAATATTTATGTAAGTCTATTTTCCAGTTTGTTAAATGTCAATGTCACTGTTTCTTTAAGATAATATTATCCTACATTTGCCACAATTGCTGCAATTTCCTAAAAGAACAAAGTATTCAAAGCACAAATTATACAACTTTGTGAGTACGGTACGGAGATATTGACACCAAAAATGAAAACAATGGCACAAGGCAATGTTCAATGTGTTCTGTGACAATAGTAATTACTCATCTCGGCGTTGCCTATTATGTTCGGATTTCAGAGATTGATGTTTCGGTCTTATAAAAATTAATCAATTTTCCAGAAAAATTACGGCAATGTAGCAACTCAGATAGTTGGGAGTGACGCATGCGCAAAAGATCCATACCATCTCTAAGAAAATATCATAGCCACCTGCGGCGCATCAATTTTTATCGTAGTAGGGCTACTACATTATCCTATAGCTATATGGTTCCGATCAAAACCACCCAATAACCCCATATTATGGAATCAACGGATATTAAATTAAATTAAAACGTGCTTTTTAAATTTCTTAGTCAATAATCAGAACTAAGGTACTATATACGTTTGTACCACATAACTGCTAGAGAGAGGCCCTGCCTATGCTGATAATTTATGAGCAACTGTAAAAACAACTTTGAGAAGGTAGATTTGACATGCGCATGCGCAAGATTTAAAATCTCGTTTTCAACCAATGGCACCTGTAATTGTAAATTTTGACTTTCGATCAATAAAACCTTCGGCCATTCGACAACCGACATGGCGGCGGATAGATCGTCAATAAGTTTGGATGCGGCATTTTCACGACAGTCTGAAAGATCGTCAATAAGTTTGGATGCGGCATTTTTACGGCAGTATTTTCTCAAAATATGTCCAGTTGGAGGTTACACATGAGCAAAAAATCAGTTTCGACTATACGAAAATATAGCCACCTGCGACGCATCAACTTTTACCGTATGAGGGCCACTGTATTATCTAATAGCTATATGGTTTGCACCATCCTCGCGAATATAATACGGATATTTTGCACCTCTTATTTGCGCATAGTTTTACTTTATTTCAAAATACATCATTTACTATTATGATTGAGATTCACGTCATTTCCCATTGCCACCAACACAATGTTTTCCTTTATTTAAAGAAAGAAACTCCAGTTTAATCTGACTTTTCAACCTAACGTCAACAAAAATTTCGAATTGACAGACTGACACATAACCTCAAACAACCTTGGCAAATATGACATATCGTGACAGGAAGTGACTATATCCAAAGGAGATCCCGACAAAATACTACTTATACCGTCAACATGAAAACATGTTCTAAACGCATATTAATACAGATGACTTAAAAAAAATTATTAGTACAAGACCAAATTGTCATTGTCGCTGTTTAGGCTTTATCGTACTCTGACGTTGATGGTGTTCTGAATTTTTTCGATATTGAAACAGGGATGACTTGCTGAGCATACCTTTTTGTTCTACAACACAATACTATTTTTGTCGGCGAAAGAGTTGTTTTCAATTTATAATTTTTGTGAAGATGAGGGCTTCCGGTTTCCGGCCATTTAATCCATCATTTGTCAATTCTTTGGATATAATGGTCAGGTCACTGAATTAACACGAGAACTAATTAAAACTCAAATAACCTTTAAAAAGCGCCAAGGGACCCTCATACCGAACAATGTGCCTTATACACTGCAGAATGCCCAATTCATTTGCCCTACCCGCACCCAAGCTCGGCGGTGCGGTAAAACCTGAAAGAGCCACAACTTGAGGTCGGCAATACGGAGCAGATGTTGCCAACCTACGCCTGCTGCAGTGTTCGCTCTGTATCTGACCGTGCCATTTTAATTTGGGAAAATTGGGCGAACCGTTGGGCATTACGACGCTTCCCCCTCGGGAAGATTGCTGGCGGGTTTTGACTACTTCTAAGGGGCAGGTGACGATTGCACCGAGGGTGCCAGCCACTCTAAAAGCAATCAAGTTTCCAATAAGTAAGCGAAATTTGTGCGACCAAAAAAACTTTACTTCAATATTTTTAATCTAAAATAATTGCAAAAATATGCGGTCCCTTTTGAATAGTACATTTATTTTCATCATAAATAATTGAATGGCATTTTTATTTGCAAACAGTTATTATAGTTGATCTACGAATTACGTGGTAATCTATGATAATTATGATAAAAACAACTTACAATCACTGCCACGGATTGTTTACTATTATCGAGAATACCGGAATTGTTGCATGTACTTGTTAAAAGAGAACAAACTGTGCCGTTGTAAACATATTTTTGGCATGGGTGTAATAAAAATAGTCTTAGGCGAAAAATAAATAGAAGATTCGACTTTTTTTTTTTCAGGGAAACCACAATCCGTGTTCTATTGGTAGTGATTCGCTACATTTTAAATTTTCAAACGAATAAAGGAATACACTAATTTTGATTTTCGATGTTGCATTTTATATTTAAATAGGTTAAGAAATATGGAACTATCTGGAAAAGTAAAAAAATATTCCGTGCTCATAAATTAAATCGGATTAACACATGACTATTCAAGGATAATATATTTCGTGTTAACTTAAAATTAGCCAACTCGTGCAATGAGGAAAAATGCACATTCCGCCAATATCAATATAAACACCGACAACTAAAATGTAAAAAAATGCAACGCAGTAAATGCAATGTCAAACAGCTGATTGTTATTATGAAAACAATTGATATTGCCATTCGTTTTAATTTTTTGCGACAGAATTGTAGATGAGACCGAGAACGTAAAACGTATCAAAATTATGTAAGCCGCCGCAAATTCGAGGTTAGACTAGAAATGTAAATATAAATAAAACCACTACGTAAGCATACGTACCCTCCTGCCACCAGATGGATTACAGTGTCTTTTTGGCTCATGTCGTCAAAATATCACAAAATTTATATTACAATAGTCTTTTTCAATGCTTTCGCTATTCGCTTCACAAAAAAGGAGATTCGGCTACATTGTCAACATAGATTTTTACAACCAAATGAACGTGGACATGAAAATTTCAATCGCAGGCGCCCCGGCGATAATCGGGGATGACGAGTGTAATTTTCCGTTTGTCTGAAGTTACGTCGCATACGTGACAGAATCCTCGTACTCCTATTTTAACTTTTGAGTTTCACTGCAGCTTCGATTTCGAAACACTATTGACAAGTTTCTTCGTTAACGTCTACGTTCCTAAGGTACATTTTCCCTTAACAGGACTCCCCATTCGAAATAACATGCCGCAATCACATGGTAATTGACCGGTATTTTCGTTTAAAACAGATTTTTGACAAAATGCCCACAAGTAATGACAAAATTATTCGTATTGATTTGGGTTTCACCTTTGAGTTTTCATTTATCACAAAAACGTTCCTTCGACAACACACGACGGGTCCTTATATTACTGCGCATTTTGCAAACAATTGGAGAAAACACATGCTTCGAAAATATCAAATCCTCATTCAACACCAACAACTCGAGTGAAACAGAAGTATGTTGTTTATCAGCAAATAACTTGCGCAAACCTGAGCCGATTAGTAAAAAGAAATTTAAAAAAGCGCCCCACCCTCCACCCCACCACTGCACACTTCAAATTGAATGAGAGCGAAATGTCTAACGAACCATAAATAAACACACAAAAAATGCACCGGTTGCAGGAGAACTGTTGCACTTTTTTGCCAAGACAAAGTTTATAGTTAAATGTTCATTTTAATTATTGTTCTGTGATTTTAATTAAAAGAAGGAACGAAACGAGTTATTAATCGGAGATATTCGGACCGTATACGTATGTGCAAAGATGAGACCAGCATTCGGCACAGAAATAGTATTTGTGGAGATCTATTTTGAGAACGAGATAACTAACCACTGATAAAATCGTTTATTACGTCAATTGAGGCTGTTTCGGTCATGTTAATATGAAAATGTGAGGTTAAGAACGCAGGACATAAATAAACAAATAATTATCAATGACCGTTCGAACAAACGTCCACAACAGAGCTTTTTATTGTTATGTAGTTTTGAGTATTTGGATCTTATTATTGGTGGCGGGCGTTTACAGATTTTTCGAGTGGCATTATAAAGAATCGGAACCTGCTGTGGTAACGACGGAACTCTTTAACAATTTGGGAATCGCCGACGCCAGGACCAAAAGGATTTTTAAAATTTGCAATTTTCCGGATGAAATTTATCAAGGAGACGAAGGTGCTTTGGAGTTTCATTGCAAAATATGTTTCCCTTATGTTAGTTCTTTTTAGGTATTCTTAATCCTAACAAGTGGGTTTTGAAAGGTTTAATAGTTTTAATCAGGCATGGTGACAGGGGACCATTAGAGCATATTAAAAAAATCGCAAACTTAAACTGTAATACGGAAGAAACACATATCTTGTCCTTGTATAAGGTATGGAAGTTTTTTCCATCTTGGACAGCCATCAGTGAGATCAGTGCCTAATTTTTCAGTTGCATTTCTGATTCCTTTTCTCTCAACCAAGTTTTTACACCTCTATTATGTCTTTTTTGTAGTGATTACTTGTAAATATGAAATCAACAAAGTTTTTCTTTCCACTGATAGCAACAACTTCTTTGATAGTAATAAACTTCAAAATTAATTAATTCTGGGTTTAATTTTCAGTCTTATGTGCATAATTTGACTGTAACAGGCAAAATACAATGGACGGGACCGGGCCCTTTTCACGGTTTTTCTGTGCTTCCGACAAACCCAAACCAGTGTCTTCTGGGTCAGTTGACTATGCAAGGAATAAGCCAGCTGTTAAATTTGGGTCGTGTTATGGGTAAAAGTTACCGCGAAGTGTGGCCCAAACTGGCAAAACTAAAACCCGAGGAGGTTTTGGTGCACAGCACGCGATACAAACGCACATTCCAATCGGTCCTTGCGTTTCTATACGGGCTAGTGCACTACGACACGGTGACCAAAATAAATATCTTGGAAAGCCAGTCGATGAGCTTTTGCTTTAAGGACTGTGTATGTCCGGTTACAGACTCTTTAACGAAGTACGTCAAAAATACAGATTTTTTAAGTAACTTACGCCTGGTCTTCAATTTCAGATTCGTAAGAAAAAGTTCGTCTTTTCAGTTACAATCCCATCCGGCAGTGGCCACGCTTTCAGACGCCACTGGTCAGCTGCTGTTTTCATCCGAAGCGGAAAAAAATACCTTCGCAAATGATCCCTATGCCGTAAGGGACGCGCTACTAGCCTTTATATGCCACAGAAGTGGTCTACCTTGCGAATCTCCCCAAAATTGCATCAAGTAAGACCCGTTAGCCATAGTTTTCTTAATAATGATAATAAAAATCTTTATTAATAGCACTTGGTAAGTCAAAATACAAAAAATGCAGTATATCTAAATTACACAAAATAAATTATTAATTAAAAAACATATTTTCAAGATACTATCAATAAAAACAGTAATATTAGTTTTCTCAGTCTTAAATAGACATTATTTCGCTCACATTTCTTAATATAAACTGTTTTACTGTTTTACACCTTTACAGAACAGATTATTTTGGTGATATTTTATTAAAAAAAAGTGTTCAGGTTAGTTTTGGTTAGTTTAATTTGTCTTACCCTTAACAGATTTGCATAATTTAGTATATCAACGAGCCTGTATATCTGTCACAATTTAATATCACTCTTAAAGCCTTATTTTTTTTATGTAATACGCCCATGTCTGAATTATTTATTAAAAACAAGAGAGTTATATAGCTATTAGATAATATAGTGGCCCTACTACCGTAACAATTGATGCGCCACAGGGGACATTGATATATTTTCTGCGCATGCCTCTACATTCCACCTACTCACCTGCACTTTGCGCCAGTTTCGTTCTAAATAGCGATTTCCACATACTTAACTTGTTTTCCAAGAATATCTAACCAGATCTAGGCATATTTTGACAAAATAGTGCCCCATCCAAACTTATTGATTATCTGTCAGTGGCCATGTTTGTTGGCGAATACCGCAAGGTCATTGGTTAAAAACGAAACTGTAAATCTCGCGCTTGCGCATGTTGAATGAACTTTTTCTTAAAATTCTTACACTGTCTGCATAGGCAAGACCTATATATGACTAATAGCTATATGGTGTCGACAGACACATTGACAACTGTCATTCCTTGGTCTTAGTTACAATAAAGCCTTTATTATTCGCCGACAAACACAAACGGGAAATTAGGTTTTAATAATTTAGAGAATTTTTTTTTCAAAGAAACTTCCACCGGCTACTGTAATACTTTTTACAAGACTTCTGGATTCCTCCTGCGTCAGTTTTTGCTAAGTCGAATTCGCTGACGTTTCGCCAATCATCCTGTTGGCTTCTTCAGAGCTTGACTGAAACTGACAAGCTCTGAAGAAGCAGGAGGAACCCACAAGTTTTGTAAAAAGTAAAAAGAAGAGAATTATTGGAAGGATTTACTTGTTATAATTTAATTTGTAAAAAGTCTGAACACAAAGACAAACTTTTTTTGTTTTCAGAAGGCATAATATTGCGGGTATTATGGCGTACACGGACTGGGTAAATTATCACAAATGGAAAAATATTCACTGGAGAAGGTTATGTTTGTTACGATCGTACGGACTGATGCGGCATATCGTCCAGCAAATGCTTCATATGGTAAACGGGTGCCATTATTTGTTGTTGTAAATCAAATTATTTGTTATCTAGGTGTCGAATAATGGCCCGTATCTGGTAGTATATTCGGGCCACGACCACACCCTCGCCCAACTCACCACCGCGTTAGGCTTGGCGAACGACCCGCTTCTTCTGCGTTACGCAGCCCGTGTCGTTGTCGAGGTGTACCAGGACAACAGGCAAAGTCGCAATGATGCAAAGGGGATCTATTTCAGGCTATTGTCCAACGGCAAAGACGTCACGAGACAAATTAATTTTTGCAGAAATCTCGTCAACGTGGATAGGAAGAATAGCGTGTGCAAAATGGAGGACATCGTCCGCTTCCTGCATGACGATTATTTCAGCACGTTGAACGTCACGAATTTCAAGGACGCGTGCGCACGCAGGGACGGGACCGACAAAAGTTTCGTCCCCGAGGACGCCGATTACAATTTAATGAAATTCGGGTAAAGGAAGACTGCTGCTTCACAGTATTTATATTTTAGTTGCGAATACGCGAGGGGTTGCAGATTGAGCGACAGGTTCCGTGAAGCTGTACAGAAGTTTTGGTGGAGCTAGTAAATCATTAGTGCTGGCGAGAAAAATAATACTCACTGTAGCTTTAGCCATATTTAAAAGTCTTGGAATTATAATTAAGAAACTTTAACAGCATATTCAGCAAATAAAAATTAGAAAAAGTTCATAAAAATGTCCTAAAATGACACATCAGTGTTGAAATATTGCGAAAAAATCGTTTTTTTTTTTCATTTTTAAAAAATCCCTTTTAGATTTTGCTTTCAAATTTGGCAAGTATTATAATTTCTGGAATTGAATAAACTAAACGTGAATTTAAATAGCGCGACTTATGTTAAGTTAATTTGCAAAAAAAACTGATATGTTTATAAATTTATTAACAATTTTTTTTGTTTAAATTAATTAAAACGGTCTCATGAACGCCACTGGTTAAACAAACTAGTTTACCTATGCTATAATTTTTTTTAAGTGGCAATAATAACTACTGAGTTTGAAAGCAAAATCTAGGATTTTTTTAAATAAGAAATAACCATTTTTTTATATTTCAACACCCTATGCTGTTAAAGTTCCTTTATTATATTCTTCACTCCTAATATTTTGACATCACAATTTTCTCTTTGCGTGTTGATTATCAAATTGAAGAAATGAATTGAATTAAAAAAATTCTGACATACTGGGCCTTAATTTTCTCTTTTTAAAAAGACTTTGTTAGTGATCTTGTTTTGTCTGTAATTTTGTTTTAAAAGAATACAAAACGCAATGTACAACTAAAACAACATCTGAAAACAAAGCTATCTTGTTGCACCATCTTATTCTGACTGTATGATCCTTGATAACCAATTGATATTTCAAATTTTTAAAGAAATAAACAAATGCTTACATGTCAGAAACTTTATTTACTAAAAAGGAGATATTTTTCAATTAGATGCCCTAAAAAAAATTAGTGAGGAGGAATGTTTTGCGGTTTTTGGTATCAGGTTTGTTTTATTAATCTGTCCACATCTTGAGCCATAGGTTTTTGATTATATTTGTATGTATTTGATTTTTAAACTTTTTGATTATTTTCAACAAAAACACCATGTGGTAACAAGAATATATTCATTAATAATATTCAAAGTCCATCGAAATAGTTGCTAATGTAATGCAATGATAGTACCCGCTAACTCGTAAAAACTGAGTGTATAATAAAGTTACTAACATTTATGAGTTTACCTATTAACTCCGTTCGCCGTAAATAGTTGTACAAAATTATACGAGGGTAAATTAAAAAAATACTTCACAATTTACTATAGAAAGTTGTATATAGAATTGAGTTGATGAATATAAAAGTCGCGCGAAATAATAGGCCTTTGTTTTCCTCCTGCCCCATACGAACCAAGTATAAATTTGACTAGATAAAAATAGATATGGCGTTTATAGTAAATACGCAAGGCTAAACGGCACACCAACGACGCGCGCGTCGACTTTCGGCAACTTCTTTCGCTACAATTTCGTTGAAACTTACAATACATATAATCCGCCTCGCGGTGCGAGGTCTTAATATTTTCCCTATCTTCGCCAAACCGAATCTACAAGGTGGCACGACTTTCCTGCTTAAGTATGTGTTTGTTATACGCGCCGTTCATTTGTTCCAAGAATATGAACGTCAAAACCGTGTGCGGTCCCAAACGGAAGTAGTATGGGAAGAAGCCTTTCCACAAAGCGAAAACACCTTCGTTTTTCAAAATTTTCCCCAGAACGTCCAGCGGTCCTTTGAACTCGGGCTTTCCGTCAATCGTTTTCATATTTTGGATCCTGAAACAGCGTTTTAAAAAGGTCGCCTAAATAACCAGCATTACCGATCAATCACCTCGTTTTCGCGATGTCGACAGGCATGCTGGCGGTTGTCGTTACGAGGCCAGATATCATCGATGCCATGAAATGGAGGAAAATGCCTTCCGTAAAGTAACCTGTTTTAACCAAATATTGCTTGGCCTGGGAGTAACTGGCCAATTGGGCCGCGTTTACGACCTGCGAGAACGTGGGTAAAATGGAAAGAAAATATCCAATGATATGTATATCCAAAGGAGACCGTTTTGATTCTAGACATTCATATATGCGGATGACATTTCTGAGGCGAGGCACGGGTACTCAAAGGTTAAGAGAATATATTTAATAAACAACCTAAACAAAACCCTGTTAAAAGAGCTACTAGATTCCTTTACAGTCAGTCAATAGTTAGGTTCAAAATTTGATATACCGTAGTGGCTGTCAACGCCAACTACTGCCAGGGGCAAATTTTATACCTTTAGTTTAATTGAAGATCAATGCAATGACTAATTTTATAGTTACTTCAATCTTTAGATTAGCGAAAATAACTTGTTTCTGCGTGCTATCTGAATTTGTTTCACAAAAATTGTTAAATCTAGTTGTTTCTTCAATTGCTATTATGGAATGTATAATAATAATGAAAAAAAAAAAAGAAAACGCACATAGGTTAGTTAGTTACGCTTTAACACAATGACAACTGACAACAAATTTTGTCGTTGCGTTAGATCTGAAGTTAGTAGCTGAAAAAAAAGTCAAGAAGGATAAAACGGCTATTAAGTTTAAACTTCGAGTAACAGCACCTATAAAATTGCTGGAAGTCAGAACCATTTTATCCCTCACGCGAACACTACTGGTTGATCATTTATAATTGTTCATGTTGGCCACATTTTATCAAAAGTTGGTCGGATTTCCTTAGGATATAATGACATTGTAAATGGGTTTGTTCAGCAGTGCACAACTGTTTAGTGATGCCTCAGTAATATCCGCTGCCTAGGTGATTTTGGCCAACCGTTGAACCTGAATCACTGCTAAAAAATTCATGATCATAGATTATAAAAGTAGTTGATTAGTTTTTGTGATGATGGCTTTACTCAGCGGTTTTTTGACAAATCTAGAATCTTACTTTATAAATAATGCAATGTGGGAAGTAAAATGGCAGTTTTTTCTGAAAAAGATAAGTCTATCTTTGAACTTTTATTATAAAGATCAATCGATGTTCAACGTGCTATTCAGCTGATGCTCTTATGTTCAGAAACAACAAGTCATTATGTTTAATGATTTTTTACAACAGTTGTGCACTGGTGAACAAGCCCAAAGTCGCAAACTTGAACCGACGTACCATCGCACGGCCCATTGTGGGTATCGCTCCCCTCCATAGGGTGAAGAGGCCCTCTTCTCGGTAAATTCGAAACAGCGCGTCGAACACATTTTTATAGTTACGCCTCTCATTGAGAGGCAAACGGCCGTCCGCTGTCATGCGGATGAGAGCCACTTCCGCCGGAGTTCCTAAAGTTCCAAGTGTAGACTTTCGCATGATGAACCACAGAAAAGTAATGATTTTTAAAGATGCACACAATTTGTTTTTTTGTTCCTTGGGGTACTTTTTTTTTAATATCCACACAGAAAAATAAAATTCTGATTGACTAAAATGTAAGGTGTCGATTTGCACGAATTTAAAGTTAACAAACTCCCAGTTTAAAGAGTAGTATTATTAGCATTCATATAAAACTTTTATTTTTTAAATATATGTACGTCAGTAGTACTTAGTAGCAAATTAGTAGTCTATATCTCTATTATTTAGTACCAGTTATGTATTATTATGATTATTGTATAGGTAATACATATTATTTTTCTTAGATAGGCATTATCTTTTACTGAACATTGGTCAATTTGTAGTTATTTTGCGAAATTGAAGGCTTTATGCTGCCATGATGTTTTATATGGCTTGACAATGTATGAACAAATCTGTACCTAAAATACTTACCGACAAAGGCGCCACACATCCCTGAAGCCATACCCAGAGCGGCTTTCATGGCAAAGTTGGGTGGCACACCATCTTTGGAGAATGTTTCGAATAGCCAAGTGTAAATTCCTAATCGTGTGGTGGTGTAAGTGGCTTGACGCATCAAGCCAGCTGAGAGACCTGTGTAAAGGGTGAAAACACCTTCATTTTTTATAATTGACTTGACCAAATGGAATGAAGTCTTGTGTTCTTTGGCTTTCCCACCCTGACCGCTTAACTGCATCCGATTTTTGACCAAATCCAAAGGCTGAACAAAACATGTCGCAAGCATTCTGTATAAATTAATGAGCAAAAATTTGATATTTTCACAGATTTATACATTGGCTTACCCAGCACTGCCTCCGAATATAAATTTTACATAATTTGGGATGCTTTTCACCTCCTTATCGCCCATTTTTAACAACACAAATTTAAACTATATTCTCACTGATTACTTAACAGAAAATTACTAGTTAAAATTTGTCGGGACTTATCGCAAAGGTGAGGAAGGTCATATTTCACTCTCGTAACCTTCGAAAAATCAACGGCAACGTCCGAAAAAATTCATGAATTGCAAAAAATATTTAAGCTATTAGGTTACGTATGCAACCCGCTATACACTGGCGAACTATTGGTCGCCAGTAAAGGAAAGTTAACAATGTCCTGAATTTAAACAGGTCAATGAAAAATGTCAGTCTTTTGTGTTCATTATTTGCAAAAATAATTAATAACTTTAAATGTACGTAAACAAATCGGGTTGTATATATGTGCAAAGTGCAGACTAGAATTCGGTAGCGATCGCTGCTTTTTCGATATACCTACCTATATTCAGTTAACCTAAATTGATCAAAAAATGGCAAGTAATGGTTTGGATTGTTACTACTGCTGTGAAATTTGCGGTTTGGAAGGCCTAAGCGAGGAAGAATTTAGAACCCACACGCATACGGCACATGTAGAGGGGTATGGCGTATGCCCTTTCTGCGAACTTAGTTCCGTGTCGCCCGCCGAACTCATTTTACATGTTAATCAGGCTCATTTGGATTTTTTGACTCCCGAATCTGAACAGAACATAAGTTTCATCGATGATCCTAGTCCTAGGTAATTTGATTTTAAAGGATTTTTAATGGTAATTGCCAGGTCTACAATATGTAGCAAATCTTTTTTCCAGAGTGACTATATACAGAGGGATTCAATATGAAATGAAAATGTACAAAATTATCAATTTTGTTGCATGTAACCAAAGTGGCCCTACACAAATATTCTTTACATTTTACATGGGAAAAAATGGGCAATGTTGTTAGAGTTATTTGCATCTGGTGTCCTCTAGGACCTACCTTAAAGCTAGCAAAAATTGTAATTTGGCAACATAGAGGATTGTCATAGAATTGAGTTTATAAATTTCCCTTTCCTTTTGGATCATTTTGTACATTTGAGTGTTTTTTCATATTCATATTATAGATAATGTAACTAGTGTAAGATTCGGTACAAAATTTCAACAAAATTTAGATTTTTTTTGAACATATGTGGTGTAAATTTAGCAACTTAATAACTGTCACTAAAAATAAGTCAACTATGTAACTTAAGCATTGTTTCCAGTGAGATTAATGGTTTCCATGGTGAAACCAGCGTCAATTGGAACAATCCAGCCACTTTTTCAAATAAGAATCTCAATGATGAAAAAGTCAATGGAAAATCGGGAATCTCAAATATTAATCTCAATGCAAAAGTAAGTATACAACACCAAGAAACTATAAAAACAGCAAACTACTAACAAGTTGCTGTTTTTAAGATAAATGGTGGTGGTGAGATAAGTCCTCAAAATTCGAGCCACGGCCATGGGTCTCCATTAAGATCTAACTTAGGGTTAAAATTAAAAAGCTCAACCCCTGCCTTGCAATGTCCTATATGCAACTATGCTAGTCATAGTCCCAATGATTTAGAGGAGCATGTTAACAGGTATTTGTGCAATTTGCTAACACATTATGTTTTAAAATCATCTTTTCATCTTGAAGATAATTCTGCATGATCATACATCAAAGTTAATTTTGATTAACATGCATATTGCAAATAGAAACAGTTTAAAATAAATGTGGGATCATAATGCATTCGATTTGAATTGTTACACATTGAGGTTTCTATGTAATGGAACTGTGGAATATAAAACTATACTGGAAAAAGAGTAAAATGCAGTTAATAAAAGAAAAACACAAAATCTACAGTATCATTAATTTGTCAAAAACGGGTAATATGTTTCGTCTGCAATAGTACTATCAAGCGAATACAAATTAAAAACAAACTAGAGACATCAACAACTAACTTAAAAATTAAGTTTATGTTCTGACAAATGGTAATGTAGATTTCATATGTTTCTGGTATTTAACCTCGGTATTTCAGAGAATGGATGAATTTTTCATTTTAAAGAGTAAAATGTATTGTTGCTACTAAAAAATACGTAGATTTTGCGATATTCAGTTAAACCGTATTATTCGCACGTACATAACATAACAATAAATTAAAAAGTAAATATGAACTTGCTTTTCTTGTTAAATAAATGATCGAATTATGTTTTTGAAGGCGACATTTCGACTTGACATCACCCTCAGTCGGCGTAGTTAGTAAAGCGGAGGTCTTCTGTTGCCCGCTGTGCGTGAAATCGTTTAACTCCGCCCCCGACCTTGAACTTCACGTCAACATCGAGCATCGAGACGTGCTGTCGCCTGCAAGCCCGGCGATCCACGCCTGTCCTGTGTGCGGGATAGCCCTGGATAAACAGCTCAATGTAACTAGCGCCTGCCTAAAGATCGTTTCGCATCGAAATTCTGCTTGCGGTTATTTTTTTTGCTACAGATTTTAACAAGCTATTTATTTTTTACAGTTTACATGCATCCATAAATATATGGGAAACTCAATTAGTCTACTACTTGCCGAAGTTTTTATAGACAATAGATTTTTTAACGTTCCATTTTGAAAATGAATTAAATATTATAAAACAAAGAGCACTTAACAATGGAAAATATGAACAATTGTTCCCATTTAACTTGTTAAATAGATTTTAATCAAGTATAAGCCGCATCAGTTCAACAAAGGAGTGTTATTTAAATTTCATTACCCTTAAGACCTAAAGGAAATGTTTTGAAACGGACTTCTCTTTGGAACTCGTCTACCTGTTCGCCAATTTCGCAAATTTCAGAGTGAAGTGGCCCAGCGTCACGTGGAATCTCATTTCCCTGTCAGTTCGCCTCAGCCAGTAGACAGAGCCGCTTTACGGGAACGAGAGCAACGCGAGTTCGAGCTGCTGCGCGCGCAATACGGCATGGACAATCAGGGTAATTTCCGCGAACAGTCGGTCACCAACATGCAAAGGGCGGTTTATGCCGGCGAGATGAGCGTCGCGGATTACTATGAGAGGACGCTCGACTTAAAAGCTGCGGAGAGCAGCGGCATAGACGACGGTAGCTCTGTCACGAGAAGTATAGTATGTTGACATATTTGTAGGTAATTTACTTACCGGGGTCTCTGTAGGTTTGTTTCCAGGTCAAACCAGGAACTTGTTTCTTACAATTTTCAAATCATCCTTGCGCGCATGTCTGCAAATTCGAAACTTGTTTGATTTATGCAAAAACAGTAGGGTTGCATAGATTAAGCTTGATATTTGCAGCTAAATAATGAACCAAGAACTAAAGCCGACCGACTCTTTGTATGTTATCTTTGTTGGTTCTTACTTGGGTTCTTGAATCCAATTTTTTCATTGAAAAGTTAGGAATCGGACACATTCCCATTATGTTAAGCTTTAATAAATATGTGACTACATGTTTATTACTAAATACAAAGCTTCTGGATTCCTCCTGTGTGGGTTATTGTTGAGTCGAACTTGCTAACGTTTCGCCAATCATCCTGTTACCTTCTTCAGAGCTTAACTGAAACTGGCTTTTTTTTACACTCTGTACCTGCTCATATATTGTTGAGAGGGCATAAATATCGTCTCGGATGACTGAGAAATTTTGTAAATAGTATTGGAATAGCCTGTGGAACTTTCTGTGAAAAATTTTCATGTTCATAAGTATGTTTTTAATTTTGTATGTTTAATTTTATTTGTAAAGTTCAAGAAGAATTTATTGACCCTTCCATATATTCAATCTTATTAAACTGGGACACAAAAATCCCAAATTCTTTGGTCTTATTCTTTCTTCTAAAAGAATTTCCAAATCTTAATCGTCAGTTTAAGATAAAATTGAATATTCCTTTTTATCTCAGTAATTCATTTTTAATATTCTTGCAAACCGTAGTTTAATTTTTTGTAACGAAAATATTTCTAAGAATGTAACCTCAAAACTCGGTCTTATTCCGCGCATTTGCCAACAATTTGTGTAAACTGACAGCCGCCAAACAACAACAACTGATGACGTAAGCATTTCATCGCTGGGAAATAAATATCGTAATCGGTGTTTTCGATGGGCACTTTAAATTTAAATTTTTAATAACATATTAATTAATTAATATTTACGCGTAAGTGTTGTGAGAGACGGGAGCTCCTAGTTGTGTAATTTTTAAGGATGGTAAAAATCAACTTGACAGTAAACAATCGTAATGTCAATTCGAGAAGTTCAAGAAAAAAGGAGAATTGATAAAATTATTGAGACTTGCATAAAAGTAAATTTATGTCGATTTAAACACGACCCTTTGTACCCATGAGAACGTGTTCAAAATAATGTATAACTTTTTGGCGAAAAATATATTTAGAAATCGCCAACCACGTTGACACGTAGATAAGTGTTACAAAATAGAGAAAAAGACAAAGCATTGTAGGTGCCGAGGGTGAGGGCGATCAGCAGCAACGCGGCCAACGTGGCCCGCACCCTGTTGTGCACGTGCGTGGACCACTACGCGTCGTCATACGGCGACCGGGGGTGGGGCTGCGGTTACCGAAACGCGCAGATGTTGATATCGAGCCTGCTCACTCATACCGGTTACAACGAACGACTCTATCAATTGTGGCGCGGCGAGAAACCGCCCCGCAGCTCAGTACCTAGCATATCACGGTTGCAGGGCCTCATCGAAGAGGCCTGGTCCAAAGGGTTCGACATTCAAGTAGGTCGAAGACGACGACGCGGGCGACCCATCCAAAACCGGACGGTGTTGTTTTGCAGGGTTCCGAGCAGCTCGGCTGCAAGCTGGTGAACACCAGAAAATGGATAGGGGCGACCGAAGTGATGACGCTTTTGTCCTATTTACGTATCCGTTGCCAGTTGGTCGATTTCCACAAAGCGACGGGACCGGACGGCTCCCATCCGGAGCTCTTCCGGTGGGTGCTCAAGTACTTCGAGAACGGCGGCGATTTCGCGCCTCCGCTCTACCTGCAACACCAGGGCCACAGCAGGACGATCATGGGCGTGGAGGTTCACCGCAACGGCGGCCTGATCTTGTTGGTGCTCGATCCGAGCCACTCGCCGCAACAGATGGCGCAGCTGGGCGATACTAGCTGCGCGGCCGCAGCACTCCGGTTGCTGCGCAAAAGTGAGGCCGCGATGAAAGCGACGCAGTATCAGATCGTAGCTGTCGTCGGTACGATCGACAACGAGAAACAGTATCAGGTAAGGGCCGCACTGCTGGCAAATCTTTCAAATTAGGACCCAAAAATTAAAAAACCCATATATTTTCCAAATTCATGAAATTTGTATTGTCAATAATAATTGGCGCACTAAATGCTTTTTAAAATATTTTTTTAACTGAACTAATAAACAATCGCCGTATAATTCTTCAAAAATCACCTTCGAAAGTGCTGTGAATTAAACTGTCATGACCGTTTCTAGGTACAATTTTCGGTGAGATATTTTTTAATCTCGAGGTATGTGATTGTTAAAAAAATGTATTAATGAATTTTGTGATGATCGTTTCGCATATTTAAAGCCAAGATAATAATTTTGCTATACTTTATCAATAGATTTAGTACATTATATATCTTATGATAATGTGAGGTTTACCAAAACTACCAACTAACCAAAACTATAAAATGTATGATTTCATATGATCATTTTTCTAATTTCTACGGAACAGAAGATATTACGTAATAATTGTTCCAAAAGGCAATCCTAGATTAAACTATACTAAAAATAATGTGCCTTAGTAAAATATTAACTCATTTGAGAGATATAAGTTATGTTTTTGCTCATTTTGTTTGAACTAAAAGATATATTATCGTATATATTTACTCGCTAACAAACCAAAACTAAACAAGTAACGAAATAGATTTTTTAATTTACTATAAGCCTTCATTCAGGGATACAGTTAATACATAACAGTTCAAATCACTTTCACACATACAAAATGACTGCCTTTCACTGGTTTATTCGCAGACTTTTTAATCTACTACTTTTTACAAAAAAAAAAAATGAAAAAAAATTAAATATTATAAAACAAACGGCTTTTAACAACGGTTCCGATCCGGTGTGAAAAAATAAGATCATAACTAAATAACAGCTTCAAATAACTTTGAACCCCGTTTGCTACATATTAACTACTAAACCCAAGTCTTTCCTAATATTACATACATAAAAGGATCTAGCATGAATGTTTCCGAAAACCTCCAAATATGTGGTTTCAGCATTGTTTTTAAAATTGGCAACACCATAGGAAAATATTTAATAAACAATAAAAATTTCCAAAGTTTGGAATCTACAGGTTAAGAAACATATTAACGAATAGAAAAGTTTCTATAAAAATAAGACTTTTTCAAATTAAACGTTTTAATTTAAGGCTTTATAGCTTAAAAATATTATTGCAATATATTGCAATGTTACAATATTTCAATTTCAGAAGCACAGTATTGCAATATCTATTTGATCTAGACACCTAGATTTGAGAACCTGTATGTGACAAACACAAAATTAATTGCGCCATACATTTAAATTCAGAAATCCACATTGATGACAATTTTGAAATTTTTCAAATACATTAAACTAAACTAAACTAAACTCATTGGAAGCTATGGAGATTAATAGCATGAGATATTCAAATTTATTACTTAATGACCAAGCAGATTTGAATTGGTGTCCAATGTTAAATTCAAATATAAAATCGCCCAATATTTTTTTTCTTATATATGTTTTTTTTTACGTAGGTAGACTGTAATTGTTATATCGTCAATACTTTGTGAAAATAACCTTTGTTACCATTTAACTTGTTAAATAGATTTTAATCAAGTACAAGCGGCATCAGTTCAACAAAACTTCAATTCGACGGGTTTTGGAGACGATGAATATAATTATGTTCTATTTTTTCATAAAATATTTAGAGAGCGTTAGTTACATTTTAAAATTTCGTTATTTCGCAACAACAATAATTATTTACAAATTAAAGTAGAACATAAACACTAAAAATGACAAAACATACTAAAGCAAAAAATCCTTTAACTATTCTAACTACTGTAATGTGTGACCAACATTTTCCTGAACACATTTCTCATACACTCTAATTGTATGATGTTTTGCATTTAGTAACGTTTCCGGATTATCTCTTAACTGATTGATTGGCTCTAAAATCCTTTGACGAAGTTCCACCACATTATTACAAAGAGTTCTGTGCACTTGATTTTTCATATTTCCCCAAAAGACAAAATCCATTAAGGTTAAATCTGGGCTGTTGGCTGGCCAATCCATTGTTCCGCCGTTCCCTATCCAACCCCTGGGATATTCCATGTAAAGAAAAATTTTAACTTGTACAACATTGTGAGGAGGGGCAATGTCTTGCTGCCATATAATCAGCGCTGATATATTTAGGGGTAACTCTTCTATATATTGTTCTATTTGGTGCTCTAAGAGTTGCAAATAATGATCTCCAGTTGACTTTTGATGTATAAATATCGGACCTAAATATGCCCGTCTATTACACCACACCATACATTAATTGATTGGTACCCCTGTTTTTTTTTCGTGTATTTGTTTAGGATTATTTAAAGACCAATATCGTGTATTTTGTCCATTGCAATCCTTTGTTGTAGTGGACGAACTTTCATCAGTCCATTAAATGTTTTTCAAAAAATTATTATTCTCATTAAGTCTATTTAAAAAATACAGAAAAAACTGCATGCTCCTTTGACATTATTCTGCACTTAGTTGTTGAGGTTTAAGAAGTTTAAATGCATTATATTTATATTCTTTCAAAACTGAGTGCATTGATCCCCGAGAAATACCTGTCTCTTCATATATGTTTGCCTTATTTTCTTCATTTAAAACATTATGATTCCTGTATACCTTTTCATCATTTAATACGTTACCGTTTTATGAAAATTTCTCTGTTTTGAAGGAGCTCGTAGCTCTGGATAAAGTCTAATTTACTGACGACAAGCTGCGGTTGTACTTTTATTATTCAGAAAGGACACTTGAAGCATATCACTCGTTTCACGGATGCTAAATTCGCGACAAACCATGTTAACAATAATGACCTGGACAATAATTCAATCATCAACGTTGTTTACTAATATGTCAAAGATAAACATATTTTTACTTGTCGGTCAGGGCACTCTTTGAAATTATATAAAAATGTCCTATTTTTGCCGATTTGTCAAAAACGAGTGGAATAAAATATAAAGTGTGTTACATCATTGTAATCGGAATAAGATATTCTATTAAACACATATAGGATATACAGGGTGTTCCATTTAAAAAAATATGAGGTAGGCTTATGTGTCAGAAAATTGATAGCGTTTTATTTTATACGTCGCTTGGAAAAAAATTGGCTACTAATCCTACATTTTCAGTTGTGCTTACTATTAATCGGAGAATACTAAATCTCTCATGTCGATCACATACACGTTACTTTTGAATTCATTATTTTTCATTTTAAATTTAAATATACCTTCATAATTATCACTATATTGGAGAATATTTCAATAAATCTGAATACAATCAAAACAAAGAAATTTTGGGTGCTAGATTCAGAGATTTGCCACGATCCGCGCGGACTGTGACTATAGTACTGCGTGATATTGCAGAATAGTAAAATCCTGCGAGGTACGCGGATCCCGGACGACCCGCAGGAAACGTGAGGTCGATCAGTTCCCAGCTTTAACCGCTTTTGGGCCGGTCAACGGAGTATAAATCAAGTGTTTCCTTGAGAAATGTAGTAGTTTAGTACCGAGAGCGACCGTGTCATCATGCGGACTTGCCTTTTTGTTTTTTGTTAAAAACATCGGAAAATATTGCTTTTGATTTTTTCACGAAAGTGTATTAGAATTACCGTTCGATGGCACCATCGCCCGAAAAAAAAATCCTCTATTGATTCGCCCAACGCGACCCTTAAAAAATATCGCTTGAAGTTTTCGAATGAATTTTTCATTACGTTTCACCACCTTCTGCTGTTCAATATGATATAATAGGTTTATAAGGATTTAAAATTTTAAATTCACGCGTGTTTCGATTTTCTCGAGCAGGGGCGCGCGGCGTAAGCGACAGCCTTCAGGTGATGCAAAAAAAATGTATTATTGAATTTAACGGTTTCTAAATATGGAATATAGTTCGTAACTGTGTTTGATGATCAAAATAATGCAAAGTATTATGTTAATTGTGGCGCTTCCCTGTGTCACTAATCGCCGCACGCCACTGCGGAAAAGTGTGGGACCGAGCGCTCGATTTTTTTACACACGAGTGGTGTGGATCGCAGCTTTTTCTTGCGTACGTTTAAAATTAAATCGCTGAAAAATACTCTTATCCCAAAATATTTTATTAAAAGTGGGTAATACAGTGCAACTCCTATTAATTTAGCCTCCAATGCGGAAAACCACATTTTTTAAAATCAAGAAAAAAAAGTTCATATAAACATGTTTTTTTTTTTAATATTTTTCAAATGCTAAAGGATGTCAAATTAAAATCAAGCAAAAATAATTTTACTTTTAAGACTTCCAGAAAGTAATTCAGTTTGTTTAATAAGAAAAGTGATACGCCGCTGCTTTTTTAACATTTGGATGGTTAAAATAATTGAAAAACAAAGTTTCCCTTGTCAATGTTTGAATTATGCCATTATATCTATGCTAGTGTTTTAGCTAAAACGAAATTATATTTTGAAGATTGCATTTCTTATAATTATAATTGTTTTTGCATTTAAGTTATGGACCCTGTATCTTGAAGGGTTTGCTGCCCTATCTTTATATATGAACTTTTTTTTGTTGATTTCAAAAGTACTGTCGACTGTTAAGGGTTACAATAAACCGATACACCCTATATGATGGAATTTACATAAATTAAGTTTTGCACGCATTTACAAAAAGTATAGATAATGAAAAACGTATTAAATCGCTAAAAGGGGGTCCGAGCTGTGGCGTTAAGCTTATTAACAGATAATTCTACTGTTAGACATGAGTGAGAAACATGAGTTTTAATGTTAATGTTTAATTTAATTTTATTTAATCAATCCAGATAAGTAAGGTATAGTATCTCACTAAAAAGTAAAGTATCTCAAACCTGCTTTCATTATTTTTCTATCCGTTCTGAGCCGTGGATCTGTTTGACCACCCTATGGATTTACATATCTTCAATCATTTTTGTTTATCTTCCATGGAAAAAATGGTACTTATTTTAGGTATGTGGTTTTGTTTACTCATGGTTCTTACCAAGAAAATTAATTTATTTTTAATAAAAATGTTTGTTACTTATTCGACTTTTCGGAATATTTTGAATTGTGTAAATATTATTTGAGGATGCAACTCTAAATCACAAAATAAATTTAATTGATTGTTAAAATTCATCTCAAAGTGTCTTGAAACGTTTCATCTAGTTAACAAAAAAAGCTTCTAGTGAAAATGTAACAAATAAATAGCCACAAGGTTGTAAAATTTATTCAAATAGCTATTTTCGTAGGTTGTAAACCGCAAGCTGGAATATGCTTTATTTCTCTTACTTGTTATAATTCTTGATTAGGTCGTTAGCTGGTTCGATACAATTGTTAGACATTCCAGAGATATTATAACGAAATAGGTTGAGTGCTTTCTCAATGGCGGACGACCAAAAATTATACTGTAAACAAGACAGTCAACCTGTACAGTATCAAAAGCGGGTTAGGACTTTGCATTAAATCCAATTCTTGAGTAACTTTTTTTACTAAATAAGCAATAGTTCCTCTTTAGAGTATATAAATTTTAGCTAGGAGTATGATTTTTGTTAAAGAGTAGATCAGCTATCAATCGAAATTCCTGTGCAAACAAGTTGTATCAGAAAAAAAATTGCCTTAAGAGAATATTATATTTTCTGTAATAATATATTGTATAGAATCTTCTCATTTTGACAAATTTGGCTCCAAAAATTTAAAGTACAAATTGGGGAAAATACCACAGATCAGCAATAAATAACCCTTATCAAAAATTTGGGCATTTGCGAGTTGTTTTTTCTGTGATCATTATTTTTAGCTTGTAAGTTGTTACCTATTTATTTCAATAAAAATTTTTCGCCTTATGTGGATGTTTATTTACAGGTTCTTAAAATACTAAAAACAAACTAAAAAATGTAGTTATATATTGAAATAATTTGTTATTAGTATCAGAGAGAATTAACCAGAGCATCCCCGGCAGCCACAATGGACGCATTCCACAATTCTTCCCTGAAATAACAAATAAAATTACAAAGTAAATCCTGTTTTAATTTTAAAAATTAATAATACTCTACTTCTTCAAGTTTTCCTTTAGGTACTCTACAAATGCAGTTGGTGCCAAAGTTTGTGTCCCTAGTCTGTATACACCTTAAACAACACAAGTTTTCATAGCCCTGCTTTTTCCATTTTGCAATTAGGTTTTTGTCAGCGATATTCTCTGTCAAGCAGTATTCATACAATTCTCTAGTAATGGCTTTTCGTCTGTAAAACAAATCGAATATATATCTTGACTTTTGGTGATGGATTTTGAAAATAGGCCATAAAGATTCGTTCTTTCGCTTCCCTTCATGTGACTCTGTTTCCGCTAAAACGAAAGAGTCTAATTATTATCGAATTTCGTTTAAACTCCAATCCAAGTATACCCTCTCTCATTTTTTGTTCTAATTCGTCCAATGTTGGCTCGATCAACTCCCAACCTTCTGGGGGTGATTTTTTACTTCGGCGGACTTTTGGCATCACGTCTAATTCATAAATTATATATATGATAAAAAAAAGTTCTTGCTTGCCACACACACAATATTAACGAAAGTTTTTTGCAAACGTTTCCAAAACAAATTCGACCACTGCTCCACCGATTCTCTATATATCACAGGCTAGTCATTCATAACAAAAATTGTGCACGGATCCTTTTGGTTAGTATATCTCCATGGATAAATGTGTGGTAAGTTTTACATGTCGAATAATGTATCTTTGTCACGTGAATATTATTAGTTTTTTACAGAGGTGTTAAATGTTATATTATCGATCTTATGAGGTTTATGAATTAAGGAAGGTTGTGTAGTAAATGTGAGTCTTCACCATTACTGTATGAAGTAGATTTGTATTCCTTGTGTTCTGTGGAATGAATTGATAGCTGATAGAACAACCAAACGGCAGTGACGTAGAGCTGGTAAATAAAAATATATATATTATTTATATTTTACTACTAAGTAATTGCAATTAAAAACTTTCTCAGAGAGGTAAAAATTGTTAGTAAATATCTAGATGTTTCAGATCTGTAACAGATCCTTTAATTTTTATGAAATATTAGGTTATTTTTGTTTCTTTTTTCTTACCTTTTTTTGCTATATTTTAGGTTCGGAAATAATCACACACCAAAAGGCAAAGCCATGGATGCGCCAAAAACTTCTGATATTATTTTGCTTGCTGGAAATTCACACCCTGAATTATCCAACTTGATTGCCAGGAGGTTGGGAGTAAACACGGGAGAATGTTCTGTGTATCACAAGAGCAACCGGGAAACCATGTTTAAAATTGGTGACTCCGTTCGTGGAAAAGATATCTTTATTATACAGACAGGAACTAAGTATTAATTTTTACATTTTTTATTATGGCAGGCTAAAGCAGACATCTTTCAGGGATGTAAACAATAATATAATGGAAATGCTTATAATGGCATATGCTTGTAAAACCTCCTCCGCCAAGTCTATAGTTGGAGTTATTCCATACTTGCCTTATAGTAAACAGTGCAAAATGCGTAAACGTGGCAGCATTGTGACCAAATTGCTCGCCCAAATGATGGTCAAATCAGGCATGACACACATTATTACCATGGATTTACATCAAAAAGAGATTCAAGGATTTTTTGATTGCCCTGTCGATAATTTAAGGGCCAGCCCCTTTTTACTTCAGTATATTCAAGAGAGTGTATGCATGATATCTTTGGAGTCTTTTTTTTGTTTTTATTTTTATTATTTATTTAGATTCCAGATTATAGGAATTCAGTAATTGTGGCAAGAAACCCGGGTTCCGCAAAGAAAGCTACTTCATATGCAGAACGTCTTCGTTTGGGTATAGCAGTAATTCATGGTGAACAAAAAGAAGCCGAATCTGACGAAGTGGACGGGCGTTATTCGCCGCCCACAGTTCCAAGGTCGAGAACAATGGACGCTGGAGTGGGGGTACCCATTCATATCGCCAAAGAGAAACCTCCAATAAATGTTGTTGGTGATGTTGGAGGTCGGATCGCAATTATGGTCGATGACTTAATAGATGACGTTCAGTCCTTTGTCGCCGCCGCTGAAGTATTAAAGGAGCGTGGAGCATACAAAATTTATGTCTTAGCCACCCACGGGTTACTCTCCTCAGATGCTCCGAGATTAATTGAGGATTCCCCTATAGACGAAGTAAAAATAACAGACAGGCTGAACCATCGGCGTGGTTATGTAATTTTATTGTTTTCTAGGTGGTTGTTACCAACACGATTCCACATGAGCTGCAAAAAATGCAGTGTCACAAGATCAAAACGGTAGACATATCGATTTTGCTCTCTGAAGCCATAAGGAGGATCCACAACAAAGAATCTATGTCCTATCTGTTCAGGAATGTAACCCTGGAAGACTAATTATATTTTAATAAGTTTTTTTCTTTGGGAGTGGAGAATGAAGATAAAACTAATCATTTGCAGTTATATCTCAGTGTGAAATGGGTAATCAGGGGAGTTTTGTTATTGTCAAATATTATCAGTATTAACAATGACAATATATGTGTGTGGGGAGAAATAATCAAATATTTCCACTGTATGGGTCCTTTATATTTTTAGTTATATATTATAAGGCACTTTTTAGAACTGTATGATTAGTATTGAAATAAATCATCATATTTATTGTAGGTCAATAACAATTATAGGAACAAATATAGGAGCTCTAAATACCATAGAAATAAAATGACACTATATTTTGCACATAGGACCATATGAAACGGGAATTTAATAAAACCAAAGGTAAACTCTTAAATCATTTTACAAAATACAATATATTAACTTCAACTCCACAAACTGTACAAATTTTTTTAAAATGCAGTTTTCTCTCTAGAAAAATAACTGCATTAAACATAGCTTTTTAGACACTAAAGAAAAACAAGGGTGATCTCTATACAGTCAACAAAAATTTCCATCCATCAATCACAGGATTTCATTGGTATTTACAATAATATGTACACATTTTACAAAAAAAATTTGTACTTACTCCCGCATGAGCCATTTTTGCTATATCAAATAATTTTTGAATTTGCGCACCTCTTATCAACCAATAAGAATTTGTTGGATTCTGACTAGTTATTTAAATTATATTACCCATTAATATTAAAGTAACAGAACATGTGCAGAAAATTACAATAATTCCTATGAAATGTATTTTCCATTAATAACACGTACCTGTGTTAAGAATGTGTTGTGATTCAAAATTTTCATTATATACTAAAACTACAGAATTCAAAACAAATACTTTTAAACAAAAAAAGAATTCAATGTTCCTAATAAATTATAAATTACGGGGTTTGCATATTTCCTCTAACCTTTTTCTGTATTTGTATCATGACAAAGCATTTTTTCTTTTATCTAGAGGATTTTTGGTGAAGTAATAAATATTTTTAAAAATAATCATAAAAGATATGCCAGTTGCATGACACAAAACTTTGAATATTTCCTAAATATCTATAATTCACGAATTTATTTATCGAAAAACGTGTGCAATAAAAAATATTCAAATCGCCCTCTTCATCAATATAAAACTGACAATTGATCTATCCTTTATGCTGGGTTTCTTCAAATATCGAAATTCATTGAAACATGTTGACAATTTTTTTTGTCGGTTTTGAAACAAATGGCTAGAAATATGAAAAGAATAAGGCAATATGTCAGGAAAAGGTACAGATTGAGGGACATTTTGCTTTGGAAATATACTTTTAAAAGAGATGTATGGCAGGAGATTCTATAGCAACCAAAATGGAAATATTTCGGATACAGATATAATATAACGTTTTTTTTTTATATCAGAATAATGTGCAAAAAATTGACATAAGTTGATATTCAACAAAATGTATTAATCTTGACTTACAAGATTCTCTCTACTTTTAAAATAAATATAATCAAACACTTTTGTTTTCGGCGACCAAATTATTTGTCTGTAGCCCTTAGAATGACAATAAAAATTGCAGCTTTAACAAATCGACACTTGACAACCGAAAATATACAAATTAATTAAAAATTGCACTTTGTGGATAGTAAAATAAATAGCGTGGGAGGATAGGTGGCGTACAAATTCGATTGAGACAATCGGCGGTGATTACTGGATTTTACTAGGAATCCTCCGGCGACAACAGGTGTGTAACAGCATGTCGCACATTTACTTGATCGTTGACGATGGAGATTACGTATTTGCCTGATACGTATTCCGTTTCGCTCTGCGATTCCTCGACGATCGGCTCTCCCGTTTGTGCGTTCCAGCACAATATCCCTTGGTCGTAGAACCCAAGGATGATGCCGTTTTCCACGCACACGCCCTTTAACCTGCGATATTCGGAACGTCAATATGATCCATTTTGGAAATGTTTATATAACTTTTAACTATGTCCACACACCTAACTAACTGTTCCAGAACATTTAACGAAATCTGGGCATAGTTTAAGAAAAAACTACCGTAAACACGCTACATCTAAAATGCAATCCATCAAATCGACGAAATGTCAGCGGCCATGTTTGTTGAACGCCCTTAACTTTTAGTAAATGTAGTATTTTAAACTCCCTGAAGAGGGGCCTGCACGAACCGACGATACACCGTAGGACTTTGTTTTTGGATTTGAAAACAAATATTGCATGGCTTAAATTTCCCCAAAAAGGTAATACCATAGCGTAATCTCGAATGGATGTGAGCATAGTTTCTCTGGCATTTCCCATCCAAAACAGTTTTTAAATTTTTTATTAGGAAATGACAAGCCTGCAGCTTTGAAGAAAGTAAGTTTCCCAAGATAGGGGTTCATCGAGTTCTAGTTCCAAAAATTTTGCGTGCTTTGTTATTTGCGGCCGAGTGAACATTCACAGAAAGATTTTGTTTTGTGGGCATTTGAATGTCAGTACACTTGTTTTTTGGACATTCAAAAAGACTTCGTTGGTGTTAAACCTACTATTTAGCAGTACAAGTGCTGAATTTATTCTGTCTTCAAGAGTTTGTTATCAGTGTGAAGAGAATAAACTTAAACAGTTGTCAGCGAACTCTGATAAACCCAAACTAGGCAGGTACGCAGAATTCCTTGATAAAAAGGATAAATAAAACAAGTTGTCCTTTTCCTGCCTTATTTAAACATACTGCTTACGATTTGTTAAGAACAATCTAAACCAGTTCAGAGCTATTCCACAAATTCCGTATTGTTCCATTATATTCAAGAGATCACGAAATATCCCTGCAGGGTGCTCTCCAGACTCAATATAGTTGATAGCCTGCTCCAAAAATGAATGAATCGCTGTTTGGGTTGATCTACCTGAAGCCGTGCCGACTTTCAGCCAAAAAAATTTTGTTTTTACTTAAATATGTTATAAAATTACATTTGTCATTTGGTGAAAAAAAGATGTTCTTATATTATCAGCATAGACAAGGCGACATACCTGTCGTATTGTTCGGGTGGCACGTAGCTCGCCAACTTTTTCCACGAGTGATTTATGCCGTTAATGGCGACCAGCCTCAGCTCCCTGTCTACGCACTGTTGCAAAGTAAATAGGAAACCCTAAAATCGAAAGCAAGGCATTTCAACGACGAACCGAGGGATTTTTTATGCACGCCCTCACCCTGTCGGATTTGACCCACAAGGTGCATAGCGGCGATTTGATCTCGGTCATGGCGATCGTCGCCACCACGTAGCCATATTCCAAGTTCCAGAGTGTGATTTTATTTTCGCCGCAACCCATGACGAGTCCGTCGCAATCTAAGCAAAAAACACACACACACACACATACAAACGTGGAGTTTCCTATTCCCTGGTGCACAACGTACCGGCAAGACAATCAATGATATGCATTATTGAAAATATTGACGCTATAAAATGCAGACCCAGCGTTCGCGATGTCCTAAGCATCAATTAAAGAAACAATTTATGCTGGACGTTATTTTATTGGAAATTACTTGATAAATAAATTCTGATCTCCGGACATGTTGAAGTTTAATGAGGAAACATAATGGAATTATTAATATTCAATTAGCTATTTTACATATTGCTTGAAAAACTTGACGGGAACATTAAATTGATTAAGAATAGAACAAGAAAGAACAAAAGGAAAAGCAATATAAAGGATTCATTTAATTTTTTAATTATTTATAGATTAATTCATTGTTAAACTTTTTTTGGTACATATATAATTTATTTCAATTTACAGATGCGAATTTTGAAAAACTGCTACACTGTAAACGTGTGGACGCCATGGGTACTAATAAAGTACCGATAATTACGCATATTCAACCCGAAAATCGTCAATTTATTTTTAACTCTTGTAGTCCCATGATATACCATTTTTTGCTACTAAATCCTCTAAATCTTGTGGTTTCTCTCTTCTTCCGTTTACCAACATAAAAAGAAAGTTGCTTTTATAAACAAATATTATAATAAAATTTGACTCCAGATTCAAAAGACTCCGAATAAAATTAAAATTCTTTTTTCTTAGGAAATTGTAATTCAATAGGAGTCACGGATGGTAAACTGTTAATTAATGTCAGCCGATTGATTTGTTGTGACATCCAAAAAATTAAAACTGGTTAAAAAATAATCTAATAAATAGCTATTCAGTATCTAAATTACTTAGGCTGGTATTGGTGGAAAAAATCCATCTTCATGCGTAAATGCAAACCATTAAATTTGTAGAACTTGAATCCATGTTACCTTCGATATTATGCAATGACGATACGTAATGTTCGACGGATTCAAACTCGCTGATGTTAGCCACAGTTTGGTAATCTGTAGCCAGGTGATAACAATGAACAAATGTCTTCTTGTTCCCTATGTCGGTACCGGCACTGTGCCAGCTCACTATTATCTTGGGTGTGTTTTTGAGTACCGAATATTGTACGTCATCCGCAAACCTTAAAGAAATACTTTTTATAAAACTTTTTTTGAGTCAAACTAGCTAACGTTTCGCCGATCATCGTGTTGACTTCTTCAGAGTTTGACTGAAACTGGCTCGCATAGCGATACCTTAATGAATTATCACATCCGGCCCAAAAATCATCGGTTATCAACTCTCTTGTTTACAGAACCCTAAAACTATCTCAGCCCAAGTCATTCAACCCAGAATTAAAACACCTTACTTCCGCTCTTCACTCTAATAATTTCCATATTAAAGATATTAAGCCTTCCATCACAAAATACACTTTACCACAACCTTTCAATAGCAATGAAGCCGAAAGCAATCCCACACTTGCCACTGTTGTCCTACCTAACATTCAAAACGTCACTGACCACATATCAAAAGTTCCAAAGAAATATAACGTCAAAACCAGATACCATTTGTCCAAAAATCTCTTAACGTCTTCGATCAGTCAAAGACAAAATTCCATTTGAGATTGGAGAGACCAGACGAAAAATATCAACTAGGCTCAAAGAACATGAAAGCGCCTTAATACTAAGACAAATAGACTTATCAGCAGTTGCCAAACACAATCACGAAACCGAAAACAAAATGTTATTCGATAAACCTAAAATTATTGCATGTAATCAATTCTTCTACCAATAAAAAATCCGAGAGTCTATAGAAATATATAAGCAACCTAACAATCTTAACCGCGACTCAGGTCTTTACCTGTCCCCAATATGGGAATCAGTCATCCCAGATGGTGTTTATACGATATAAAAGCAGGTAGAGAGTAAAATGCGAGCCAGTTTCAGACAGTTGCAGATACCAACAGAATTATTGGCGAAACGTTAGCTAGTTCGACTCAACAAAAACTGACGCAGGAGGAATGCAAAAGTTTTGGAAAAAGTATTCCAGTAGCCTGTGGAAGTTTCTTTGAAAAACTTAAAGAAATAGTTATATAAATAAAACCGCAAGGACATTTCATACCAAATCAACCAAAATAGATACGTTTAGCATGACAGCTCACTGACTTTGATAATTTTTGGTTTTGGACTAAAAATTTTTTACACTAAAAAAAATTAACCAATTTGAAATGTCTTAAATTCACAAATACACCAGTATAACATACGAAACAAAAATTTGTTAGCGCTTCCTCTTTTCTGGTTGACAACTTGTCAGCAAAGTCTTGGGCCTAAAATATATAATCATGCTATGAAAAAACATACTTTTGTACAGAAACCGGATATGCTTGAAGAAAAAAGCTATATATTGTGTCACGGAAAAAAGTTTTTACTGGCTTATATGGTTGATACAATCTCTATCAATTTAGAGTATATTTTACTATGTGTGAATGTGTGAGTTTTGAAATTTGTTTATCACATTTAAAAATTAAAAAAAAAATTGTTTAATCCTAATTTAGCTTTTCAATTTTTTCTTGTTTTCTTCCTATTTCATAAATTAAAATAAATACAATATTATTGAACGCATTCTAATTATTTTCTCACCTGGGTTACATAATATTGCCATTCTGGAATTTTGCCAATATGTTGCTAAAATATTGACAAAATTAGCATCTGTTAACAATGAGTGAGCGTTCTGGAAATATTGAAATTGTTCTCAGTGCACTTTTGGTTAATTTTGAAATGGATTAATTAATAAAAAAATATATTTTTCAAAGAAACTTCCACATATACTATAATACTATTTACAAAACTTCTGGATTCCTATTGCGTCGGTTCATCTTAACAATCTTAACCGCGACTCAGGTCTTTAACTCTCACCAATATAGAGACGATGTTTATGCCCCTTAGTTAGCTCCGCCCCTCTCAAATAATATATAAGCAGGTACACAGAAAAGTGAGAGCCAGCTTCAGTCAAGCTCTGAAGAAGCCAACAACAACTGACACAGGAGGAACCCAGAAGTTTTGTAAATAGTAAAAAAGTTAATAGTCGGGAAAGTCTTAAATTCCTGATAATCCTGATAATATCTGTGAGGTGACATTACTAATTCTTTGGTTGATTTGATAAAAAATAACCCAGTAATTCAAAGTAAATTTACCCATTGATATTCTCTAGTTGAAGAGCTTTCTTTTCGAGCCCGTTCTGTCGATTTTTCCAAAAATAAACGATAGCGAAGACGTCCGCGACGGGCCTTTGCCTCACGTCGCTAGCGTGCTCCTTCATCCACAGTTCCAAGTACGCGACATTCGTTTCGGTGGAGATCACCATCTCCATCGACTCCTTAAAAGTGCATTTGTTGCCCATCAGGAGTCTGGGAACCGTACCTTTGGGGATCCACATATTCTGAGCGCCTAAAACGTTACCCAGGGCGGTTTGCGTCCAAAACGACACCCTCAACTCCTGACACAAAATCAAAGTGTAATCCACATAGAAAGATTTGACCACGACGCCGTTTTCGCGGACGAACGCGATCGAATGTTGATACTTTTTTTGTCTCTGACTTGGACTATCGGGCGTCCAACCCTGAGGACTATGCTGAAACTCCCTGCTGGTGCAGTCGGTCTTTTTTTTGGGAGTATGCAAGCTTCTATGTAAGGATTTCCCTTCTACTGTTTTATTAAACGGGATACACTTGAGATCTGCCTTTTCTATCACATTTTCCGGCGTTGCAGCTTTTACCAAAGTATTTTTTATTAATTGCTGGGCACTTGCACTTTCGCTGATTTCCTGAAGTCTGATATCTTCCTCGTCGCTGTCGGTGTGCGAATTTTCCACAAACTCGTTGGCGGCGACGTCGACTTGGTGCGCCATTGTAAGTGAATAAGGGGGTTCCGCTTTGTCAGTCAAATCAATTTCCAATTTTTTTGTGCACTCCACTTTTCCTGCGGCTACTTTGGGGCACGTGAAACATCCACTAAACCTATCACAGTTTACCATCAGTGGAAACCTACTTTCCAGTAAACTTCTCTGATGTTCTCGACTGAGGCCTTGAAACTCAATGTCGTTCATGTAGTCCTCAACCTCGCCAAAAATTGTCCCGTTCACTGAAAGCACCGGTTTGCTGAAAGGTACATGCTCTGTTTTTGACATAATATCACCCACAAAAGGCGAATGGAAACTACCTTCCTGGTTATTATTATGTAAAACTTGTGATACTTTTGCGGTTTTCTGTTTGGCATGTAACACTTTTGATCTTTTTTTCTTTATGACTGTTCTATGCTTGAAAGGTTTTGAACCCGACCTCAGGTTTCTACTCAACCTTCTATTCCTCAAAGAACTTATTATATCTGATATTAACTTTGATTTTTTTGGGGAAATAGTTTTCAGCTGACTTATCGCTTTCTTAAATTCGCTCCTCAACTTTCTGTGTGGGACTATATTATCAGTTAGGGGCATGTCTACAAATCTATCTGCTACCAAATCAAAATCGCTTATTGTATAGAGACAGTCTTCTATTAATTTAGGAACCTTAAATTCTAAAACACCGTTGCGACCATTTGGCAATAAACTAGCAACTTCCTGATCTTCAGCAGACAAAAATTTTTCTTCAGTTGGCTCATTTAACATGGACTGTATTTCCTCAGTATTCTGCTCAACTTTTTTCATCCAACTGGTGTTTAAATTATCAAAATCTTCGATTATTTCCTTCAAAATTAAATGAGGCTTTGGAAATTCAAACCTATAACCTTCATCATCACTAACATGGCCATCTGGAGTTTTCCCTTCTTCCTTAAGTTTTCTCTCCAACTCCTTTTTCTCCTGCATTATACATAAATTTTTCACTCTTGTGGATCTTCGATTCTGTAACATAACCACTTGCTTCTTATCTGTGGGTTTCATCAATTGTAAATAACTACACAGCTCTTGCTTTTTTTCGCTATCTGGACTGCCTGGGTGTGACAAGGCTTCATACATAAATCTACTGTGGTCTTCTTGTTTATGGTCAACTAATCGCCGCTTACTGGATTTGAAATGTATGAGTGATTTATTTCGTTCATTTACACTTTTACTTCTGACAAAATTGCATTTATGTGTACTATTCAAGTTTTTCAATGTGATGTTTTCACCTGCCTGTATACTGTTACATGTTTCTAAATAATTATAAAATGGTGGACAATAATTGTAAAGGCTTCCTAAAACCAAAAGAGAGCCATGTAATTTAACACACAGTAATGCATGATGACATAAACTTTGAGACTCCTTTTTTGTTAAATTGGAATTTTAAATGTGATATAATCTAATAAGAAGTTGAGCCTGTACTTTGAGATATAACAATTTAAAGTTACCTGAAGGAGAATTTGGCTTTGAAGGCAAATCCTTATCAAAATTACATCGAACAAACATAAAACTGTGTTCAGTGTGGAACCTGCTTGCATCCATGGCATCTAAAGTCCTATTACTTTTATTTGAGAAGCTATCGCTATCAGCTTTCCTCTGATAGGTTTTTTTAATACCCCTCATCCAATTATGTACCTTTTGAACTGCATTGGGTGTAGTATTTGACACCCTTTGGCGAAAACTCTTTGTACTGTCTCCACTCATAGGCACTTGGTCCATTTCTGAACTTGAAAAGTCCAGCAATTCTCTGCAAACCTCTAGACTATCACTGGATATGGTTATTGGGGTGCCCATGAAGGATTTTCCAGAGTTATAAAAACATTCCAATTTGACTAATTCTCTGTCCTATGCCAGCAATTAACACTTTTTATTCAATTTATTTGACGCTAAAAAATGATTGGTTAAAAATTATATCGGCATATAAAAAAAAAGTTCAATATTTTCTCTACAGTAAATTTTTAGGTGCTTACATTTTGTTGTTTTATTTTCGTTGATGTCATCTGTCGACATCTCTTTTCTGTTTGAATTTCTTCGTCTGCAATAGATAGTGAAAGAACTTAAAATTATTATTATTCTTTGCCAGCGCGTTTTGTGACCTCTGGCGGTAAAGTTTGGCACGTCAAATAGAAGCTGAAGAAATAAAATGGCGTCGCTTAATAGTTGTGGCGTACGTTTACAAGTTTGATGCAAGTTTTCCATTGGGTCCCGTGTAATTTCAAGTGATATTTGTGCGAATTTTATTCTTAAGAGACTTTAAACGGATAGGTGAGTCCTTTTTTTTATTAAACGGCGTTTATATTATCGTTGTTGCACCGACCAGATAACCGACAAAATGTTTAATAAATTCCTGTGAAACGCTGGTATAAATTTACGGAGGTTATTTTATTATTGACTGTGTTCACTTGGGTGCTATGCCTATTTTTGATGGAGTCGTGCCATGTAATTCAGGTCCACTTACGTTTTTGTAATCTACGGTGTGTTAACCGTTTACATATTGATTGATAATTTTCGTTGTTTCTGCATACTTTTAGATTTAGCTAAGGTAGGTAAACGTTCACACTTCGGGACTCTTATAACTGAATTTTAACAGTTCATGCTAATTGACTAAGTTGTACAAGTATGAAAAAAAGCATTTCTTAAAACATTTTTGTTTTACATATTTCTTGACTTCATTTTTTCTTCATCTAACTAAAAATTGCGACATGGTAGAATCCGTCCGAGCCTTTAACGAGTTGGCAACGGACAGAAATACGAGTTATTGAGTGTGTAAATTTTAATCAGATTGAAAAAAGATGCCAGCCTAAAAAGTTCGTTTGATTTGATTTCGTCGCAAAAAAAATTAATGAGATATTTCGTAAGTATTTAGGTTGTAAACTTTCGTGTTTTTGGTTTCTTTTTTTTAAATCTAACTAGCAATGGTCTTCAATTTGTGACCTCAGGTTATTCCGAATTCAATACTGTGAGGATTTGGCGCCCGATTATTTGTTTAGAAATTTATCTCTTTTCAAACGGAACAGAAAAAGTGTCGCGGGGCCTCATTTGAAAATTGCGAAGTTGCGTCGCGCCCCGTCTCTCTCGGACCGTTCTTGAGAAGTATGCGACCTTGATTCAGTGTTGTTTTCTTCGTTGTTGTGGTTGGTTCGATCGCCACGTACAAGTTCTGAACTTAGCTCCAGCCAAGCCACTCACCCGGTCTGTTGCCAGGCCCGTCTCCGGGGGGAAATTAATTTTGATAACCGGCGATAGTCGATGTGCGCAAAACGAAACCCGGACGACGTTGCCGCGTCTTCAGCTTTTTACTGCAATAGATCGATGTTCGGCGCGACGTTTGTTTTATTGGGATTGCGGCCGGCGATTCCTTTGAAAAAGCAGAAGTGGTTGAAAAATAGGTAGTTCGTACTGTGCACACAATATTCATCAAATTACCATTTGGTTATATACCGGAGAATAGGTTAGTTTGGACATTTTGATTTGATAACCAATTAATACATTAGAGTTAAAAGCCTCTGTAGACCCAAAATGGTTCGTTCCCAAAACCTTTTATTTTTGTTTGTTCAAAAATTACATTTTACCCAATTTATGTGGTTTTATGAGTTTATTTTCTACCTATGCCTATTGAAGACCTTCAAATCTATCCATACTGAACGGACGCTTTAAATAGATCACTGATCTGTACTAGATCATTGTCAGATTGTCCCGGAGAGCAAAAATGGGAAAATCTATAAGAGAGTTTCGGAAACTCCATGTCGTTAAACATCGTCGAGTCTAATTCAATATTTGCGGATAGGTCTAAGCTCGAATCGGTCGGACGGTATGCCACCCTTATTTTCGTCGCCGCGAAACTGGGTCAAACGGGGGAGCAGAGGGGAACCGGAAACGTCGACGACGGGATAAGGTCGAGTCTAGGCAACCGTTGAAAGGACGTTATATAAGAAGCGTTTCACGCCGCTTCACCCGGCAACTTGAGACTTGATTCTTTCGGTCTAGACCGGGGATGATGACGTAGCTTTAATCCGACGCGCAGGCACGAATGAGTTCTCTTTAGCAAGGACAATAAGTAGGTTTTATTTTGTGGATAGTTGAATTATTGCGAAATTGGAGAGCTAAAATATAAAAGCTCTAGAAGTATTATGAAACTTAGTCCAGGTCAAAGATTCCAACCCAGCTGCGCGACGTTGGGATTTTGACAATAGCTACGTCATTCTCCAGCGCTCATGCAACTAAATAGACCTAGACCGACATCGCTTTTAAAACTACTTGCGCCATCTACAATCGAATATTGGAAAAACAGGCTTGTACTTTGCTCCCATCATATCGTCAAAGCATGAGAAACTTTTTCCGTGGAAAATATTTAAACTTGTCTGTAAAATCATGTTTTGTTGTATTTATGTATTTACTGTTGATTATTCGTTATTGGATCTTAAAGATATGTTGTCTGGAAAAAGGTATAAATCGTCATGAAAAACGCGATGAAGGTGTTTTCTTTATTTGGCTGCACCAATCTGTAAGTTGGCAACGTAACATTCCTTAAAGATTTTTTGCTTTAGAATCGGAAAGAGAAGAAAACTCTACAGTTTGTCACTTCTAGATTTTTGCTCGGAGTACTAAAATAGATCTTTTTTGAATCATATATTAATTAGAAGATTCGCGGATTATAAGGGTGCTCAGCACATTTCAAAATCTTTGAGAATGGATTAAAAGAATGGAAAATGTTTGAAGGAATGTGTTTACTAATAGCAGACCAGATGCGGTACACTTTCTTGTTTGCTGACGATCAAGTTTTGGTAGTTGGAGAGTAAAAGCTTGCCTAGTTATCAATACAGAAAAAACTGGAGTTTATGCTTGCTATTGCTGGCGACGATCAGATATTAAGGATTGGCGCTCTGTGTGACGAAAGTGGGAGAAGCAATGAAGATATATCCTTGTAAAATAGGGCAAGGAAAGAGTTAAAAGACAACTTAAACTTAACTCGCTGCTTTGGAGCGACAGAATTTCGACAAAGATCAAACAAATGACATGAAAGTGAATCTTTGTATCAATGTGCATTATGGATGAGAAACCTGGATGGAACACGCAAATGGATATAACTAACCCCATTGTGCATACCATCAAAATTGAAATCATTACTTCGTATACACATCTCCAGAGGATTGGACGAAATGGATGGCCAAAGAAAATCTGGAATTGGGTTCCCTTAGAGAGAAAGAAAAGAGGAAGACGACCCCCAAGAAGCTGCGTACGTACGAAATCGGTTTTTCAAATAGGAGTATTGTATATGAATGCGGATAGGTTCAGATGTGATTTAATCTGCCAGTGTGGTGTTTAGACGCTATTCCCGGAAAGGCAGAATGAACTTGAAATTGAAAAATTTGGAGTACGAAGATTGTATCCTAAAATGTATTTTTGTTTTTTCAAGGTGCCGTGTAGATGTTAATTATGCCCGCTTCCCTTATACTCGTGTTTCCTTTGATATCGACGATTTAACGTTTGTTTAAACCCAGAACAGTGAATTTGGAGTATATTTTTCCGCATTTTCCTTTGCCATTCAAAACGCGGTTTTCCGGAACACAGGTTCCGTGCCCATCTCCGGTCACGTCCGAAATGTTTACTACGCGCGAGTAATTATGACCCAATTTCGGCGGCTCTGGCGCTGTAAAGGTCGCCACGGGCGCCTGCCCCATTTATCTCGTCGGTTTATTTTTAGTTTTGCCATGCCCAGTACAAGGATCAATTACTGGCGGATTCGCCGCTGAGTTTGACATCATTTGAATCCATACATATACTGTGCTTTATTGAAGTGTCATCGCCACGAGTGGAACCGGATCGCTCCCTTCCGTCGGCCAAATTCAGAAATAAAGGTCAAACTATGGTCTGGACGAAATAAACGCTTAATCATCGTCGACGTCTTTTTCTAGTGATTTTCTTTCCACAAAGGTTGGGTTTGTTACCTTATTTCTAACCTCTAAACTATAAGCGATGGAGCCAAAAGTTAAATACAAAAGTTAATTTTATATAGGGTTGTATATGCCCAATATTTTTACTTTTTGAAATATTTCCTTTTAAACATTTGTCTATCACAAATAATATGCTGTCACTATGATTTACCATTTCATAGTTGACCATAATCTTGCCGATGCGCTTATGAAGATCCAAAGATTATGTATGCATTATTTATACCCAAATAAGACCCATGGATAAACGATAGCGTTGGTGAAATGTTTTGTTAATGAACGATCAATAAAAAATTAGTAGCTTACAAAGGATAATAATAATTGTTACAGTTGTTAAAGGGTTTTTAAATACATAATGACAATCCTAACAGATCCGGGTTAAATCTGCAAGGGTCTCTGCAAATTGCAACAAAAAATATTAATTTTCCCTTTATTGTTTAAAATTTGACGACGTCTATTTTTTTCTTCCTTCAAAGTTCCATATAATCTAAAACGTCGGTAAATCCTGTCGAAGATCTTTTTTTCTACGCGCCTTCTTAATGGAAAGTTTCTCTATAATCTCTAAGAGCCAGGGTCCGGTTTTTATTGTACGATATGTAATTTTCTAACATATCAATCTTTTCCTCTGTGGTAAACATAATACGCAAGCAGCATTCTAGCACTTGTTTTGTTTAAACGCCGTCATAGCCACCTTACACTAACTGAACTTATATGGCAACAGCATATTATTTGTGACAAATGTTTCAAAAAAAAAATAGACATGCAACTTTATGTAAAGTTGTCTTAATTTTTATGCTAAATATGACAAGATAAAATGGGTAGTTTCCATTAAAAAATTTTTTTTAGCAATTTCATTTTTATTCCTATTTTCCGCGTAGCCTGTATTATTATGTATCGAAATTTATTATGAAATCCGTTATTCGAGTCCCTTGTCTACAATAAAACTTACTCAAGTGAAACGATAAATGCTTCCAAAATTGGCAGATATTTTGAGTCTTGCAAACGTCATTTTTCCCATAAAAAAATAAAAAATGTCAAAAACGGTTAGACTTAGGTATAGGACGTTATACACAAAATATGTCTAGAATTTTGTATAGAATTCAAAAATGAAGTAGTAAAATGAAACACTCTGTATATACGAAATGAAGATAAATTAAATGTTTCTAACACCCCACTTAACTTTTGTATTTAACTTTTGGCTCCTTTCCCTATAGAAGAACAAAGAGGCAAACGTAATTCCACTCCTAATTAGTTGCAGTCAGTAAAAGTAAGTGTTTCTATTCAATAACTGTTATTTTGCATAATGGATTAACAAGACAAGATTTAACAAGAAATGTTAAAGCGTGAAAATTTTAGTTGGTCCAAACTATATCCCAGTTTTGTAGTACTTTCGTCGAATATTTCATGTTAATATCGCTAAATAAGTTGCAAAACATATTGAGTATATTTATCGGGTACATGGTTAAGACTGTTTTATTTATAAATCGACTTCAACTGATTACAACCAATTTATAGTAACAAAGCGATAAGGTCCTAGGTAATGTAGTTGGTTATAGGTAATTGCAGTTTTTACAATTCACGATATAGATAGGTATAATCGAAATCGTCATTTTCAATATCACACGTTTTTTCGTTAAAAATAATGTGAATGAATGTTCTTGTAGAGCAAGATATTTTAGTAAGAAAATGAAGATTCATACGTGTGTTGTCGTTAAATAAGGAATAGATTAGGTGTGGGCATTTTTTTTGTCACTTTTTTAGGGACTCGTTAATTCTGCATTCTCTATATTTTTTGTACGTCCTCTCCATTCTTTGCCGCTGTGTTTTGAGGAAAAAATCGAAGTAAATTAATTTTTTATTGTTTAAAACGTAATATGTTTGGAAATAAAACGTGAACCAACCTATATTTAGTTAGGTGGGTAACAATATAAAAAAGTAACTTTCGTTGTCAATGTATTTAGGTACATAAATTCAAATAAAAATTGTTTTTGTGTGCTCCCAGAAAACAATACGTCGGTGGTAACGGAAGACAAGTTCGACTGTTGTGCGAGCGGGGTCAGAAAATGAATGGCTGTGCGTTGTAGGCGATTATGCGCAGTACACGAGCGGATTGTTTATGCAACAAATGTCGGGCTCCCAAGCCCGTGAATAATATAAATAATGTAGTTAATGAGGATACAGTTACTTGTAAAAAAATTAGGTGCAGAAACAACAGGCACCCATCCGCTTTGGTCTAGGCGCTTCCTAGTGACTGTCGAAATATATTGCTATTTCACTATTATTCAATAAATAACTTAAATAATAATAATAAAAAAACAGATATTTCATTGAGTATTGGGTATCGACCATTCTGATTAATATTTGTATATGTATAAGCAAGGGGGATAGCGTTTTCACCATTTTAACGTGCTGCCAATAAATATCTAGACGGTGTTAGATAGTGTTGCCAGTGCTGGACATCGCCGTTTTTTTTTACATAGTTACAGAATAATATTTTTATGTATTCAAAAGGTGATTTTACTCAACATACATTAACAAAATGTCTTATTAATATTTCATTAAACATTACCGCTAAAGCAACAGATGTTTCTTTTTTTTAACAATTGCGATATGTGGTGGTTTTTTTTAGCGTGAGAATACTTTACAACGAATAAACACTTGCGTTGAGTTTTTAACCTCAATTTCACTAGCCGAATGATACTGGCAGTCGTTAACAAGAGCAGTAAAAAAAAAACCTCAATTTCACGTGGCTATTCTACAACATCTGTTTTTGATTATTTTTTGTGAAACTGTGAGGCAGTTTCAAAGACTCTGAAGGCAGCGGGTGGTTTGCATTATCTTTAAAAGTGTGTCAATTTTATTTTATTTAACTATTTATAATGTAATTATGAAAGTTTTAATATTGTTACATTATATTGATTTGATTGATTCATATTTAGGCAACATTCCTCAGTCCACTCGTTCCTTGTATAAATTGATATTTGCATCACAACAGCAATTTTATGAATGACCTGATAACGGATACCACGTCTGTCAAAATGCAATGCAAGTTCGTTTCCTTTTTTCGGCCAAACATGAGCCACCAGTTTTAACATCCAGAACGGATGTCCTAAGGAAAGGTGATTATCAAGAACACAAAATTGTAAACGTGTGTTCTACGTGTTTCTGTACATTGTCAAATAATGGACCAAATTTTTCAGAACAAATGTCATCAACAGCTGTTTTTAGTTACAGGCAAAGCGTAACCGAAAAAATTATTTAATAGAAAATGCTTTTAAAACGATCGAGTTAGTTTTTGTATAAAATTCTTCAGAGTATGCAGTGTTCCGCATTTAAGCTTCGAACTCTCCTGCATAAATCTTAAATAAAAAAAATTATTTGGAAAATTGTTCTTCAACTTGAGGTCATTGAAGGTCACCTTCTTTTGTACATGGAGAACGTTTTGGTAAAACGTACACGCTGATTGTACTGTACACCTTTTTCTCTCTCTTTTTTTTAAATCTTTGCGTGAATCTTTCTCAGAATATCTGAGGTTCTGCCGTCCTATATAATCGTGATGATGCCATCACGATTATATAGGACCTTGGTGCCCCTTAATATTCTTTGCAAAAGCCACATACCCTTTGTAAAAAAAAAGGTTCTAACCTTAGTAGATTTATTCTATAATGCAGGTACTTTGCTTGGTGCTCCTTTCAGGCAAAGACAATTGCCCCCTGAGTACCGCGCGTCTATTTTGGTGTTTTGCTGCTGTTTACATTCGTGATACTTAATAACAGACCATTAAAATTCCTAAAATAGCTGAGGCGGCAGTGTCAACCACCTGTGACGGCTAAAACAATTATTTTTGTTCGTTTTTTTTTCTGTTTCGCCGGCGGTTATGGTAATTTTCTCGGTGACCCGTTTATTTGACGAATAAATCATACCTTTGAAGGTCGCAGCACTTTCATCGAACGCATTAAATTAGTTCGGTCAGAATGCATTTTGCCGGAGAGCCTTGTTGTCGTACCGGCTATATTTAATTGACGCGTTAGTTTAATTATTATTGGTAAACACGCTTTTAATTACGTCTGCCCCGTTTACATTTTAATTACCCTCGAGACGTCTAAGGTCGGCGATTTTTTTTTAAGAAAATCGTCTTGTCTTTTTTTTAAATTATTATATTCACCCTTGCCGATACAGATTTGTATTTGATTTCGTAAACTTCCTTCTTTTGACCTTCTTTTCACGTCAAACAGTCTCTTAAAAAGGTCTACATCTAAGACGATGTAGACCTTTTTAAGCGATCCTTAGAAACTAACCAATTTTGTGTGTGGACTTTATTTGAAATAGATTTTATAATAACTTTATTTAGGTAATTTTGTAGATGCTGTCTAATCAATGCATTGATTTTTTTGACTATTAGGATTAATTAATAAAAAAACACGACAGATTTCATTAATACATTGAATTTAATAATCCTTGCAAATTAGCACTTTACAGATCAATTGACGCATCTAGACTCCAATTGTTTCTTCTTCCCTGTTCACCGTTATAGCTTGTGGTATCTTTCAAGATTGGTTCTATAAAAAGTTCATTCCTGAAGTAAGCTCGTTCTCATCTGTCTGAGGCAGCCTTAAGATCGAACGATTTTTTTCCCACCCAATCTTACAACCATGTTTCAACCAATGGATCAAATATGCAGTTTTCGCAGTGAATCAAATGACTTTCAAAAAAGCATTTTACAAAGTAATGACGCTAGAGGAAGATGAAAGCATCGTGGAATCTGATGATGAAGAATCCATAACTGTAATTGATCAAACTGAAATTGAAAGGTGGACTCGGAGTGATAAAAATGAACCAGGTTATCAATCCGTTGCACTACATCCCGATTCATCCGAAAATGAGAGCCAAGACGAACAAAACGTTCCGAAGATCAAAACAGTAACTAACCGAGAGGCTAACGATGCTGGTAAGAAATATACTATTTCTTTTCGAGCAACGACAATCTTCGGACCTTATCAAACTTTTTGCTTGCACTGCGTCAGACGATTAAAAAGTATCGAAGAAGAATAAACCGGCTTGAAAACATAGGCTACCTAAAATCCATATCCGCTTTATGTAAATGCCAGTTGTCATAGCTATTGTAGTCTTTATGAAATAAATACTATTTGTTTTTAATACATTTAATCGTCCGATTTAACCATTACATGCACTGCGAAAAGAGTTGTCTCGTTTCATTTAAAACTTTTTAATAATTGCAATACCTAACTTTATCCTTTCGTGGGCCTCTAAAAGTAATATAAAACTAATAGTGTTTATAATATGGGAATACGGGGTTGAGTCGCCGATAAAGGACGGCGTTATGTAGAGTATTTGTTTTTCTAAATCAGTGTAAAAGTTTACCTATTACTACATAGTTTTATCCGGTTATCTATGTTTTTGTTGTCTTTTAGTACTGTTATGGGGATACAAATATATTACCAATATGTACATACCGGATATCTCAATAAGAGCAACGAGATACGGTACTAATAAACCGGACGGAAAATTGAAAATAACAGATCACGTCCCCTGGTGGCTATTTTTTTTTTCAGATTTGTAGTAGTCCCCATTTCTACGATACCGTACCTGGTTGCTCTCTTACTGGGACATCCAGTATGTAATTATTAGTACTATATTTGTATCAACATAACTCTCCTAAAAACATTACAAAAAATCGTTCTCGCAAGTTAAAACCAACTTTTCTTTAACATAAAATGTTAACCGAGTAAAACATAGAATTCTACATGAGTAAACTTTTACATAGAACAAGAAAAATACGAAAATGAATGCTCGGGGATTATCCGCGGTTTCCCTGCATCGCCCGGTCCTGTGGAACACCGATAATCGAGATCCTACTGTATCATATCAATGAACAACCTGTTTGTTTTACCGCCATAACTCTGTCCCAGTTATGGTCGCACTGTCTTGCTCCATCGCCAAAGTAGATATTACAACGTAAACTTACAATGAAGCACTCGAACACAACATTCTAAGTATTATACCGATAAAATGCACAGACCCGTTTGCTCTAATATAATTACTAAATAGAATATAGTAATTGTTTCGCACGGACAACGGTTTATTTTTTAAAGAGGCAATCGCAAACAATGAAAAATTAATTCTCTTCCGTGTTCAGGTCAGCGCAACAGACGAGCGAATCGAGCAACACGCTACCGCACCCGCTCCATTAAAGTGGACGTTAGAATAAGACGCAATATTTATTTACATATTTTTCCAAGCTTGCCTCTCTTGATTGCGCCCACAACGGGCCACGTTGCCGCGACTCGCGAAACTCGCGCTGATGTTATTTGTTCGCCCGGAGGGTAGCGTTATCCCTGTTCGCGGAGGGTTTTAAATTTTAAACCTTGTAATGGCAGACGTAGACCGTGTTGGTTTCGGAAACAAAGAAAGCACTAACGTCTCGCGCGATAAATTATTAACGGGGTTCGGAAACGCGGCAACGCTATCATCGCCCCAAACGATCGAAACTTACTTCCAGGTCGGCCGCTTTCCAAACGCAATGCCACGGCGTAAATCTCCGACGCCGGCCGAGTCGCGTAGTCGGTTATTGTGCGGCGACGCTGCCACAGTGCCACGTAATTGCGGATCGATAAACAAAATCCGTGCGGTGCCCCGCGAATGCAAGTATTTTAACGCCAAATCGTTTAATAAAAATTGTGATAATTAGTATTCTCATTAGTTCAGTGTGATAAATTTTCACCGGCTCTGTACAGTTTCGTGACAAAAAGGCAAGTAGCAGGTTTTGGGAGGAGAAAAAAAAGCAGACGGTAAAAAAAATGCGGCGATAATAAATGCGCGAGCCGAGTTTCGGTGTGCCCCCTCCTACTGCGGTTCAAGTTTTGTTGTTAGTTGTTCGCGCGGCGGCCATACTAGCACGTAAGTGTGTGTTTGTTTTTCCAAGTCGTCTTTTTTTTTGACAATTTTCGAGACATCTGTCACCGGGTGCGTTTTGCTCGCAGTGCCGCCGCACCGTTCCCCTCCCCTCTATCGACGCGATTCAATGTTTTGATTGTATCGATTCTTCGCGTTACATTGTTTGCGCCCGTTGATTTTCGAGTTGCCATTTTTGTCGTTTCGTGTTTGCGGGTGACTTGATTTCTATTCTTAAACCGTACCGTCGGAATGCAAGGCGCGTAGGCGGCGGATTATTTCGGTGTGGTGTTGTCGTTTCGGTGTCAGAAGTCCTTGCCAAGTGTTGTCTCATCGTCGCCTAATTGTAATACAATTAACGACCTTTCTTTATTAAATCTCGCACGTCGAGCAAAACAACATCGGGCGCAACAGTTTTAACAGGTTTATTTTGTAAAAAGTCTTGATTTATCTAATCGCGTTCCGCGATAAATCTGTGTACACACACACACACACACACACACATGTATAAATTTAACATTTAAGTGGTTCAGATAACGTTATTTCTTTTCGTCGTTTATCTTGGCGTCGGTTGGCGGAGCGCCGTATATTTCCACGCGAGTTTTCGTAGATTTGTAACGCGAAATAAGAGGATCGACGAGATTAAATATTTAAATATTTTCCAAGGTCACATATATTTATCTATGACAAAATTTCGTAAGTGGGTATTGTCAATAGTCGAGTAATCGGGGAAACTGCGACCTTGCCTTTTTTTTTTTATTATACCAGTTCCCTATGTTTAGCGGGATTTGGTTGGCAGAAGGAGCTAGACTCATTTGTGGATTCAACAAAAATTGCTATGCACTGTTTCTTACTGCAAGAAAGTTATAAACTGTTAATTTGCAAAGGTTATATCTTAAATTTCAGATAAATTGCAATCATTGTTTCCGTTTAATTTTTGCGAGGCTGCTTTCAATCCAGTTTGCCATCATTCCATAAAAAGTTGCCTCACGCTTTTTAAATTTTAATCCTGGCATGTTTTACCAACGGCGTTTAGCCAAATTTTCACTGTTTTCATATGTATGTATGTAAAGGTGGCGTACTCCCCAAAAAACAAAGCACTGATCTATTCGTCCACCTATTACAACATTGGCTTTCGGCTCTTCGGTGTACGTCGTACTACTGTACGTTCTTGCATAGATGGAACGGCATGCTGCTCGTCCGTCCTGACTCAGCATACGTGACTTTCGGCGGCCATATAAAAGATATCGCTAATATTCACCAAAACTAAAAAAATACATAGTAGGCTTTGTCAGGTTCTTGTACATACTTCACTTTTCAACAAACACATTTCAACTGTTTTTGCAAGTCCAAGTATTGAGTTTTGGTGGTGAAAGGTTTTAAACACATTGAGAATAATAATTTTCTCATCCGACCAGCAACTGCCGGAAAGAAACTATAATTTTAATTTTAAACATTAAGGCACAGGTGGGTCAACTTGCTACTCTCGAGGCTCTTAACAATAATCGTGGTAGCAATCTACGCCTATGGAATATGGCTAAGTTAAACTAAAATGTTCAGCTAATTGCCAACTAACCGCGAGCTGATAAATAATCTGGCAATTAATCAAAAATGGACGTAGCTCATAAAACGTACATTGTGTATGATACACACAATACAGACACAGGTCAAAAAACTAGGAAAAAAGCCGGATTTGTGGTAGTTGTCATGTGAAAAAATGAAAGGTTGACAAACTGGTAGAAGATAAGGGGACGTCTGTTGACATACAGTATACTGAGAGCCAACAGACCAAATGACTAGGAAGAAAGTTTATCGGAAGAATCTGCCTTTGCTGTGACAATGGAGGGGTTTGTTTATATGCAGCGTTCTTCTCATAAATATAGTATATTAAAGCGCTAAAGGTTCAATTTGTTAAGTCCAATGAACTATCCAAACTCCTCCTGAATGAGGTGCTCTCCTTGCACTCGAGCGGTTCTAGTGGAGGAGCAGCACCAAGGACAGGAAGGCCCCGCAGTTACGATTAGTTACGTGACACTGGGGCCTGGTACTAGGAAACACCGGAATTTTCCGTAGGAGTAGAAAAACTCCCGCTTTTAGAAAAATTAAAAATACGTACTTGGATTAAAATTTTGCTAATTTTTTTGTATTGAGTATATTTTTTGTTTAAGGTTTTATTAATAACATTTCGTTTCGTTTTTTTTTATAGTTGGAAACAAAAGATCTTATCTTATTTAATAGTTTGTTTTTTATGACAAATGCGGGATAAATTATAAATTTTGGCGCCATTCACTTTCCCCTCTTATGAACTAAAGGTTTTTTCGTTTCTATTAAACTATCGTAAAACATTGTTAAACCGGCATAGGGAAGCGGGGGCAGCACTGGATTCGATTCGTGGCCTCTTGAGAAACGCGATTCCTTTGAATCGGGGGGGAGGGCCTCCGAGTCTGCCCCGGCTTGTGTGCGGTTTTCAACTTTCTATTTGCGAACTGCGCGGCGGCAATTTAGACGGAACCGAATGCGAGTCGAATTGTGCGCCGCTTAAAGTGTTTGCTGAATCGCAGAAAACTTTCGCAACGTCAGAACGTTTGTTTACAAAACATTCGGATTCCCAATCGGTTCGCTATTTCATCACAACTTTGGGTGTACGAACTCTTCGGCTGCCGGACCACGCCGGGTTCGCGGCGCCTGCGTTATAGTGGTACCCGTGGATCAATGGAATTTGTTGGCAACGATGGGCGGGTTTTTAAAATCAACAGTTGAACGCACAGAAAAAACTAATAGGAGAGTTGTGGATGCCATAGTAAATATCGTACTCCCCAGCGCCGCCGTGAGCGACGGGCCTAAATAATTTTCTGGTGACCAGAAATTTAAATTGCGTTTAAATTATGGAGAGCAGTAGCAAGTATGAAATGGTTCGTTATTTTTGAATGTAGAATGTTAACTTATGTAATTCCCTCGGTTTTTGGGAAACAAACTAGACGAATCTGTAAGTTTCAAGGGCTCGTGATCATTTTGTCGCCCTCATGCCGAGGCTTGCGCAATCAACCACCACTTATTATAACATAATTACTGGGCGCTCACAATTACTGCGACCGCAAAAATGCAAGTTATAAAATAAAAATTCAAACAAAAATCATATCGAATAGGAACTATATCCTTACATAATCAAATCAAATCAAAAAATTTTTATTTGAGAGACTATATATAAACGATAGTAATGATGCTACACTTGCTCGTCAAAAGTGACTACACGGTGATCATAAAAAAAAACGATTACACAGGTATTGAACATACCTGTCCTGTGCAGGAAGAAAGAACAATTATATATTGTAAGTATAAGAAAGCTATTTTTACAAACTAAATATAACGTCGTTCATTGGAGGGAGGAAATAGATACAGAACACAAGAATAATATTAATATATTTATTTCTACTTTGTATTTACATTCTTCTATTAGCAATAAGCCGAAATTACAGTGCACAAAAAACTGGAAAACGATTTAAAAAAGAGCAAAATCCCGAAACACCGTATCTATCAACTCATAAAAAGAAAGAAACATTATTATACAATATCTTATTTACAAAAATATACTTCGGCGTATTATTATTGCATAATAGACTGGTTATAAAGAAACGCGGTTTAATAGAAATGAATCCTCTATGTTTATCGAAAATCCAAGGTATGGAGGCCGGTTCAGTTTTTTTTTTTTAATATGGACGATCAAGCATTTAACATTTTATTCTGGAAAAGAAGTACTGCATGAAACTGTTGACGTTTTTCCGTTGATAGCCTTACGGAGTTTATAAGATATGCGGTCACGTCGTCTGACATCGTATGACATCTTATATCTTAAACGCGTTCTGTATTCTGGTTAACTATTTCCATGGAAATATTGGATCGAATTTGAATTATTGAAAAAGAAAAACTTTCCACTTATTTTTGTGTAGGATTTTTATCCATTTTGCAAACATAAAAACACACCGGATAAAACAAAACAATAACAAATAAATCGGTATGAATGAATATCCAACGTGCTATGCATTGTTTCAACTTTCAACCATCATCTGGTACAGGTAAAGACGGGAGAGTCCACTGATTTACAAATTGTTGGCAACGATTTTTGTCGGCCGGATGACCGTTTTAATTTTTTTGTTTGCTAAAAATAAAAAAATGCTTTATTTTACCGTTTCGTCCTATTTTAATTATTTGAAATGCTTGCGTTAACGAGGTACCATGAAGTTTATCTCTGATTCCTGGGTGGTCCATTTGTGGTTTATAAATAAATGTAAAACGCGTTATCTTAAATTCGAAAACCACGCGCGTCACTCGACCTTAATTAAATACAAAAAATTGAGGTTATCTCGGACAGAGCTCGAAAATCCAAATCAAATCGGGTATTTTTGTGAACTTTTTTTCTTGTTGTTTTAGATCTCTGGCTGGCCAGACTGATATGGAGCACTAGTGATGATGCGCGCCCCTACCCCCTCCGAGCCGAAGTCTAATACATTTCCTACCTACCAAGTGCCTCAAGAGTCAGCCATGAGGGGCAGCGCACCCCAATCAGTACAACACAAAGTCGCTCGGGCAGCTTGGGGGGGTCGAGCCGACCCCCCGACCAGCCCCCTCGGCACCGCCCACGCCGGTGGCGCCACCCCGTCTGTGATAACTGGCTCAAGTTGCCGTCCCGACGCGATGACGATTACACATGCGCCAGGCGGCGGCAACTCTAATGTTAAGATGCAATCTGTGACCGATAACTGTCTTCTGAACTCTGTTACCGTACCAAAAATACAACGTAACGGCCGTCACACGGCCACCCACAATAATTTAAATAATAATATAAATAGCGATAAGTTAGATGATAGTAAGTTTGGTGCTTTGCCCCTCGGACGAGACATTCCCAACCAAAAGTCTGATGACCTCGAAGTACTTGACAACCTTAGTGCACTGAAGTTAATGCTTAACGTAAATGGTTTTAACTGCGATAACAACGATCACGACAAAGAACGTATCAACGGCGACTACGATCAGGATGCCGATTATTTGTGCAACAAGTAAGTGGCCAACCGGTATAGACGATCGAAGTTTTCGCCTTTTCTCGCTGATATGTTGTGTGATTGGGCATTATTCTTAACTTAAAGTGCAAATAAAATGTGAAGTCCATCGTTTATGCCAAAATGGCGTGATCCATAAAAGTTCGAACTATTTGGGAATGAGAGATTGCACTTCCTATTTTTAGAAATTGCCTTACGGTTAAGCGAACAATATATATGAAGTGATCTTTGGCAATCTTTAAAGCTGTTTGTTTTCTTCATTTACTTAACATTTCTTTTGAATGTCCAGTGCGCAGTAAAACAATGCTTGGTTTAAACACTACAGCTTGTTCCTTGATTAAAGGTTTTTGTTGCGGAAAGAGGCGAAAAAATTTGCTGATTTATTTTTAAAGGTGCCACATGTTGATTTTTCCCTGTAGGATGCAGAAACTGCGCACAACTAACGAAGACGACGACCAAAACTTTGTGGGTTGTTACGCTCCCCTCAGGCTCAGGGGCGGCGGCGAGAGCTCACTTAGCACGGGCACTTCCGGCTGGGGCACGCCCCCGGCGCAGCAGGCCGGTAATAACAATGGTTAGCAGCGATTGACACTCTATGTCTCGAAACGTATTATTTTTAGTGTTAAATTTCAGAAGTTGCGCAACCAGTAAGGTTACGGCAACTGAGTTTGTTTTGTAGTGCTATTTAAAAAGATTTCTTAGCCCCAGTTTTTATTTGCAAATGCGCAAATGATATCTACTTTATTTCTTATAAAGATTGCTAGTTGCAGCCTTTTTGATCTTTGCATAATAAGTGGGCTGGATAGTATAAGTAAACAAAGCTATAATGCAAAACGGCCGGTAGAGATTTATTTCACTTCCGCCACACAAAACGGGCCAGAAGTAGTGTTTAACAGAAATTCTCAAGATTTATGCGATATCCAAGTGACTATGACATCGTATTGACTTTCGGCGGAAGGTCCCCAATAAAACTTTAACGATGTTATTACCTATTGTTATTGGGTAAAAAAAAAATTTCTTGTGCGACAAGGCAGGGGTGGGCTAGGTATATTTCTTTCTTTCAGATATATTCTATGAGTGTTGACCATTTGTGGTTTTTACTGTGCTTGTCGAAAAAGTTATTTCACGAAAATATACCAATGTCGCGTCGAAATCATTTGTGCTGTGTGTTGATGCAAAACAGGTTGTGAAAGATGTGTATGAAACTTTAATCAGCAGAGGACTTATTCAACAAGAATCTTTAAATAAAACCGGCGAACTTACAAAAACGCCAATATTAATAGTGGAGAATTGAAGTAAAGGAATAAACATAGTGATTTTCTTACTCACCCTATACACAATAGCGATCAGGACCTGATAAGAAAGAAAATAAATTGTTCTTACATTGGATTAACTGAAAAAGAAGCTAGAAGAAGAAGAAACATAGAGTTGTTTGTAAAATAGAATTTAGGTACCGCAAAATAGACAAAAGGCAAGCAGCAATGGAATCATACAGACTACTTGGAGATTTAATTACCTTCAAGAAATAAAAAAAATATAGATTGGACAACTGATTTACCTTGATGAAACATGGTTCGATACACACGACACCGTATCCAATCTGTTACAAAATATTCCCAAGAACAGTGTTATTGTCATGGATAACGCTCCCACAGCCGTCTGCTACGCAAAGCAGCAGCCTCATCAAGTTCAAAAACTGAAATCCAGGAATATTTTTTAGAAAATGATATTTATTTTGAATTAAGTTACAAAAGAGCGCAACTTTTGCAAGTCCTAAATTCATATGCAATTCAAAAAGCAGTATGTATGCGATAATTTGGCTGAACAGGCTGAGCATACTGCTTTACGTCTTCCTCAATATCAATGTATGTTTTAACCCGATAGAGCATTTGTGGACTTTAAGTCCCTGTGTTATAAATTTGATAATGTAATTATTAACCTCCCAATTGAGCGCTGGAAAAATTCAAAACAGCACATTACAAAAAATTGAGGAGATTTCCATACAAAACAACATAAATCCTATTATTAGTAATCTCAGTGACGACTCTGATTGTGAAACAGAAATAGGTTCGCACATTTAGAATAAAAATGTAATTATGTATAGATATTCCTGGCTATGAATTTATTGTATATACTTAATGTCATGGTTTTATGTTAGTGTCATTTAAGATTATACGCACCTAAATAAATAAAAAAAAAATTACCAAAACTTTTGAGAGTCTGTCCCTAATGTTCTGTCCTTTAATACCTACCGGACCCGAGTTTTATTAAAAGCCAGCACGATGAAGATTGACATAAACTTCTTTTGTGAGCGGTTTTCCTATTGCATCTATTCTTTTGGTACTAGGTTCCCCTTTTTACTATTTATTAATTATTAAAATGTTTTTAGAATGTCATAAGTAATACATAGAGCAAAACACTAATTATCCTGTTTATGAGTGTCCTTCCCTATACAAATAATAGAATAAAAATAAAGTTTGCTAGAAGACAGTCATCGAAGTGCTGCTTATGTTTTAAAATTAGCCTTTTAATTAAATGCTTTGCCGAAAGTTTCTCATACATGCAACCCTTAACAAAAAACCTCACAAAGTTCTTTAAAATTACCGCAGTATTTTATTTATTTGCATTCATAGCGCCTCTATCTGTGTCTAAATAAAAGCAAAACCGAGTGACCTTTCTATCGTAGACTTTTCTTAGACTTTCTTACCGTGTATACTAAAAAATGTAGCAGTTTTGTTGATTTTTCATTTTTTTGTGGTATTCGCGGCATCTGGAGTTGGAGTGTCGGTGGTTTATTAGCACAGTCGACCGGCGCAAACGTTTGGTATGATTGTTGTCTATTTTGTGCAGCGAATAATGCAAGCGGGTGGGGCGCGGCCAACCCCTCGAATCAGAACAACGGGGGCACCCAGCAGTGGAACAACAATGCTAATCGACCACCGGCCTCCAACCAGGGCCAAGACGGTAACAACCCACGTTAAGCCGTCTAATTCGATCGCGAAATTTTAGTCGCGACCCTTTTTGCAGCCAACAAATCGAATACGAACGGACAACAGCAACAGCAACAACAACCCCCAACCACTCAGTCGAATAATTCGGGATGGGGTCAGGCGGGTGCGAAACCGCCAACCGGCACCAACAACGGTCCCGCCACGTCTAGCGCGTCCACTAACAACGCGACACCGAACAACAACAACCAAAACAGTTCGACAACATCGACCAAACAGCAACTCGAGCAACTGAACAACATGCGGGAGGCCATCTTCAGTCAGGAAGGCTGGGGCGGGGTAAGCCGTCGCCTATTTATCCAGTCGACATTTTTTTGCAATTGACGCCAAAGTTTTTGTCAAAAGGGCAAGCGCCCTACTCAACTTAAGACTATTTAAAAAAGTTTGTTTAAGAAATCTTTTCGTTTTTAAATATTTTTGTAAATTTAACTTTAATTGACATCGTTTAACAAAAAATGCATAAAGAATATTTTCTTGAACTATTTGTGTACTTATATTCAATAACTTTGGTTAAAATATGTAAATTAAATGGGTAGATGCTATAAACGCATTTTTTTTTTAAGGTAATTAGCAAATAAAAAAATGGTACACATAAACACCCATTATTATACATCTAAAATATGTGCGTTTTTTTAATTATATACAACAAAAAGTACAGTGCGATTCACTATTTCACAATTGTGAAGCGCTTGTCAAATTAAGAAAAATGTTGACTTAAGAACAAATACTTAATGTTTCAATATTCTCTGCTTCAAAACTTATTTGGTCATTTGCAACGAGTCTGTGATATGTGAGTTGTTTAAGACGCCCCCAAAGACGCATATCGCAAATTGTCAAATCGGGGCTCATAGGCGGCCTGTCTATCGATTTCCAAGATCGAGCCATTTTTTCACACCTGCAGTATAATGAGCGAGACATCCGTGGCGATATTAAAGAGGCAATATCTCCAACTTGTCTGATAAATATGTTTCCAGCATGTGCAAATAATAATGTCTGTTCCACCTCTTTAAGTATTGAGGCTAGTCAATTGGCAACTTTTTAAATAAAATCTCGAAATTTTATTATGTATTTTATAATAAATATAAATTTTATTGTACTTTTTGACCAGTCAATTGACATAAAAAAAACGATGAATTCTACAACCCTGCACGTGTGCGTTTTCAAAAAAGTACAGTTTAATTCCAAAATAGGAAATGGTGCACACATTTATTTTGTTTTAAGTGGATTTTGTATTACTCCACCATCTTACGGACTGAGAAGCCGCGGTGTTATTTATACTAAAGGTTGACTCGTCTTCCAACTTTGTTAGTTTGTCACCTGTAAACTTGTGTGTGTGTTTTCTTAAGGAGGGCATAGGGTTTTCATTAACCAATTGCAAAATTAATTGGGTTGATGCACCATTTTCGTCATATATTTTCTTAGCCTTTTATACATCATTAAAGTATTCAATTTATTTGAATTTATTTACTAATTTATGTACTGAACTTCTGCATAATGAAATATTTGGATATTTTTCTGGAAACTTTTCGACAATCAGCGATAAGAATGTTCGTCCATTCGACCTCTGTCTAAAGTCAAGATTTTTCTTATTTTATCAAATACGTCGCAACTATGAAAGGTACAATAAAATAAAATAGGTGATAATGGAAATTATCAATATCTTTGTTTCCAACCAAAATTTTGAAATTTCAAATTTTTTATTTAAAATCTGTAATGCGATGTGTTTTGAAATTTACAATAACACTTGTATACAATTGTATTCTTGTGTAACACTTTGCGTTTAAGCTGTAGAAAAAACCACTTTACTCGTTAGCGTTTTCAAAACACAACAAAATGACCGCACTTGAATTGACGTTTTGATTTCCCTAATTCCGCAGCAACACGTCAACCAGGACACTAACTGGGACATCCCGCCCAGTCCCGAGCCGCAAATCAAGATGGACGGCGCCGGGCCACCCCCGTGGAAACCCGCGGTGAACAACGGTACCGAATTGTGGGAGGCGAACTTGCGCAACGGCGGTCAGCCGCCTCCGCAGCCGCAGCAGAAGACACCGTGGGGCCACACCCCTTCGACGAATATCGGCGGCACCTGGGGCGAGGACGACGATACGACCGACAGTTCCAACGTGTGGACTGGCGTGCCTTCCAACCAACAGCAGTGGGGCAACAACGGCGGCAACGCCATGTGGGGCGGTAAGCGTTATATTGTTTTTTTTTTTTTTTGAGCATGGGTTTAGAGTGGAATTGGGCGTGACCATTTATTTCGTTCCACAGTTTAACCGAATATTAACGACTCCATGGCATTCAGTTCTGCTAACCTGTTAACTAATCAATCTTTTTTTTCAAGAGCACATTATAAGAGATTGAATTTTTACGAAACTCTGGAGCATTTGAACTATTTTCGTATTTATTTGGAGGGGATTAATAATTACAATATCGCGGCTAGCATTGACTGTGAAGTCAAGAAAAATAATAACAGAAAAGCAACCCTGCCCTCCACTCCTATTTGGTCTAAAATAGTGATCGTCAAACTTTTTTTTTTGTTTATTGAAAAACTGAGTAAAGACGTAGTTTTTTCAAGATTTCTGTGGAACCAGATTCCTTAGTTAACTTTTTCGATGGCTAGTATGTCCAAAAATTTAGAAACTGTGGAATATATCCAGAATTACACAATTGATAAAATATTTAATAATGAATCTTTAAATATAAAAAAAACTGTACACCAAACATGACTCACTTCCCACCCAACCCGTGGCGACTTTAAAATCTTAAATGAAAACCAACCCCCATTTTTCCCGGATTCCGTGCCATAAAAACGTCATCAGGGTATGTCCAAAGTTTTCTTTTGAAATCTCGGTAGATAGCAATCACAAGAAATGGTAAATGTAAGTGTTTTAAATCTATCGAAAACATTGATCCGTGACTAAAATGGTAGAAACGCTCGAATTGGCGGTGTTCAAGGAAGCTGATTTTTGTGTACTCGTGATCAGTGGATTGGGTATGTTTTCAGTAGAGAGTAGAAAACACTAAGTTAAAACGAAGGTGTCCTAACAATAAAATCGCATTCATAACATTGAATAGAAAATAACAAGAAATATTCGGACAAAACCTGATGTTTTAATGGCATATAGAATTCCAATCTATAATAAAAAAGTTGGGGTTTGAGATTTGAGATTTGAAAGTTGCCCGCCCCCTCCACCACCGCCAGCTGTCTTGAAATGACAAATTTAAAATTTAATTTTCAGTTTGCCAGTAATGTCGGGATAGGGAATCGTTTGTGATATTGAACAGTTGTTTATTCAATAGTTAAATGCACTTTTTTGATTTTCCATAAGTTGTGGTAATTTCCGAGATATTCCGCGGTTTCCGTGCTTTCTCGATATGTGCCCTAAATTAGAAAAATTATTATATCGTATATTATTATATTATTTATTCGAGGGTTACTGTGTATTTATTATGAAAAACTCATTTTTTTATAATTCACGGCAATTCACAATAAATTGCCTTCGAAAAGAAATTTCGGTACGCTGTTGATATCGCGCTCTCGCCTTACGTACGGAACCGATCGGTGAGCTAAGAAATGAACTGCGCATGCGCAGGTGCAGGAGCAGCGGGCGCTGGTTCCGGCGGTACCGCGCCGACTCCGGGTTGGGGCGACCCGCGCGCTTCCGATCCGAGAGCCGCGGTGGCCGCGGTGTCCGCCATGGACATGCGGCCGGACATGAGGGTGGCGGCGGCGGCGGCGGCCGTAGGAAATCTGGACCCGAGACAGCTCGACCCACGCGAACAAATGAGACACATGACGGGCGGCGGCGACATGCGGGGTGACCCGAGAGGTACGACATTTTCTTTATTTGTCTGGGTTTCCGAGGTTGGATCGGTTAAAGGGTTGCTTAAATTTCGCTTGTCCGCGGGCTTGGCAAATATTTTAATATTTAAAATACTTTTTGCGGGTTAGTTAACATTTAGGTACATTACTCTCTAAAGAAAAAACAAAACTATTCAGACAAGCCGATGTTAAGAGTTTAAGTGAGTTAAAACGAGAAAAGCATGTAGAAATTAAAACGCATGGAGGAACTGTGCGCAGCAACAAAACTGTAAGTAACCGATCTCAGTTTTCCGTGTGTGCGTGTAGATGCTTTAAATTAACAAATTAAAAATTTGATTTGCAGTAAGCCACCTAAGTTTTTTTTTATTTGTCAAACATGTTTATCAGTACATTGTTAGATATCTGTATTTTCGAAATATATTTACTCAGAATAATTTTATACGCATACGAAGTTTGAATCAACGTCAAAATCGACTGAGACATGACATTATCGAAGGAACGAAGTTAAAACATTACTATTACTTATATAAACGTTTAACGAAAGTTGACAATTTAATCCAACAACAATAATTAATTTACCTCTTAACGTTGCACTCTTCTAACGATCTAAACAACTCATTCTTAGGAAAGAATTCAGCTTCTTTAAAAACATCCGCAATTGGACTAGTCCTTCGAAAACTCATAACTGAAATTATTATTAAAACAACAATTGGAACAATACCATCGAATCCATAGATACAATTCCCACTGGATGACATTTAATGCATCTTGCCGTCACAGCCAATCGCAAGGTGTTTTCTTGTGACGTCATATTTAAAGAGGGCGGCGTGTACTTTAAGTCAATAATTATAATAGAAATATTTTTTTCGAAGTATAAATTTATCGGGTAGACTTCAGCAGGTCATTAAAAAAGGATTTATAATATTCTGCCTCCCAGTTTAAAATTTAAAAAAGGGGCCTGTGGCTTAAAAAATAAATGGAAACAGGGACTTAAAAGTAATTAGTAGATCCATTACAATTTTTTACTAGATAGGGGATAAGTTTAATTGAGATTTTTATATCTAAACGGTTCTGTTATAACTAACGATCTGGATTTTTCTTTCCAGGCATCACGGGAAGGTTGAACGGCGCGGGTGCCGAATTTTGGGGTCAAACCGGGCCCCTGGGCGGAACCGCGGCTATGCACCATCAAAACAAAATGCCCGGCGTCGGTCCCGGTAACGGAACCGCTTGGGACGAACCCTCGCCACCCTCGCAAAGGCGTACCATGCCCAACTACGACGACGGAACCTCTTTGTGGGGCAATCCCCAACCAGGTACATTTATATTTGTGTATTTTAATTTATTGTATGTCATCGTTTCATCACCCGCTTTACACTTGCACATTCTGTTATATAGTTTTGTTTAAGTTGAGCATGCGCCGTAGCATCAACATTTTTCGCTGATCTCTAAAAAAGTCGATTTTTTTAAAACTTTTTTGTTCCTGTATTGGTGACATAAACAATAAATTATTCCGAAAAGCTTTGAAAATCGTTTTCGTCGTTAGCTCACAGGTGCTCAGGAACTATTTATCATTTCTATTTTAAGCGCCTTTTGATAACTAGATCGTCTTATACAGGGTGTTATTTTATTAATATCATATAATCTAAATCTGGATCCCATTCTGATCGTAATCGTAACCTTATCCTGCCCAAAAGAATGACTATGAGGTGCCAACATATATAAACAAAATATTTAATGTCAATTTCCATAAATACGTTTCAAAACGTATTTAACTGCAGATGTAATTCGACGGCGAAATGACTAAATAATGAAACAACGACTTGTCAAATATTTTTTGTAGAAATTTGATTAAAGCAAAAATCTGTTGCCTTGGTGAATCACTTTCATTTGCCATTTGGATTTATTAAACCGAGTTATACTAATGGCGAACTAATGGTGTTTCAATTTTTGCTTATTAGTGATTAGACTAGTTGCGGTTTGAATTTATGATATTGGGGACATAAGACCGTTTAATGATATTTGGACTTATAAACTAATATAATGAACTAAAATTATTTTGTTTTACATTTATACTGAAAAAATATTGTTCGTGTTAAAAATTAATCGATAACCTTTGTAGTGTTTGCAGACAAAATAATAATTCCGCTAAAACATTTTTTTTCATATTTGGGTTTGTTAAACGCTGCCATTATTTCATCACGCTGTAGGTGTGACAATTTTTGCGGAAAACCTGGTAGTAATCGTTGTAACGAGTATTTCTTGCGATTTGTCCCTCGCAATTCTTTTGTTTAATTATATGATGCTATATCAGTAACACTCTGTATACAAACTTCTGTTGTCTTGTAAAAGGATCTGCGTTTTTATTTGAAAACAAAAATCGAATAGAAAGCACCACAAAATATTTTGTGGTAGTAGATGCAGAGAGTTATCGAAGCACACTCGTCGACACGCTCTTCAAAATTTGCGTCGTCCATTTCATCGCACACGTTTTTGCACCTCCATTTCTCTAGGTTCTCACTGGAAAGATCTGCCCACAGGCGCAGGCGGTATGGGCGGTCGCGGAGGTGGGCCCACCGGCCCGCCTGGTATGGCGCCGTCCCGCGGAGGCGGCCTAAAACCCGACGGGTCGGTGTGGGGCGGCGGCCCGGGCGGTGCCGGCGTCGGCCGCGGCAACGGATGGGACGACGTGGGAGCCGGACCGACCGCCGGCGGTGGCGGTTGGGATGACCCGAGCGTCGGCCCGTGGCCTAAGCAAAAAATTCCCGGCGCCGCCGGTGGACTGTGGGACGCGGGAGATTTAGACTGGGGCCACAAGCAGAGTATCAAACCCCAACTGACCAAGGAAATGGTCTGGAATTCAAAGCAATTCAGGACACTGGTGGATATGGGCCACAAGGTATTTTTTTAGCTATTCCTGGAAATTATGTAAACCTGTAAAATTGTTATTTAATATTGCATGCTTCCATAGTGTAACTTAAAATCAATTCAATGAATTCAAATTGAGTTTGTTCAAAAGGTTTTGCAAAGACATATCCTTGTTTCAAAACTAGCACTGTATGTTATAGGAGACACCAGAAGCGATGAAAGCTTGATTCAAAATACTATTTTATCCAAATTCAAATTCATCCAAAATCAGGTCAAAGAAGCAACATTTATTATGGTCAGTCCGCTCGAGCCGTTATCAATATTAAGAAAAAAAAAACAAAGGCAGAATAGGTACAAAATGCTGTGTTTAACAATTCCTACAGGCTGACATCGCGACGTCACACATTTGGGTGAACTATAACTCCTTGTCATTAATAGAAATTATTTTAAAAATAAATCATTAAAAATGGGTTTGTGATGTTTCGGCCTGAATTGATGCGAGAAGCCTATTGAATATTTTTCGTCGATATAGAAAGAGGACGTAGAGAACGCCCTACGCATGCGCGAAATGAACTTCGACGAAGCTTTGGACATGCTGAGTCTTCCGCGCAATCGCACCGATCCTGGCTGGATGAGCCGTCACGACGACCACTACGACCATCCGCAGTTCCCGGCCATGGGGGCGCAGCGCGGATTCCCAAATGTCGGGCCCGCGAATCCTTTGTCGAACGCGTTCCCCCCGAACAACCCGCCAAATCTATTGAATAATATGGCCGGCGCCGGCGGTCAGTCGAACAGTTCGCTAATTAACAACATTTCCCCCGCGATAATGCAAAAGATGTTGACGCAACAAGGGGGAGTGGGCGGGGCGGCCCAAAGCTTCGGCGGAGCGCCGGCCGGCGGACGTCCCCTGCAACCTCAGTCTCAGCCCTCCACCCAGCAGCTCAGAATGCTCGTGCAGCAGATTCAGATGGCAGTTCAAACGGGATACTTGAATCATCAGGTAATAAATTTATTATTGTTGAATTTTAGGGTGTAAAATTATCGCACACAAACGGTCAAAAGCGTTTTTTGATTAGCTGTTTTGTCATCTTGCCTGTACTATCAGTTGGGGGCGGGGGTTTAAAATTAGCGATTCTCATTGGTGGAACTTTACAGATCCTAAACCAGCCTCTGGCTCCTCAAACGTTGGTCCTCCTGAACCAGCTGCTGCAGCAAATCAAGACATTGCATCAGCTGAACAACCAGCACCAGTTGGCGGCCGGCTCGGGCAAAGGAAACCTGAGCAACAACGTGCTTTTGAATTATTCCGTAATGATAACGAAAACCAAGCAGCAAATTTTGAATATTCAGGTAAAATCTGACACTTCGTTGAATTTTTTTATTTTGTTTTTAAGTGAAGAGATCTAATGTGAGGAGGTAAATGGGTTGAACGTTTCTAAAGTACATACAGGTTCCGGTAACTAACCATAACTGTGGCTTCAAATTACATAAAATTGTGTATGCTCATTCTTTTAACTCGATAACACTATCGGAAAGACACGTTCTACTGATCCTCAACATATTTTTTATTATTAATTTTTAACTAGTTGAAACACTCAAATAGTGCCCTTTTAACTTTGACATTTTGAAGTGCATCCGAATAGGTTGACTTTGAATAGGTAAATATTTATGAAAAATCTAATCGTCGGCGAACTTATCTTAGTAATTTATTTTATTAAACTGAAAGAAATATATTCTAGAAAACCAAATATTGCCGATTAAATTAAAAAACTATTGTGTTACCTTGGAAAAATATGTATTAACGATAAACTTTAAAACAATTGGAGAATCATTCTTTAACTTCAATGATATTTTAGTTAGTCACTTTATTTGAAGTATTACTTACCATGGAAAAACTTCTGACATTATTTTTTGCTTCCAATAATTTTCTTGTAATATTAATTATTTGTTTTTTAATAATAGCATTGATTTCCCTTATCTACTCGAGTTGATGATACAACTTTCAACTTACACACTCCTTGTACTAGCTTCCTGAAGTTGTCACCTTTGTATGAATGTGTGATAAAGTGTAATCATTCAAGTAACATTGACCTTTTTTATGATAACCTGAAATGCTTTTCAGGAAAATTGTATTTTTTTCTTGTTTTGTTTGTCTACCTTATAAAATTTAGCTTATATAACTTTGTATGATTTATATTTTATGTATTACTCCTTGTAATTGGGTAATTGCCTGTTTGGTAGTTTTGCCAAATAAACAAATATACATATTCAAAGATTTCGTTAAAAACCAATTGAATATTTCTCAAAATAGTTTAGGTACTTAAAAATGTCAATTAGTTGTATTTTTTATTTAATAATATTGAAAATCTGAAATAGCGTACCATCTATACATTTGGACTGTGAAAAATTATTTTATTGCCTTAATTTTTCGTCCAGCTATCTTTAGTATTTATACCTTCTATTAGTCCTTTAGGCATGCTATCAATTAATTCCTTAAGTGCATTAGTTGAAATTTTAGCTCGTGTCTTTGTTTGAGTTTGTTGACATAATTTATTTTTGGCCGTCCTGATTATATAATTGTTAATATCCTCCAGACGTACTCTATCGGATTTGCCCCTGGACTAACTGCTGGCCATTCTAATAACTGGATACCAAACTCCTGAAACCACTGTTTTGTAGTTGCAGCTACATGAAAGGGTGTGTTGTCCTGTTGCAAAATTATGTTTTCGTCTTCAAAGTAATGAATGCCAACTGAGCCTCTTCCTTTAATTCTTCAAGACGTAATTTTTCTTTCAAACCTCAAATCATGCCGAAAATACTTATATCCATCCGGACCATCAAGATTGAATTACTTTTCATCGGTGAATATGACATGCTGCCAAAAGTCACCTTTTGTTACATATTTTTCTGCACACTTAGGCCGATTCAATTTATGTTGTGTTTTCCAGACTGGCTCACTAAGACACACAGCTGCCCACTTTCTCACTAAACTTGGATCACAAAACTGCGCGTTTATGCTCTGAACGTTTTTTTTTAGTTTTCGATTCTAAACTTAAATTAAAAATTGACAACACTGTGGGATCTAATAATGTGCGCTATAGCTCTTTGTTTTTCCGCAGTTTCTTAAGTTTTTGAATTGCATTTAATGTATTACCACGTAAAACAAAACTGGACATATAAACCGATTGTATTAAATTTTACGTCTTGATCTTAGCTTCCAAAAATAATGATACACGTCTTGCATTTAAAAGGTCTTGTCTTGCATTTAAAAGGTCTTGAGTGGAACTGTCCCATTCGAGACAAAACGTCTCAGTTCCAAGGTGAAATAAAGTAAAACTAAGTTCACACAGCAATGGCGCCTATTTTGCGTTATACACCTATTTATATGTTAGTGACATTTGTGTAATAAAATATTGAAAATATAACAACATGTTTGAGTCTATATTTTTTCACAGCTTTGTGTGTAAAAATATTTATTATTCTAAATTTTATGAAAGAAATAATACTTACTTTACCTGTTTTTACGTCCTTTTTTTTTTCTCACAGAACCAAATCCAGGCGCAACAAGCCCTCTACGTCAAGCAGCAGCAAAACAGCGGCAACATCGGTTACGATTCGTTCAAGGCGAACACGATGCATGACACGATCCACGCGCTCCAAGGCAACTTTGCCGAATTGGGCATCGCAAAAGAATCCCAAGTGGTAGGATCGCGCGATTTTCAAGTGTGGAGCTCCCTGTTTCAACCAGTTTTTCTTTTCCCTTTTTCAAACTCTAGAATCAGCAGCAGTCGAGACTTAACCAGTGGATAAACAAAGATAAGGAGGAGAACGGCGAGTTTAGTCGCGCTCCAGGCTCATCTTCCAAGCCCGTCGCTACCTCCCCCAATATGGCTCCCCTCGGATTGACCCAGCCCGACGGGTAAGCGATTCAAACTGCATTGTGCTCCAGAAACCTCTTGGAATAGTGAATTACTCAAAAATATAAAACTTCAAATACATACCGAATTTTTTTCTATTCTGAAGCCTCCCAAAACATTCGAATCGGTTTGACATTTGTTGTTAGCAGTTATTAATTAATATTTTCAACAGTTAGCATTTTATAACCGGCCAGAACTTGTTCGCGATTTACAAAATATTTATTGCTGAATAAGGTTTAAGCTGGTCAGTTGAATCCTTCTTTTTAGCGTCATTCATTTGATGGTGCAAGAATATTTGGAATTAATTACATATCAGTGCAAAAAAAACATGTTTAGTTTATTTGGTATATGTATATAGTTTTTAGTTGGTCTTATAACTTTTCAATAAAAAAAAATTTCTTTCCAACTTTTTGCAACTTGTTGATTTATTGACAATTTAAATGCTTAGCATTGGACCCGCAATGTAGTACACATTAAAGTTCCACACTTTTTTATCGAGAATACCGTTTGAAGTGATTTAATTTATTTTTGACAGGTGGGTGGGGTTTTTTATGGTCCTGCAAATTTTCAACAAAAATGTTAAACAGGGACCTAGTTGCGAACCTCTTTCTAAAATGGTACATAGAAAGTCAATATTACATAATATAACATAATTTCCTTGAGTGAAATTAATTCTGATTAAATTTGTCATTTTATGTTTCATACTTTTTCATTCTTTATAATACTAATTTTAAGCAAAAATTTTTGTTTTATTTTTTTTGTAGGTATTGTTTTGTACTTTGGTGTATTGTCTTCAGTTCAATAAGTAGTAACAAAAAAAAACTTAAAACCTAACTTAATATCTTTTTTACATTTTAAGAGGTTTGTGGCCCACAGTAAGGTGGCACGCGCATCGCCAGTTTCTTTCTATGTTAATGTTTTTTTTTCTTTGTGTTTATAGACCATGGTCGACGGGTCGCACTGGGGACACCGGATGGCCCGATTCTAGCGGTGGTGATTCTTCGAATGAAAAAGACGCACAGTGGGCAACGACTGCTCAACCTTCCCTGACTGATCTCGTACCTGAATTTGAACCCGGAAAACCGTGGAAGGTAACGTATCTTTCTCCATTTCCGAGGGGTGTGAACATGTTTGTTGATATTCCAGTCCTAAAATTTTAATTCTCACACAGGCACTATTTGAATCACTCACACTTTAATTTCTATGACAACATGTATGAAACCTGTATCGATTCTTACGATTCTACCCACAATTCAGAATGCCTCCGTGAAATTTATATATGACATTCGACAAAGAAATCGTTAATTTTGGTAGCTTCAGTGCATTATGTACGAAATTCATAGCTTTGTATAACTTGTGTCTTTAATGGTTTGCATATTTGTTACATATTTGGCACATATTCAACCAGAGAATGATTTTTTTACGTATTTGAAGAAGGTTCCATGTGACATATCAGAAACAGCAAATGTTCGTGTCAAGGTCAAGGTTCAAGCCAGTAATTAAAAAAAAAACATTTGGAATTTTAATTTAAAGTTGAGGAAATTATTGGGAACCTTTACATGATTATAAAAACGGATCCAATTACCGAACGATGTTATTGACGATTCAGTCGCGTATGATTTTTCAATCAGCGATCTCGCTCGACGCGCAGGACTCATTACTTGATAAATCGCAGCCGCTGTGTTACTTTTCAGGGCAATCAGATTAAGATAGAAGACGATCCCAGTATTACGCCCGGTTCGGTGGTGCGTTCGCCGTTGTCAATTGCCACCATAAAGGATAACGAACTGTTCAGCATGAACACGAGCAAAAGTCCGCCGGTCAGCGACGCCATGCAGTCCTTGAGTCTCAGCTCGTCTACTTGGAGTTTCAACCCCCCCTCTACCTCTAGCGCGTTTACGAGGTAAAGCGTTCGCGAGCAACGACGTTAACACAGTATTTTTTGGAAAGAACAATTGTTTCAAAATTATATTTCAAAATTTCTTAAGTTTAGTATTTAATAGGCCATATTTCTAGTTGACATGTTTGAAGTCCCAATTAGCAAAAAAAAAAACAATATGACGTTTTATTTTTTCTTTTTTTTTTTGCTTTACAGTAAGTAGGTTCGGTTTCGATTTTTGAAAGAGTGAAAAAGCCGCCAATGAAAATGATTCTTATAACATTCCTTCAGCATACATTCAATTTTTCAGAACTCGACTTGTTTTACTAGAGGCGGATGAAAACAATTCGTATTTTATTTATCGACCGGCAAATTTCGATCTGGGGAAATCCGGATAATTCCTGGGGGAATTTTAATTTCCTAATTGCCGAGAGAACAATCCTGCGGAAACGCGTCGTTTACATTTTTCAGCAGCCCCCAAATCAAACTGCCCACCAGCAAGGGCGGTCTCGCCGACCTGAACCCATCAATGGCAATCACGTCTGAGCTCTGGGGCGCGCCCAAGTCGCGTGGGCCGCCGCCCGGTCTTTCCGGCAAGGGGGGCGGCGGCGGCGGCGCCCCCCTCGCCAACGGCTGGTCGAGCAACATCGCGGGATCCGTGCCCTGGGGCGGGGCTTCGGGCAGCGCCGCCCAGCGTAACTCTGGCAACTGGGGCGTTTCCCAGTCTCAGTGGCTGCTACTTAGGAACTTGACGGCCCAGGTAAGCTGTTAGTTATGGTAGTTGTCGTTGGGATGATGCGTGGGATGAACAAATAAGGTAATTTTCTAAGAAAGTGGCGTTCGATTTCTTTTTTTTTTTTTTTGAAAATGTGTATAAGGCAACATTTTTCTTTTTAATTATAGCGTAAAATTTGCCTTTCTTAGTAATAATGTACCTTTTTTTTCAATCAATGTAGTCCATATGAAGAATTATTTAGTGAGTCGGATTACTGAGGTCGTTTCTAAATCGATCTGCGGAAATTGAAAAAAAAAAAGACACTTTTTTTTATTATTTTGTATTATTTCATTAAAGTCGTTTCTTATAACTGACCGACTAATTTAATCGTTGTTAATGTAGGCCATATGAAAAATTGATCTATGGTCACATACGCCGTTCGGCTTATTGAGGTTTGTTTCAACGCCGATCTGCGGAAATTGAAAAAAAAAGCACTTACACACACTGTCTTATTAGTTTTTATTATTTATTTCATTAAAGTCGTTTCTTATAACTGACCGATTAATTTAATCATTGTTAATGTCGTCCATATGATAAATTGATCAGTGGTCACATTCGTCCTTCGGCTTATTGAGGTCGTTTCAAGGTCGATCTGCGGAAATTGAAAAAAAAACTCTTACCGAAATTAAACTCTAACGAAACGGTCAGGATTCGCAGTACGAACGACTCACCTAGTTATTTCCCTCGTTGTCGACATCTAGCCGCAACGTCCGAATTCATTGCAGATCGACGGTTCGACTCTACGCACATTGTGCATGCAGCACGGCCCGTTGCAAAGTTTCCATCTGCACCTACATCAGGGTTTCGCGCTTGCCAAGTATTCGTCGCGCGAGGAAGCCACCAAGGTCGGTACCATATTTTACACAATAGATATAAATTGCCTCACTCCCCTATAATTTTCTCCATGGTATTTAGGATTTGGTGTTTTAAAGGCAATTGTTGAAAGAATCACTCGGTTATCTTTATGCTCTATGCTTACTTAAAAATGTGTTTACTTGTTTACCTCTTCTCAAAAGCAGGTACAGCGGCGCTGGGGAAGGGTACATAGAGAAAGAGAGATAGAAGATTGTTGTTATAACTTCAGGAAATATGCCCTGACTATCTTACTATGACTATGACGTAACTGCACAATTGCTCTGAGTGGACTTTACTGGAGTGCTAAACGCAGATATCCTTTACTAAATTATAACGCTGTTAAAGCAAAGAAAGTTCGTTTCTTGATTGAATATGTCGTTATGTAATGGCAATTAATTCATATATTTTTTTAACTGTTGGATTATGTCAAGGGTCCTTAAATGAGCAATTATGCTAGGCATAACCTCTATTAAAATCTATGTCAACCCAAAAATATTTAATTCATAATTAAAATTCGAAAATTAAAAAAAGCGGACCCCAAAAAAAATTGTGTTTCTCTAAAAAATATTTTAATTTCTCTTATACACATAGGAAGTGAACGTATAAAACTTTGGACCTGCATAAGTTATTGCCGGCTGATTGATAGCTCTGTTAATTAGCTCTAGTTTGATATTTGGTGCTTGTCTGGAAGAATGTTTTTGAATGTATGAGCATATTTTGGGTCATATTTATAGATTAAAAGTTAACTGAAGATCATTATTTGCAACTCTTAGAGCACCAAATAAAACTATATAGAATATTTACCTCTCAACATATCAGCGCTGATTATATGGCACAAAGACGGTGCCCCCCCTCACAATGTTAAAAATTTTTTTAACATGGACTATCCCAGGGGTTGCATAGGGAACGGTGGAACTATGGACTGACCAGCCAACAGCCTCGACTTAACATTAATGCATTTTTTCTTTTTGGGACACATAAAAAATCACGCGCACAGAACTTGTAATAATGTCGTTAAACTTCGCCAAAGGATTTCAGAGGCAATCAATCAGTTAAGCGACAATCCGGCAACGTTACTAAATGCAGGACATACAATTAGAGTGTATGAGAAGTGTGTTCAGAAAAGTGGTAGTTACATACAGCAGTATTTCGAATAGTTAAAGGAGTATGTCGTCCGCATAGATTAATTAATAGAGTCCCCTTAACCCAGTTTCGGGTGAGACAACTTATATATTATTGTTTAAACACCCAGGCGCAGACCGCGCTGAACAATTGCGTCCTCGGCAACACGACGATCCTCGCGGAGAATCCGACCGACTGGGACGCGAGCACCCTGCTGCAGAGCATTGCCAACCAGCAGGGCGCGTCGTCGGGCGGATGGCGGGCCTCCTCTACGAAACCGGGCGTGTCGGCCGGAGACACGTGGAGTACCGGTTGGCCAAACAACCCGTCCGGAGTCGGCCTGTGGGCGACCACGTCGCTCGACTCGAACGATCCCGCCCGGGCCACGCCCGCCAGCCTGAATTCTTTTTTGCCGAACGACCTCTTGGGCGGTGAGTCTATGTAAAAAAGATGGAACGCATTCGACAAAAAGCAAATAAAAAAAACTGAACAAACAATCCGAGAGAGACTACACAAAAACGGTTATTCCTAAAACTGAGATATAAGTAAGTGTGGATGGGAAAAAATTTTTATTGATGTTTTAAAAGTTTTTTTTATTATTATTATTATTATTGATTATTGATTATTAATAATTATTATTGTAGATTCGACTATAAAATTTTTGAAATGATATTTATTATACTAATTGATTTAAGACACTTGGACTTTTTAAAGCGCTGTAGGTGTAGACATATCGCTACTTTTAATTTTCACGGTGATGTAGTTTTCGTTAGGAAGTTTTGTTTATTTTTTTTTTAATTTTCTTAAGTTACGGATTAAAGATTAAGGTTATGCGGCGATGCCAAATGTACACTGTTCGTTTAAGGTTTCGCGGCGGCACGGCTCACGATTGATATTTTTAAAAAGAGACATTAAGGAAAACCTTTAACGTTTTCTGCCCACAGTACATTTGACCTACTTCGATTTTGAGGCGGACCGTGCGCGAAATCCGGAATTGCGTTATTTTTAATTTTTTCCCCTCTTTAATTTACGGAGTCGTTGCCATTTAGTTTTTCGTTTTTTTTTTTCTTTATTATTAATATTATTAATTATTATTGGAGCCTAGTGTATGTTTTGCTGATCAGACATTTCGGACGAGCGAATAAGTATTAGCTTTGAATCACTATTTTCTAGCGACTTAAAAAGAAAACAGACGAAACATGAGACGAGAACGACCCCGGTCGTTTTCCGTTTGTTCTTTTTCCTCATCTTATTTTTGGAGAATAATTATAGAAAGTTTCCGTTTTGGTCCCACGCTCAATTTCGAAACGCACCGGTGCGTGTCGCGTATTTAATCGAAAGAAATGAATTTGTAACCCAAACTAGTCCCGATAAAGCAAGGTTTATAGTAATATATTGTATAATTGAATATATATATTATATATGTGACCAAACTCATTACATTTTTATATATTTCAAATTTGTAGCTTAGACTTTTCTCTCGTATTAAGATATTTTCCTATATATTAACGATTTTCATATTATATTAATGTTATTTTGTTTGTTTAATCGTAATCTAAACGAGTACCTAAGTTTGTATGTGTTACAAGTATCCCAGTATGGTTAACGCGTGGGGGGCCGCGACCCCTTTCCTCCCTCCCCGCCCTCCATGGCGGGCGCTAGAGGGCGTGCGCGAGAGTTTCCCAAAACGCGGCCCTTGGAAAGCAAAAAAAACCTGTGATCTTCAATTCCTGATATATCAAGTTACGCACTCATAAAACGGAAAACGTTTTCTATGTACGTTGTTGCGGAATAATTTTTTCCGATTTTTTTGGGGGGCAGTCGGTAGGCGCCTCGCCCCCTTCCCCCCCAGAAAACGACAGACACCACACAATCAGTTTATTAGACTGCACCCGCTAAATGGAAAGTATTCTTAAATAAATTTTAGTAATAAATGAACCCTTAAAAATTCAAACCAATATATCTTAATTAATAAAAAAAAAGTATATATATTATATTGTACCCTTAAAATATAACTGTGTTTCTGTGTATAATGGATGTGTTTAGCAGTAGAAGACTTTGGATATCGTTACATTTTAGTCTAAAATACTGTGATTTTTTCAATCACGTTAAAATGAAAAATAACAAAAATGTGTTATCGTGGTGTTCATAAGATATTGAGATTCAACTTTATATAGCTAACAGAGTGTGTGATTGGCAGGTGTCGTGCGTCAGACTAACCTCTCCGTTTCGTCGGGCTGGTACGGCGGGGGCGTTCCACGGGTCAATCGCAAATGGAATTCTTTTTTTTTTTGCTGCTTTCGTTGCAATCTCTTTGAACGAGGTCCCTTCGCGCATAAGAAAACAATTCGCCCGACAATTTCTAGGGGGCGCGACAAGCGGGACTGAGCAAATCTTGATCCTCGTTTAGGATGAGTATGGACGCGATATATTTTAACGCTCTAAGGGCTAGAGACACCGGCTGCACGTCCGCGTGCAGTAACTCCCACTTCTAAGAGATTGTTTCGCTTAGGTTAAGTTTAAGCAAGGCCTTAACAAACTTTACTACTTAAAGCCATTGGCTACAAAAATAAAACGTACCGGCGCGGATCGGTGTGTCAAATTCCGCGGCAGCTATTTTGATCCGCGCGTCCGGCGATCGTCGAAGAGTGTGTGTCATTCTAGTCTCGTATGTCTTGGTTTATTTGCGAACGTCCATTTGCGCGTGGCACCTACAAAACGGAACTCTAGTGGAAAAAGACTGATGCAGATCTTTAATTTTTACAATTGCGACTACGATGCATTTAAAAGTGTTTTTAGGTCCAGGAACGCCTCCCCCATAGCGCATGTCCGGTGTGACGGTGGTGTGTGTACCTGTTCGAAGGAGCCTAATCAGTTAGGCGCCTTCGATGGTTCGATATCAAAACGCAAGATTGAATTAATTGACGGTTTTTTTTTTTAAAGAAGTACATAACTGTGCTGTGACTCTTAAGTGGCTTTTTAATTTTTAAAAATAACTACGAAAAAAACTAAAAAAAAAATGTTTTGTTTAGGAAGCTGTTTTCTTACTTAAAGCTTTCGATTAGCTTTTAACGGTGAGATTGGGCGCTCGTTTGACGGTTTGAAAATCTCTCGTTCAATATGTCATATCGTGTAGAAAAACAATGGAACAATAATCGTAATGAATTTATCAAAGCTAAACATATTCTTACAGAGCTAAAGAGAGAGAAGCGCGGTAATCGTCTAAGGTTTTTATTTTTTTATAATATTAAGGGGTGTTTAAATTCGAGAAACGAGCGCTTGTCAATATTATACAATTATATGGTGCAAAATAAGCGAGAAACCACAAAAAAAAATACAGTGGGTTTTCTTTCCGGGAGGGTTTCTCACTGCTTTAACCTAAAAAAGTCAAACATGAAAAAGACGCTTTATCTCAACCTCCCGCTAAAGGTAGGGGCCCACCTTGTAAGTTCCAATAGAGAATATTAGTATCTTATTGCCAATTTACATTTTAGTATATATGTATTAGAAAGTAGATATTACGATATTAATTAATATTTAAGAAACTTGGTAGTAGGGATTATAATGTGTGTTCTTATATAATCGGACAACCACAATTCTCTGAATCATACACCCACACACCTACACATACACATGTATTCACTTAAGGTGTATTAAGTAATGTAAAGTTTCTCACCTTCCCCCAGCAGCCGATTACATAATGTACGAAGCCTAGGTGTTAATCATTGGCGTTGCCCGAAAACTGGAAATTTATTTCAAGCAAGACAGTCAAATTGTGACATTTACATCACTACCGTATGGCGTGAACGTTCCAGGCGATAAATTAATGTTGGCATCATCGCCATTAGCGGAATGCAAACCATACGGTAGTTTATTGTGTTGGAAAAGTTAAGTGAGAACGGTTGTTGTGTTAAAATTAAATGCGCCCAAAGACCGTTACTTTATTGTGTTGGAAAAGTTAAGTGAGAACGGTTGTTGTGTTAAAATTAAATGCGCCCAAAGACCGTTACTTAACATCGGCACGTGGCATTACCTATCCGAAATTGTTTAATATTTTCTATAACTTTGACGTTGACGGCGATCCGTCGGGAGTTTTATCTCCTACCGTGTAATTAAAAATTGACGAGGTAAATAAAATCGGTTCTGTAAATTTCGAAAGCGCTAATGGTTTTTCTCAGAGTACAATAGTGACCATTCGAATCAGCTAATAGTTCGCTGTGGCCGTGCAAAAATCGCAATTTTTCGTCCGCGAACTCGGGTCGGTAAAACAGAAAACCGTTTACGAACAGAACAATGTCAGATACTATTTTCGCATAGGACTAATACTCCTAGAAGGCTGATAGAGAAGGGTATGAGGGGTTGGGATGATATGAGTATGTAATGAGAGTTAGAGAGAGTTATATACTCGCACTGCTGTTTCTTGTGTACCTACAAACTCTACCCAAAAATCCTTTTATTGTTTTTTTGGTAGTACACAAACACTTGCGCAATAATCTCTGAACACTAGAGGTTCTTTGTGACGCATGGATGTTCTGCTTCTTTCCGAACCAGCCTTCTAGGAATGTTAATTGTATGTTTTTTGCGTTAAGCTAGGTTGTCTAGACAAACGAGGAAGTGGGTTTTAAATCGTCCGGAATAATGAATTTTTTTACTTCGCGGCTTTTAGCGACGCGTAGCGGCAGCGGTACATTCACAGAATTACGCGTTCCAAAATCTCGAACGAGTTTTTCCGTTACCTGACGACTTGCAATACTAAAACTAGCAGCAACGAAATTTTACCATTCACGTACAATCATCGTAGCAAATATATGATAGAGTAAAACGAGCGTGAAAGTTAATGATAAATCCGCCAGAGGAAGCGTAGCAACTCCAACCTAGCGAAAAACACAAAAAAAGAAAACCGTTAGTATTTGATTTTAGATTTTACAGTATTTGTGATCAAAGTGCCACTTGTGTTTTCAAGTATATAATATTTAATCATCGCCACTAAAAACTATATTATATATCTTATATATTATCGTTTAAAGAATTATATTATATGAACTATCTAATGGTAATTACGGCGCAGCGTTGCCGATAGCGCAGTAGTTTATTCTTGGTGTTCGGTAGTTGTAAGGACTTGCTGTGTGTGTATATTTAACAAAAAACCACCCGGAATACGGAACATTGTTCCTCTTACGAGACTTACCGTTTTAAACGTTATGCTTTTGGGGCAGCGGCGTACACACTCCATTTGATCTCAATATATCAAAATTAGTATTCGTGCAGCATACCGGTTGTTGCCCGGCGCCTTTACCGTCTCTATTTTGAATCGATGTCTGCTTGTGTGCGAGTGAACTTCTGCTGTTGTAAAAATTAAGACTACGAAATGCCAAAGTCCGAGCGAGCGTTGCAATTTTTTTCATTTTCTTTGCTCCCGTTGCGCGAATGAATGGTTAAAACACGTACGGTTGTCAGTCGGTGACAGCTAACGCACCCACGTCTTATTGCAACATTGACAAGGTCACATTGAAGTCTGCCAAAAAAAGTAACCTTGACTTACATAGATTTAATGTGCGATTATTTTTTACGGATCGGCAATAAATTTAGTTTTTAAACACGTATCGGAAAAATTCCCGACATTTTTAGAAGAAAAAAAACGACGACAGGTGTCATTTTTAATAAGCGTAACGGACAAGCAACAGCACTTGTCGCGACGAAGAAATCCTCTTGCTTTAAATAGAATTTAAAGGGTTTAGCGCAATGTTCACCAGAAACACTTGATAATACCAAATGATGTGCCTCTTTGACTTGTTATAAAACATTGTAAAAAAATCGTAAATAATTTTACAATACTTACTTATCGTGACCTGCTTGGTCTCAGTCTTATCCCGATTATAAATGTCTTTAATAGGCTCTACTAAGCTTTAAGGGTGGAGAGGTGTAAATTAAAAACATCGATTGTTGCGTGTATGGGGGGTGCAACAGTGCGACCCCCTTGTAGCCAATGCGATGGAACTTATGCCCTGCTAGTTCGCGCGAACGTATCTGCTGACGCAAAAAAAATTGATGTCACGTCTAAGTCGAAAAATGGTTGGTGGGTAAAATGTAATAAGTATACTTAACAGTGAAATGAAACGTTACTTAATCTAGAGGCAGCATTTAGTCAGATAAAAGCTAGTATTATGTCATCAATGACGAAAGTTGTGTACTCACATAACTGTGCAATACTTCTTTCCTTTTTCAAGTATTATTTTTATTTTTAATTGTTTTTTCGTTTAGGCGAGACCCTTTCGTTTCAGTCAGACGACGGGCGTCTCCGGTTCGTTCCATATTTTTTGCTCTAAAGTTTTCTGCAGTCTTGTTCGACTCGCTGCACAGAGTTCTCTTGCCATCACCTATTACCGAGATTTTAACACTTGTCACTTAATACCAAAGACCTCGAAGTGTCATATTTAATCGCCGAGTTTTGTTCGTTTAACAAATTTCTTTGGAATTTCCGCCAAATTCTTCCAACAAAGGTTGTGATAGTTGTAGTGTTTTTAGTGCTTTTTTTGTTTCACGTGCTGATTTTTTTTATTGTAACCTTCCACGTGATGGTGACTTTCGATTGCGTTTTTTTTTGACAGCACAAACTCAAGTGCCTATACGTATATATGTGCAATTCAAATGAAAAAAAAAACACGGGCCTGACTCTTAGACAGGGTTTAAACATATTTAGGCGAATTGATTGTATATTTAAATACATAACAAAAAAAAATGGCTACGGTTAGCTCCCACTGTTGTATAAATCCACAGAAAAATAGTCAAATGTAGTACTACGTAAGGATGTGATTTTGATTCGAGTTATTTGAACGAAGACAGAAGCAAGTATATTTTCCATCGCTTCTGCGACAAAATAAACGGGCCCCGCCCCTTTCCGATATACTTGCTTGTGTTTTAGCGATATGTTGAAATGTTATTTTGTCGTTCTCGCGATGCAGAGATAAAAGCTAGCAAGGTACTGCCAACTATTGTAAAAAGATATTGTATGTCCTAATATAATAAAAAAAAGAGTTTTATCTGTAGGTTAATTGTACCATAACGGTTACTCTATTTGTCGCTACTAACACGGATATTTTTCTGACCCGGTACGCATAAATCAATTAGGTAGTCGTGGGGTAGTGAAAAAAAAATTGAACGTTAGGCCCTCAATCTCAGGTTAAGAGTTTATTATCGCTCTTTCTAGAATCGTAAGACTTTTAAAATTAAGTGAACCACTGAATTTAACATTCCTTAAGTAAGCATTGATTCTTCTAAGTTTATTCTTCATCGGTTGTTGTGTTTCCTGTGTTCTCCAGAAGCATTTCTTTCTTTTTTTTGTCAGACAAAAAGTTACCTACACGCGTTTAGTCAAATCAAAACTGACGATTTTTGGTTTTTCTACCGAATCAAAACAGTAAATGCCTTAAAATGACAAACAGGTGTGCTCTCTCTCTCTCTATGTAGTTTATTTCTCTAGTTTAAGGTAGGTTAGGTTATTGAGTTCAAGCGCCATCTAATGGCCCGAAAGACTGTAGAGGGATACCAGGTGATTAAGGTCGTTCCCGGATAAGGAACAGCTTTATGACTGTATCCGTTTCTTATCCGGGTCCGATCTTAAAATTAACTTAATATAAGACTTCCGCAGTGGCGAAGTAAGAGAGAACACTAGGTCCTTAGTAATTGTTGGAAAGGTGCTCCGATGGGAAAAGTTACGGAATCTCTGAACCCCTCCCGTCCCCATCATGGTATTTTCTACAACGTTTTAGTTCGTTCGAAATTTGGAATTCTAAACCCGTCATATCATTCAGTACAGATGGAAAAAGTATCGGTCGACTAACTATTGAAAATGAAACGTGCCAAAATTTTGTTTGCTTAGAAACCTTTTGCTCATAGCGATGGTAGGCGTTGTCCCTGCGATCGCATACGCTTACTTGCTGTGTATATTAACTTATAATGCAATATATATGTGTATATATTGGCTGGTGAAAACTTGTACAATTGTTATAATTTCATAGTATATATTATGTAAAAAATTACTTAATTCATAGGTTAGGGAATATGTTACGTATTTAAATTAGTAGTATTAATTTAAAAAAAAAATAGAAAAAAAACCGCAATCAGCAGATACTCCGTCGAGACTAGCAGGGGATAGTTTTTACATCTTCGTTACTAAAAAAAAAACAAAACAAAACAAAACTGTGACGTCATAGCCCGCGTGTTTGGTTTACCTAAACGAAAAGTAGTAAGCCTCTTATTTTTCTAAAGGCTTTACCGGCTGTTCTTATTAACGCTTGTTCCCAACAATGGAAAACGGAAAATTTTCGAAATTGAATTTTGTTGATTCGTCGACTGTTTACATTTTACTCTGTAGATGTCTTATTTGTGATTCCCATTGATTTGTGATATAAGTACAATGTTTTGTGATATGTGGATAATTATTTAGTGTACTTTGCGTAGTTGCTTTAAGTAGTGAAATTCCGAATAAAACCAAAAAAAAGGAACGCGGTGCGAATTGAGATTTTTTTTTTGAAAGGAATGTTTCGTGCGTGCTTCTCAATCTCGCACCAAAAAAGGAAGTAAAACAAAAATCAAATAATTGTTGTTCTCGGCGGCGATTTGCACCGCCCCAACACCTCCCCCCCCACGTCCCCCGCCACACGAGAAAGCCGTTCTAAACAAAACGTTCGAAGTAAAATGTAAACAGAATTGCGATCGTTGTTTCGTAGCATCACATGACTTAGTTAATACCCGTATATTTATTCTTGTAACGAAATGGCCTAAAACAAGTTCCCTCCTGTTAAATCTAGTCCATACATTTGATGTCTGATAAACTATTCTTATTTGTATATGTTGCATCATTCGATGGCATTATAGAATTTGATCAGTTGCTACTATTACTAGTTCCTTGTCTTAAAAAAATCCGCGACTTAGTGGTCGTATACTTGCACATTTCATATGTAGGTTGTGTTCAAAGTCAAATTTTGCGTTCCCGCTTCGAAATTACGTAGCGAATCGAATAAGGCAATACGATCATTTTCCTCCGTTAACACTGTTCAAGTATGTGATATCGCTGACAATTTAAAATTTATATAAATTTTCTCTACCGTTATCTAGCAAAAGAACATCGCTGTCTTTAATAAATTTATTAGAGTGACGCAAGTTTGCGGTATTCGGAACTAAATCTAGGCTTACATAGTGTCTTAATTGACATTTATAGTGATGATTTTAGACGTACTAAAGTGTTGCGCCAGACGTGTTGATAAATTTTTAGAACAAAAAATCACGGAGCTTACTACATGTTCTTAGCGTTGTTCAGCTCTATTGTCGCGTCAAAAGTCTTCAAACGCGAACGCAATAGTAGTAGTTCCTGCGCTAAGCGAGTCTGTGGACTAGTACGGACAGTCCGATCTGACATACGAATCTCTTGACATGTTGGCAATAAATAAAACGCCACAACGTAAAATTGTCACTAGGAGGGTAAACTCAGGGACCAGGCCAAAAGTCACGGTGATATCAAGTTAGACAAAATTAAGAAAATCAAATCAGATGATGAATTACACCCCTCAAATAATAAATATAATAAAAAAATACATTTCAATAAATTATAATATTAAGAACTCAATTGTATGTTGTAGAAAATTGTTTAAATTTCTGTATAAATATTTTGAGAATTATTAATGAAGCAAAAACTACCCGACTGCACTGTTGTCGATAAATATTAATTCTAAATTTTTATTGATGATATGATAATGCCTATATTATATGTGAGTCCAATCAAGTCTCCCACAATAAGCCATACAGTGCAGATGGGCGCCTAGGTTTAGGATAGGTTATGTAAGTGCTTTTGAACAACGTTGTGTTGTTAATGCTCTGTACTTGTAACCCAAATGACCAGTATGCATTCAGTAATAAAGGTTGTCTTAAATGTACGTTTTGTTTATTTATTTCCCCTCCTTCCTTTCGATATTCATTTGTTACGTTGGCCGTGTTGGCCGGCTCAATATTGTAATTAAAAAACGATAAAAGATTAATTGCAATTTGGAACATGATTAAAGAAATTATTATCAAATATGTTTATGTAATTTGGAAGTCCTGCAGAAAAAACGACAATCTTTAGCTCCTACCGAAACATTGTTTTAAAATTATCAGATGTGCCATGAAAGTGACAAGCAGATTTGTCGTGTCCCTGCGTAATTTTCCGTGCTTAGAAAGTGACGTCCGTACTGTAATAGTTTAAAGATCTTGGTTATTAAAATAAACTTTAAACAGTTTTTACAGAAACTTAAGGAGGTGACTGCTTCGATGGATTAGGTAAGCCATAATTGTAACGAATTTTACTCGCATTGCGCATGCATAACGTTTAACGGAAGTGTAGACGGGGCGGTTTGATATTTATAATGGGTTATTCCAGTGAGTCCCACTTATGCACCCTTGTAAAATCTTTGTTTATGGTTCGATTTTGATATATTTTTTTGTTGGATAGACCTCTGAAAAATGCAGTAAAATCTTGTTTTGATTATTGCTTCAATTTAAAATCATAGCCAACTGGGACTACTTAACAAAAAAGAGAGAAGACAGAAGTACTATTAGGAATTTATTAAGAAAAAAATTGGCAACGAATTCTTATTCTTAGAACCCAACTATAACAATTTTTATAATATTTCATTACAGGGTGTTTGAAATATCGTTTGCGCCCCGCTTAGGACTGTACATCGTTGTAAATTCTTTGATTACGGTTTGATTTTGATTTTTTTTTTTGGTTAATGGATACCTCAAAAACGCCTTATAACCTTATATTTCTTATTACATCAACCTGAAGTCATGGCTCATTGGGACTAATTTTTGATGTCAAATATCGAGAAGGGCTGTTAGGTATATCTTCTAGAATAAAGTGTCAACGAATTTTTGAAACTATTCTAATTTCCATGAAGTTCGAATACAGGGAAATATCGCGAGCGCCTCGCTTAAGGATTACTCCTGCAGAATTTTGATGATTGTTTTGTCTATTGGTTTTGCTACCAAAGCGTTCAACTGCTACTGCGGCAGTCATCCTCAGTGGACCGTAGATTGTAGCGCGACGACTGTTACGGTACTGATCCTGGTACCCAACGCCTTGGGTGCCAATATTTTCGTAGAGATGGGAATAATCTTCCCAGCAAACCTTTAAATTATACGCAACTAACCTGCAGTTAGCTCACTTGACTCATTTTTGCAGAACCTTTAAAGAGATCTGGGCATATTTTGAGAGCACAATGTCGAATTGACGAACTGTCAGCGGCCATGTTGGTTGCTGATCGAAAAACGAGAATTTAAATGACTACGCATGCGCATATTAAAAGGAATATCTTAATAATGTCTGCCTTCGTCGCTTAAAAATTTCTGTATTTGCAACATAGGCAGGGCACATGTGCTCTATGATAAAATCACATCAGAGGAGTAGTTACTTTTTTGTCAAATGTGTCATGAAAGCGACAATTCAATTTATGTCCTGCGTATATTTCAAGTGAGGTTAGAAACTGACATTCGTAGTATTAATTTAGACGATGTGGTTATTAAAAGAAATTGTGATTGTTTTGTGGTTCGATTGGTTTAACAGGTAAGCAATAATGACACCGAATTTTAATTCGTATCCAATGATTGTACAATGTCTAATATTTTAACACAAGTAGACGGTGAGATTTCATTTTTATAATGGGTTGATGTTGCCAAGTGCTAGGTTTTAATTTTACCGACGATTTATTTAAATGAGCACCACTCGTTTCATATACAATAGTTGTATAATGTAGGTGCCAATAGTAAATAATGCAACAAGTTTGATAAACACCATTTAAACGAGAGAATGAAGAACTTTTATCCAAGTATTACAAAGACCATTAGGTTTGTGACGTAGCTGTCACAATGTCAACAAAAGTTTACTAATGCCAATTAAAAAAATATCTTCAAGCAACTGATCAATGGAATTAAACAGTTTTCATTTTGGCTGTGCGACTTTTTGAAAATTTGGCAGGATCCCAATAAATTTTCGGAAGAAAATTGGTTATGTCAAGATCGCGATTTAAAAATGATGAAAAGTGTAGTGTGTGAAATTTATATGCATATTTTCAACAAATAGTTTTATGATAACTTCTTCATGATTAATTCATTGATATAATACATGAAAAAGTAAGGTTATTTTACATCAATGAACGCGCGCATCCAGCCAAATTGTTTTAGCATAATGGGTTTTATAATAATGTGTACCGAGTTACAGATAAAATGAGTTCACATAGCTTGGACTTTATTTACTAAACAGTGCTTAATCAAGCAGTTTTAAATAATAAATAATAATAATAAATAAAATTATTAAATAATAAATAAATGAAAATAATAAAAGCAGTTTTAAATAAAGCTCTTTAGATTTAGATATAATGAATCCCTAATAAGCTTTAGAGGACTGAAGCGAATTTCAAAATAGATTGCGTATTGACTAGTTTCATTCCTTTTATTTCTCTATAGAACAGACTGAGGGCTTAACATTTCAACTAAGGACTATTACCAATACACACAGTTGCAAAACCACAAAAACAGCCAAATATTATTGATAGACTTGCTGAATGAAATTTTGAGATATCAAATGCTCGCGTTCCCAGTGTAAAACCAGTATGCTTGGTCAAGAACTTCATTAATTACTTGTCATTGGAATTAACGATGAAATTACTATTTCATGCAGATGACGATGATAATTCGACATGTTTGTTTGCAATTTGCATAAACCGGAAAATAATTTTGATATGGAAGATGAAGGAATAAGAAATAAGGAATCGGGAAATACGAAAGTCTCCTTGGACAAATACGCTTTTATTTTACCAACACAAAAAGACTTACAAATACAAAAAGAAAACAAAACATACTTAAATTTATAACAAAAAACACTTACTTAAGACTATCTTTTCAGATAACTAATCTGAATTTTGGCGAAAACACAACGCGCACGTCTTCCTCCAGAAAGCAATACCGTTGCAATTCTCTTTGCAAAAGTATGACTCTGTCCCGGTTACCTTTAAATATATCTATGTAAACTTTAAATTAACTGTCGCATCTTCGCCAAAACGTTTTTCTTAACTTACGGGCTATCCTATTCTACGTTTTTACTCTTAGCTTAGTTTCACCTAAACTACGTCTAAGTACTAGACTATAACTAGAAGCTAACCTATCCCTACAAATGCTTTCGCATACTTTTTACAATGATCAAGACCTCGTCCGATCACGATTTTTTACTTAATAGGTAGTCGTTTTTTTTTTACCAATTAAAGTCTAAAAATAGTCATATACCTCGTGGTAGAGGCATACCAAAATAAACTTGTGTTTATGTTCTATTCAATCGGTGAACACTGTAAAAACGTTCAAAGTAATGTTGTCAATTACAATATTTGGTTTCAGCTATAATCGCTCAATTAAATTCATTTTAACGCGGGCTTGTATTTGTCCAAAAAAAATATCGGTAAACAATAAAATTCCAAAAATGGAATTCACCTCTTTGACGCGCAACGCGTGTATGTCGGTAATTAAAATGACGTTAATTGAGCTATATCGGTCTCGATAAAGAAACTCGAGTGTTCTAAAACTTTACAAAAATTTTTATCGGGGAGGAAAAGTGAAAACAACTTGGGTTTATTTTTCAGTCTTCGTCGTCAGTAGAATTTCCGCAATATTTTCAATTCCCTGTTGTGAATCGGGCCGCCCACCATATTTGAATCGCCGGTGACTGTCAAGCCGAATTACCAACCAACCAATCGCACAATTTTTAGCAACAACCAATGTGTAAACTTCTATAACACTCGATATACGTGATTCGTAGCTTACCTAATTACAAACAAATTTTTTGGATGGAGGACGTGATGTAAGACACTTCCCTGCAATAGCAGATTATTATGCTGTGCCTTATTCTAGACCCTGGCCTCCATTACTTCATGGAAAAACAGGACAATTCGACACTGTTGATTTTTGAACCGTATCGAATTTATCCGTTTCTCGCGCCGAATCTAAAACGTGTAACGAAAAACACACAACTGCCTACAACACAGAGCTAGAATTTAAAAATTTGGTTTTATCGGTTTTATTGAAAAACACCGAGTTAAAAAAATATATTAAAATATTTTTTTCAGTTTATCCCTGTCAATGGACTCTCTGAAAAGGCACGATTTCCAATATACGTGAAGGTTTGGTTTTATCATTTCACTGTCCGACCTGCGCGACGCGGCCGCCCTCTTTCGTCTTAACGATAAACTCTTAAACTTAACAACAACATAAAGCAACAAAGAATATTCAACTTCTCTCAATAATCTCTGGGTGTGCCCTAAAACTCTACTACAAGATCTCCGCTCTATGGTGGCGCTTACTTACTGAGAACCATTTTGAAAGAGTAAAAATTGCGAAAGATGGCGGGAGCGCGAATCGTCGCAGGACGGCCTAACTCATTTCGAAAGGCTATAATCAATTTACGTTAAACCATCGGCCGGTCGATAAGCTGAGAGACTCTCGAGAAACACGCCTTCCCAATATACGTAGACTCTACAAAAAGAAAAATGACTGAAAATTTTTGTAATCACAGCTACTTATCGATCCGGACCATCGACCGGCGGCAACGGTTTCCAAAATAAATGTTTTTTACTTTTTACTTCTTAAGTCAGTCCATTTAAAAGAGGATACCGAATATTATAGATAAATTTCTTTCATAGGCATAAATAAATTCTAAAGATAAACAAATTGCACTATAATATATAAAAACTGTACAAACAGAGATTTTCGTTAAAACAAAAAATTAATATTGCGTAAAATAAATATTCAAATAAATAATAAGACACTGGAATGTCGAATATACAATAAACTGAGAAATAAATTATAATACAAGGAAAAATTCGTCCGCCGCGTCGCGACTGCGCAGAAAAAAATGTGAATATATTTGCAATTAAGAAAAACGTGCGGCGAAAAAAGAGAAAAAAATCCCAAAATCCAACTCAACAGAAAACTAATGCCCGTCCGTGCTCTTGGATTTTTGTAAACTACCGAAAAATCGGAACGACTCCACTCGATAGTCAATTTTTTTTTCATAGACGTCGATAAACTCATAGCTTATAGCTTTCCAATTCTTAAATAAAGTTGTCGTTAGGAACTGAGATCAATTTAGACACACGAGTGCAATTGAAAAGTGGAACTGCGAAAAGGGCCAAGTGCGGAAAACGTTAACAGTATTAAGTAATAATGAGTCGACCTTTTTCCAACTAAAAAGATGAACAAACTAGAGATTGACGTTCACCCCATCTCGTACTCCCGCTCTTCGATTGGTTTAAGATTTTATCACCGAAATCGAGTTGGTGCTTGAAAAACAGAAAGAAAAAAAATACGAAAAGGAAAACGATTCCAAAAATATTCAGCATTAGAGACGATTTTTTGGAAGTTTTATCGTATTGTTTGGATGTTAAGTGTTTAGGAAGAATTTGTTTGATTTAATTACATGTGAGCAGTTTCGCGGTACCTGCAGTATAAGTGTACACAACTACCTATGTAGATCTTCATCAAAAATAAAATACTAAATTTACCTAACCTATGCCGCATGCAGTTTGCAGCTTGGGAAGATCGACTTTACATTTATCTGTCTTGCGCCAAAAGCTCAATACTCCTAATTTACCAAAAAAAAAAAACGACAAATGCCCAAGACCTGTCATCTTATGTCACATATTGGTCTCATCCAGTAACAAATGATATTATCCCATGGAAAATCATTGTTGCTGGGAGATATTTGTGTCTTTACGTTGTTACGTTAATGTTAGTCAAAGGGTCAGCATAAGACATCCTATTTTATAGAGAGCCAACTTTTGGCAAACGTTTTAAAATTGTTCTTATAAAAAAAGGATATTTGAAAAAAAAATTGTTTTGACAGTGAAATATCAATTTGTTTGACATTTGAAATACGCAATAGTCTAAAACCTGTTTTACACTTGTGAAAATGGTATTATGTGATATTATCAGCTTTGCATTTATTGTCCTCTTGACGTTGCTGCCGCTGCTAAACGACGAGAAGTTTGACGTTATATGTTGTGTTATGTTTTGTAAAGTAAATATTCGGTAATACTACGTCAGCTCAAATTAAAATTATTTTGTCATAGCGTATATCATAATGTCAGCAACAGTTGGTAATACTAAATTCTTGTAAAACACCTTAATTCTTGAGTAAGTAAGGTGTTTGACATTCAAACTTGAAAAACTTTACAAGAATAAATCAGGCTTAAGAACAAACTAACACGGCGGCATAAAATTTGGCACAAGGAAAAACCGTCAATATAGAAAAGATCAACCCAACTCCTCCTAGCCCGACGAATTTTGGCAAATTAGGCGCATACCTTTTAGAAAAATGTGGCACCATCTCGGTGGCCGCTTTTCGTGACTGCTTTTTAAATCTAAAATTTCTATTCTAAATCTTTTACTTCCATTTAAATTGTGTTGGTATATTAAGTTATCTGTGTAAGAAACTCTCGACTGCATTACGTACGTATGTACACCGTCGCCGACTAAGCAAATCATATAAATTTATCTCGGCACCCTGAAAACAAATAAACGAACACGCCTTCCTTACACAGATACGAGTTTTCAAATATAAGACATATTTTCAATACAATGTTTTTGAAACTAGGAACATACTGTATCAAAAATATCTACTTTACATATTCAGTCCGTTTTTTTCTTTTTGTAACATTATTTAAAAAAAAAAGAGTCAAAATCAAACATCTACATAACAAAACCGGCGCCGGTCCCAGTGGACGCGACCCCGACATCTTGGGGAAATGAAAAGGGACGCCCAACGTCCCAAACCGACGAAAAAGTCAAACGAGACCTGATATAAATACCTGACAGTGCGCGAGCTTCACGCGTTTAATATGTACACATTCATTTTTTTAGCGGGTGAACCACCTAAAGTTAATTTTTTACCTTCGCCAAGCACACAGTCAGCTTTAATATACACAAAAGGAGACGCATAGATCGATGCAAACTCACTTTCCGCGTCAACGATCATCCATCTTCGTCAACAATTTTATAATACACCACCCGAAAGAAAAAAATTCAACAACACCGACCGATTTGGGTACGATTCTCGCGCGCCCGTTCCTAACCTTCCTGTCCCTTACTTACGTCCTAACTACTTGAACTACTGAGTCGACTCTCGTCTACCCGATCCCAGCTGGATTTAGCTTTAATATTTGAGCAACAATGATGGGTTTTGTTTGGAACTCATAACCGCAGAATTTCGCGGGCAAAACGCAACTACGTCGTCGTACCGACTAAACTCTAACTGATCTACTTTCGCGAAAGATGGCACGCAGAAAAAAAATCCCGCCGGAGCGACTCGGGAGCTCAAATAGACAGCGCAAACAGCACGCCAGTCTCTCTCTTCCGGACGATTTCACTAATGGAAAAACTAAACTATCTATTTCTGAGGCGCTGCCTGGTAAGTCTGATACGGGTCCTCCGGACTGGCGGCGTTGCTCGTGTGTTCCGAATCCACGGGCATCGCATGCAGTATCGGCGTAAATTGGGTATAGTAATTCTGGAATAAGGAGCAAAAATATAAAACCAAGTCTACTAAGCTCTGTTTCTTAATGCCAGAGAGTCATAAATCACTACTTAATGGTCTTAGCCCTATTCCAATGGTCCCTCCCTAGAGTGGACCAGCCTATTATGCCTTAGTGTTTAAAATCACAATTATAGTTACTTTCCGGAAATTGTTGGCAAAGCGCAGGCTTTGTCAGCATGCAAAGCTATTCGCCACCAAAAATCAACATTCTGAGTTGAAAAAATAGAGAATGAAAAGACCGCTATCAGAACCATAATACATTTGTTTTATTAAAAAAAATATGTATCTACGTTGAACGACCACGCCAAAATCTGAAAAAGTACCCACGTCTTGGAAAAAACAAAGAAGTAATTTAAGAAAGATCTGCTGCCTAAGGAGCTCCTTAAGATTGTAAATTTGAAAAACCTATTGTAAGGAATTTGTTGTCGAAGAAATCGCTTCAAAATGAAATATATGTATTTCGCCATATCACTGTAAATTAAACTCCATAGAATTAGAATAGGCGCGAATAGAGACAGCGGCTTGTGAAAAATGGAGCTAGTATGAAAATAGAAGAATGTGGAAAGCTGATAACGTGCTAGAAAACACTGTAGAGTACCTTATTATTTCTCTACGATCTTAGTTCATCTGACTACTGGGAACCTGAGGACTAAAATTTACAAATGCATTTGTATTGTAAATCGATTTGCTTTTAAATAATAATATTTATTACTATTTTTATATTATCTTTACCGCTATACCATATAACTTTCTATTTAGTCTCATCCTAGAATAATCAATATCTCCAATTATTTACTATTCTATTTATTATATTGTAGTATCGCCGCTTTCACATTACACATTGGTCAAACTCGTCTTTTTATTTTATGCAATTTAGTTTTACGATACAACGATATAACCTATAAGTTTTCGAGTCTGTTTTTTATGATCCCTGTCATTCCAAATTTATATTTTATTACTCTTTCGCTATAAGAAATGAGGTACAGCAATTTTATACGAGTATAGTATATACTTAAACACAAAAACTTCAAGGCAAAGTGTATGAATTAGAGAATCTATTTACTGCTTTATAATATCATCCAAGTCAATTTTTAATTTGTTTAAAGTTCATCACTCTTTGTGAGCTCCCATAACGATAACTATCAACATCAATGAGCTTATCTTATTTTATCTGGAAAATAGCAAATACCGATAATGGAGATAAAAAAAAATTTCTTGCACCACGAGCTTCCCGATTAACGTTTTTTTCTTGTTTTATAAGGGTTACGTTTCCATTACCTATTTTATAAAACCTGACAACGTTCACGAAATGTTTTCGTTACACTCATAGCGCTTAAATGAAGAATCTTATAAAAGTAAATAGTGACCCATATAGAACTTTTTTTTACTTCCTACTTATTTGTAACTAACATCAAGGAATAAACACCAAACACAAAACGAATCCAGTTTGCTTCACCCTTTTTTTTTAAACACAGTTTTGTTTGTGGCCATATAAAAGGAGGTCGCATTTACCAGATTCGCTTTTTAAAAACTTATAGTTTTATATACGTGTTTTATAGGAATATTGCTGTTGCAAAAAAACCTAAGTTATGGTGATTTTCAAATTGGTTAGTTTTATACATTTATAAGTTACCACAAAGTATTTATAAAAGCCTTTATAACCGTTATAAAACATCACAGATAAATTAGGCATTTTAGGCTTTGCAGTTGCGATTCATTTACTTGTTCTTGAAAGAACTGTGCTTGTTTTTTTTTTATAAATATTTTGATAAAGTTAAAAATTAAACTTAATGTTTTTAAATTTTTCAAGGAAATTGGGAAAACACCATTTTTGACTGTCTATAAAAGCTGTCGCTGCTCTTACCAAACATCATAACTACAAAACGGATGAAAAAGTTTGTTAACATTCTTTAGTAGTTCTTGTAGAATATTTATTGGGAGCCACAAAACCCCAAGAGTAAAAGTGTTATAATAAAGTTTTTAATAACGCTAAAAACCTGCAGTATCCAACACCAAAGGTTTTGTAGATAAAGTACGGGAAACGTGTTGGATCTTGAATTATATATAAAAGCTTAGGGAGCGAAAAATGTTAGTTGGTTAGTTAGCAAGATATTTTGAGATCCAAAATATCTCCTGTCACTTATCATTATTATTATTTGCCTTGGTTGGTATAAAAAGGGCGGGGAACCACTCCAAGTTAAAAAAAAACAATGCACACTACCTGTGGTGAAATGTAAGATCCCGGCGCGGACAATTGCATCGCGCCCATGTGGGCGGCCAGTTGTGGTATCATGTTCGTGTACTGCATTGACGTTTCGTTTGTCGGGACCATCATCGGTATCGCGCGGGGCGTCTGCCCGTCACGGCCCTGCATGTGCCCGGTCAAACTGTAAGCTTCGTCTACCGGCGGAATAGCCGCCGGCATTACCGCGTATTGCGGCATCCCCCAGGGGGCGCCGTACGCGCTTGGATACTGCAAAAACAGACAAAACGCGTTCAACGCAAAAGAGACGGCAAAAATAGTTGGAGAACACCGCGTCACACTTATACCCGCAATGTCGAAGAAAACATGGGTTAAATGGACTAATAGACCGGGGTTATCGGTAACTGTTTACTGCACAATCTATCAATTAAAAAGGTTCAAGAAACTTTACTACTGAACTCTGTTATTTAACATTAATACATCAAATAATATGTAAACATTGATTTAAACCCAACAACGGGGCTCTAGTTTAAATACATAAATGAAGTCCGATAGCGACATCTGTAAGCTTAGGTTTGTTTTAGTTTTTGAAAAAAGGCGGGAAGCGTTAACGCGACTGTATTCACGGTCACTGAACACAACTAGGATTTTGTTATTGGTGGCGCCTAGTTTCAGAAGAAACGCCCCATCTTTTTAAGTAAATATTTTGTGTTGGAAAGGTCTTTTTGTTCAGAACTTAGTTCTAGAGTTTTTTTATATGACAAGATTACCTGGTTCAGTTGCCTGTAGCCGAAAGTGGGGATCATGTGCTGACTAGCCACTCCGTTCTGCGCAAGCGCCTCGGGGGTGGCGTAAGCGACCGCGCTCATGCCCTCGGCCGTCTCGCGCCACATCTTGGCGTTATCGTTGCTCTTATAGAGGTTCTTCTTTTTGTTGCCCCCGTCGGCGAATTTCACCAACAGGGGGTCCTTGCAGTTCGGCAACGGGTGCCCGTTGAACATCTGGATGATTTGCTCGCACTTTTCTTTGCTTTCCATGCGGGCAAATCCCACCCCCTTCGATATCCCTGCAACGATCGAGACTTCTTGAACGCGAGCCCACAAAACCACAGCTTAACCACAGATAGAATAAAAGTTGAGAACCAAAATTTGTGGAACTGCAAAATATGTATAACTTAAAACTTTAATAAATAATTTCTGCTGCGACTCAGCTCGACTTCCTCTCAAAGTAATATAATAAGCTATGCGTCACGGACAATACTTTTATTACTCACCTGCCGAATCGCGAAGAATCCTTGTAGAAATCACCTGGCCGTACTTGGAAAGCAAACTGTCGAGATCTGCTTCTTTGTATGTCGGGGGCAGATTTGCTATGTACAAGTTTGTCGGATCTTGTTCCTGTTGCTGTTGACAAACAGAACGCTCTCGTTAGGGCCGAGACGTCGCCTTTAAACACTGACCGCGATATCGCGGCATTTGATTAAGTTTGTTTTAAGCTACGCTTGTTTTAGAAAAAATATTCGAAACTCTTGACGAGATGGAAACGAGTGAAAAATCGACGTTAACAATTGCAAAACTGCCAAAAGGCGAAACCTCAAAATTATCCTAGTTAGAATGTAAACAATATAATTGGTTAGTCGAGTATATTGCCGCAATCCGGATTAATTCTGTACAAATTAAAATGCAAATTAAATTTATCCATAGTCTGTTTGATATTGGAAAAATGTTTAGGAGGTGTATTAAATTAAAATGGGCAAAAATATTATCAAAATTAGTAACAGAAGGTTCAAAAGCGGGGCGAGGTAAAATTTGGAACTATGACATATAAATACGCGAAGCGTTTGGAAATAGTCTTCGGATACTCGTAGTTGAGCCTAAAAATTTTTTTGCCCATAGAACGTGTTTCACAATAAGGAGGGGATAAATGAGGTTCCAGTCAACAAACATGGCAACTGGCACTACCGAGTTCTACTTGTGGTCTTTTTTATACCCAAACCGCGATGTAAATTTTTTTTCAAATATTGAACTCTCTCTTTCAGTATCGAACAGACTATAGCTATTTTTATACAACATGCAATGCTTTTATTATTCGATTATGTCACAGCCACTTGAACCAAAACTGTTACTCCCAGAGCAGTAAAAAGGAAATTAAGACTTTCTTTTTTCTCGTCAAAACTTAACGTCTGAACGCCAGAGTGAACTTTTGGTGGTAATCATTCCCATAAGTGTCTGGCATTTAAACTCGACATGCCCCTTCCAATGTACGCAAAACATTTTTTTTACGCGCATCACATTTAAAACATTTGGGTACTTAATTTTCTAGATTAATTGGCGATCTTCCTCTTTTTTTCCTTTCTCGGTTCCTAAGTTCGGCATGCATCTATGCATAGCACATGACAGATCTATTAACTACGTTATAAAGTAAATAAATAAAAAAAAAACATGAAAAAAAGTACGAAACAAAATCAAGTCTAGTGTGTCTCGGTTAATTAGTTTTATGATGCGCATCCGATGTGAGTTACAGAACACTAGAATTGAGTTTTTGTTATTTAGTACTCTGTCACAGCGATAGTAGAATGGTGTCGCGCCTATTTGCAATGTAGATTAAAATTACAATATCTCCACCACCTCCAAAAATTGCTATAATACATAGCTGATGCTTAGTGGTCACCGTGAAGAGAGAATTTTCTATTTGAGTTAGCAATTTTGACACGCAAACCACTTAATGAGAATTTTAAAAAATCTCTTCTTGAACTTGTTATTCATAAAATTCAGGACACTGTGGAATTGTAGACTTAAATAAATTGTTTTGCCAACAACATAAAGTTCTTTACCCACTCATCTGGCCATAGAATGTGTGTAAAATATAGTACTTCTGAGGTAAAGTTGAGCAAGACTATCTTCATTGTTATCACGAAATTACCAACAACATCAAAGATTTGTTGGTGTGTGGTGGCTAAATGGTGATTAAATAAAAAAAGTATTTCAAGTCAAAAATTGGTATGAGCCTTGGATGTCAAACTTTCATTTTCATTCAGCAGTTGACAAATTAAGAGAAATGGGTAGACTCTAGTGTCATAGTGGATGTCAAACTTTCATTTTCATTCAGCAGTTGACAAATTAAGAGAAATGGGTAGACTATAGTGTCATAGAAGTCCTTCCAGGAAAACTTGGAAATGTTAGAAAAACTGAAGTTTTATTTTTATTCAACCTGATTGCTTGGCCAGGAATAACGGGAAGCATTCTTATTAAGTATAAATCCACAACGAACATGTTTGCAGCATTCTTGAATTTAAAAAAAAATAAAATATCTGAATTTCTTACTGTAGGTACACCAGAATTCCCCTGTCGTTTATCCTTCGTTTTGTTTCCGAGCTTTTAACAATTTTTTACTTGTTTAAATATTTTTGTCAAATTCGCGCTATGGGAAGAACGAGCGTCAAAATGGGAAGAACGTACAAAAGAAAATTAGACACGGAGGATTTAAAAAAAATTAATTCCCTAAGCTTTTAAAGCAAACACTTGAGAACATGGAAAGAACTTTTGACGTAAAAGAAAACTGTTATCAGCGGAATCAGCGTTTCAACGCCGAAACCGTTGGAAGAGTAAGATATTTGCTCTTTTTACATAATAAAACATAATCCAGTAAGAACAGTGTCATCAATCTACCTTGCATGATCTCACCCCTTAGAGAGACAATTAATATAGGAAATTGTTTAAATTACGGCAAAAATAAAGTTTAAATTGATCAAACTCACTCCGTTTTACGGTCTACATTATTTTTATTTTTGTACACTTATTTATTATTTGGCCGCAAAAATGTTTTGTGGCGTATACTAGTACTGCTAGATCTTTTGGTTGGTTGTATATATGTATTTTGGCTAGAGGTGGTCTATTCCCCCCACACCCCTGGAAAAAGTGAATACCGAGAGGTAAGTATGTATTTACAGAAACAAATATTTACAATGGTTGCCTGTGACAGAGTAGTTCGTAAAGCTAGGTATTACTTGCATGCAAACGTACAGTGGCTTGTCTACGTTGTTGATACCAGATACCCACTTTCGCCATTTGCGCCTGAATGTTTCGGGCGGTCAACGCTTTGACTGCCCCCTCCGCGGCGACGGGACTCTCAAAATCTACAAATCCATAACCTGAAATAAAAAAGAAAAAACAGGTGAAACGTTTTTTTTGGGGTGGGGGGGCGAATCGATCTAAGGTTAGGAGATGGACGTTTACTACTCACCTTTACATTTGTTAGTATTTTTATCTAAAATTGCTTTGGTTGAAATGATTGTACCGTATCTGCAAAACAAAAGGGACCGTTTAGAACTTTGCTGCGTCCGGCAGTCTCTAACTACAGTGCGTTTCAAAAAGTACGCGTCACAATACACAAACGTTTTGACATTGAATTGCGCATATCATACACATTTCTTTTCCAAAATGCTTCCAGAAACATACAACACTTAAAAAAAAATCTACTTCATCAAACTCACACTTATATACCGACTTTTCAGATACTTTAAGTATTTTAAACTATTTTTAACTATTTTAAAGAAAAATGACAAAAAACTTCCCAATATGGCGCGCACTTTTTGATCTTCGACAGGGAATTGACTAGCGAACTTACTGTTGGCACATATTGACAAGATCCTTGTCGGTCGTGCCCGGGTTCAGGCCCCTAATGTACAGGTTCGTTTTGCTCAGTTGTTCGGAGCCGCCGCCGCCGCCGCCACCACCGCCTCCGCCTCCGCTCTGAGATGACCCGTTCGATTGCGTTGAGTTGCTTGCGTTGTTCTGCATGCCTAAGCGACAGATGAGGTCGGTTAAAAACTGACTTTCAGTGGTAATTTTATTAACATTCGATAATCTATTTCAGAAAACTGTAGAACAATAAAACCTCAATAGGTACGAAAAAGTCACTTTTCTGAAATGTCTTATAAAGTACTATTTTAAATTATACACCTCTATACAAGTTAAAACTTTGAAGAAGTTTTGACTACCATCGGAATGTTTCTCATAGGTGTGTCGCGCAAAGGTCCAGGCACTTTTCCCTGAAATTACGTTTTAGCTACCTATATTATCAATTTTAAAAAATAAATGTAGCGCAGTTTTATAAACACTTTTTTTTCTATTCCCTTCTGAAAAATTATACACTGATTTCGCGTGCGGAAAATCTAATTTTGCCACATCAGACATTTGCGGGATATTACCACACAGGTTTGTGAGTAATTTTGACATTTGTCAATTCTGACGGTGATATAAGTGAATGTATTTATGTTGTTGTGCAAAAATGTGTCCAAAAACTTATTTCCGTAGAAAAAGAATAGTATGCAACACGTTTGGTAAACTTTTTAAGCCACTCGTTTATTAAGCACTCGCTCCGCTGCGCTCCGCTCGTGCCAAATGAGCAAGTGACTTAACATACAATTGTGTATTCCTATAAACAGCACACCCGCTATATTATTTTCTGTTTATCGAGATTTTCCTTTTTTACTTTATGGAAAAATGTAAAACTGGTAGGAGTGATTTTCTAGGACCACTAGTTTTTGGGTAATAATGGGTGGATAATATCTTCGATTTATAATTGAGAATTTCCGAGAAGGGAGTAGAAAAAAGTCATTGTGAGGATGTTTTATGCTAGACTAATTACAAAACTTCCTCCTGTGTTGGTTATTGTTCAGTCTGAAACAGTTTCAGATAAGCTCTGAAGAAGCCAACAGGATGATTGGCGAAACTTTAGCAAGTTCGACTCAACAAAAACCGACGCAGGAAAAATTCCCAAGTTTTGTAAATGGAATTACAGTAGCCTGCGCGAAGTTTCTTTGAAAGATGTTCCATGTTTTTTATTAAACTTATATTGGAATTAAGCTTTACGGAAACAAGGTATAAACAGTTATGGAAAATCAGAAAATCGAGTTTGAATTAGAATTAAACACGTCTATATATATACCGGAGGCGCAACAGTGTGGCAGTATTTAACACTGTTCTCAAAAGACACACATTTTACATGTTTGCATATTACGATTACTCCAAGAAATTTTAAATTATAATAAGAATTTCATTAATTCGATATATTATTATATGTTTTTCAATATATTTTTTTATGTTCTATATTCTTGCAATATACCTAAAAATATATCTATTCAGATTTTTTTAATGGGTATTCCATCTTAACCAGGCCGACGCACTCCAGTTAAGGAGTCGCATTCAGTGTCAATAGATATTTCACGTTTCGGACAGTCGGTATATATTTATAACCAAAGCACAAATATGTTACTTACTTCCACCAGAGCCGTTGTTGGCCGGTCCCCCGCCCCCCTGGCTGCCACCAGTGTGGCTACTCGAACTACTCGCGTTCGAAGGCGATGTTGCCGTAGGCACTCGCTGGTTGCCGTACTGGTAAAAAGAAAAGAAGAAACTATAATAGAACGGCTTATCGCCATCACTTGATTCGATTGCGAATATCCAAAATAGCCCGCATTTTAAACGCACTTAGTGATTGACGTGTGACGGGACTATCAGTGTTTTTCATTTACGAATCCGAGCCCTCCCAATGCCTTGACTAAAGTACCGGAAACCGTCGAAGTGACTCGCGACAGTCTTTAATGAAGTGTTTTAAAGTGACCCTTTGAGAGTACAGTATGGAGGGGAAGAAGTTATTACCCACCCGTCCTGGTGAAGGAAACAAAGAGAAACAGGTTCGTTTATGTTAGTTGCGGACTGTTAGGTGTTTTATCATGACATAAAATGCTATTGGTTGGAACCTGATTGATTACCAACGCGATTCTCCATTCATAATTTACACGGAGGCGGAGCCTAAGTCTTTGTTTACGTTGGCAGCCATATGCGTTTTATAATTGACTTGTCCATTGGATATAACGTCCTTTGCTCGACACTCTCCGCTTTAAGCTAATTCAAACAATGTAGAAAACTTACAGACGGATGCACGTTAAAAACAATATCGGCGTTTGTGCGGCACATTAAATCAGGTAACCCCCAGGGGCTAACTTTACTATAGAAAAGTGCACTGGCAGAACCAACATCGCTAGGTCCGCACACTGGCACAATTAAAATCGGCTGTGCTGAGTAGAAGATAAGATAAACCCGATAACAATTTTATTATCGTCGTACCCAAATTTTATTGACATTCAGACAATTATAATCGGATTACCGGGTTTTAACAAGGGTTTTAAAGAAAAATCTAGCATTATAAGGCACACTGGTCTTATTCTCTTTTTGCGCTCCCGCCGTGGTCCGCTCCTAAACATTTCGAACGCAAAACCACTAGAACTTTTGCCGCTTAATAAAAGTACTGACCTATCCCATTTATTATTGAAGGGTGAGTCTGCATGAAAAAATGAGACAATTTTTTCATATGAACATGGGTCTGGAAATAGATAGATACAGGGTGTGAAACTTCAAAAAAAATCTTGCTTCTCTTTAGAGAAAAAAAAGCAACTTTACTTTAAAAATTATCATGTAGTGAGAGATAAGCTAGTCTCTATATATATATATATATATATATATATATATATATATATATATATATATATATATATATATATATATATATATATATATATATATATATATATATATATATATATATATATATATATATATATATATATATATACGCCACATAAAACTGAAGCATTCCAAGAAATTTGGATAATGGTTACTAAATATATCAATAAAAAATCAATGGTTTTGTTTTTCTCGAAAACAAATAAGCAATAACAAAAAAATCAAATGACAAAAATATTACATTTTTAGTTGCCTAATTTGAAAATGTTGGTAAAAAAAAGTCAAATATTGGATAAGTTGTCTCCCGGCACGCCACTGCACAACACACTCTACCAAATTTCGACAAAATCTGTCAATGGATATTTAAGAGGTTTCGGCCAACTATCTTTTTTAACATCTGTGCTGACATACTCTATCTATCTGGAAAACTACGCATTGTCGGGCACATGCTCATGCCAAATAAAACAAACAATAAAAATATTATAAAAACACGAGATCTCATCGGTACTATACAGGGTGTCCTATAGGAAACTAGGAAAACAACGACCAGCAAAAAAAAAACTGAAAGTTTGAGAAGACACTAAAATTATTGATGATTATTGATCATTCAAGGTATATTCCGGAGAAATTTTATGTTACTCAGACTTGTTCAAAAGGTCCACCTGATGCGAAATTTTAATATGAATAAAGTTTGACTTGTGCGAGTCGTACCTATCGCCGTTTTATGAAAATAACTAACTAACCAAAAACACATGCGTTGTATTTGAAATATGTCTATATGTATGTATATTTTTTAAAAGCTATTAAAAAGCCCTAATAACAAAAAACACAAGTTTTATTTATCTAGTAACATTTGTGAGATTTAGAAGAAAACTAACTAAGCTACTGGATGTTATTGATGAGAGGATGAGATTAGATCAATTTTTACCAAAGGAAAATTCAAAATCACACTGCGATGACATTTTTGTTTGTACCACCTCGCATTTAAAAAAAAAATTGGGAAACTAAAATGCTTTAAAAAAAACTAAAAAGTTTTCTGCCCGGACATTTCATCCTGTAGACGAGTTGTTTTTATTGTGGTTTATCTTTTATTCTTATTTTTTGTGTTTAATTGCGCTGTTACATTGATTTTATGGCAGTTTATTTATATTTATCTCAGTTGGAAATACTCTTTTCATGGACAATAAAGCATACTTCATCATTATCATCAATAACCCGCGAAATTTATAAAAAGGCAATGACTGCCGAACTCGGAATAATAGCGAAAATCGAGAGTGAAATTTGGCAAAGGTGCCCGAGAAATCCGCTACCCTTTAAACGCCCCGTCACGCGTTTTTTTTTTTTCACCGTCACAGAAGAAACTCATGTTTTTGAATAAGGATGATTACATTTTATAAATAAGAGAACCTCAGGAGTGACTTACAGAGTTGGTGTTATTGTATTGGCTGGTCGCGTTGCTATAGGTCTGTTGCTGCTGTTGCTGGGCGGGCGATTGCGCTTGAGGCTGCGCCTGGGCGGCGGGTGTGAATCGCTGAAAGTAGGTGGCACCGACGGCGGTGTGCTGGTGGCCCGCGCCTAAGTTGCCCCACTGGCTGCGGTAGCCCGGCGTCTGATGCTGGGTAGCCATGGGTGCACCTACGATTCAAGAACCCACTATGTAAAGCCTGTTCATAGATATAACAAAGTGACTAACTGATACGAATTAAGGAAAGACCCAGGCAAGCTGTAAGAATGAAATATGGCAGAACAGGTCCTTACTTTGCTTAGAATTTAATTATCTATTAACTATCCCTATCATCGCCTGTTCTAATTATTATTTGCAGTATGGATATACGATTGTTCTGCTTTTTCTATATGTTTAACAGAATTTACCCAACTTTGTGGAGGGATGTTAAAAACTTCGGTTTCTATAAGTTTGAGGCCATTGGAGTTAACACGTGGAAAGCATTGTTACGACAAATGGCAGATTTCAGTTGGTGCCAAACATGTTCAATGGGATTAAATATACAGTGGTAAGGTGGAAGCCTTAAAACTGTATGCCCTAGATTTTTTGCATAATTATCACAGACGTATTCCGTTTGTAGGTTCAACCTTTGGAGAACCTCAATTAATTGTTTTTTGGTATAATTTTCGTGAAAATAAATGACGTTATTATACATGTAGTTTTGGATTGTTGCTTTTGTGTCACATGAGGAAGGGGTTTTAGTCAAAACTTGCATTGTCCATTACAATAACGCTATTAGGAGGAATGTTTGGAACTAGTTTGTTTTTAAATCAACTCTCAAATAAATCGGCGGTGGTGTCTCATGGTAATCTAGGGAAGAATCTTTAATAAACAACTAACCAACCATCTTTAGAGCCAGCATGCAAAATAGTTATCCTTTTGCCTCTTTTTGATGGCGCGTTTGTTTTACACTTATCAGTCGAGTCAACCCAACCCAAGTTTCAGCCAAGTAAATAATCCGTCTTTGTTGTTCTCTGTAAATCCTAATTTTTTCTAGATATTCCAGTCGCCATTTCCGAATTCTAAAAGATTCCATTAAAACTTGCCTTTTGTCAATTTATTATATCTTGGTCACTTTCATCTACACTCGAGAAAATGTTCGATGCAGTTGATGTTGGAATTTTCGTCAATGTGGCCGTTTCTTCTAAAGATGTTTGCTTGCTGGCACCACGTTCAATGAGAGTCAAATAAACATTGTTTATAACTTCCTTAGTCTCAATAGAATAGTGTTTTCTACATTTGCATAATTCGCACACGATTCAACACACGCTGTATTACACACGTTACTAATAAACTTAAGCTAAGTAGTATACCAAACCAAAGAATATTAAACACATGTGGTATAAAATTATTTTCTATTACGGACCACAATTTTATCTGAATTTAAATTCCGAAATTTTAGGTAATAATCTGGATGCATTGTATGTTAATGACCACCCTTGGATAATCCCATTCAAAAGCAATTGGTCACTTTCTTATATCTATGAACAGACCATACCTGGCGAAATTTAGTGTCTAAAAAGGTTTTTGCGTGTACAATTGGCCGCACGAGCGAAGCGACCACTTTGTCACTCACTTTAGGTCAGAGTGACGAACTTGGTGAAATTGTCAGTTAAGGTCTCAAGAAATCAACACGAGGATTAGCGAAACGTCATCAACAAACGACACAAGAGGAATCCAGAAGATTTGTAAATAGCATTATTAGATTAGATTAGAGTGTGCATCTTTGTCTTTGTTAATGTTCGGTGATGAGAGTACTTCGTTTTTAAACTAAGTCATTTGAGATAACTTATTTGTTGAATTTGGCAACAGCGGACCACGTTTGTGTTTAGATTATAAAACTGTGAAGTCATCGCCACATTCTGCGAATTTTGTAACATGTGTATTTTTAAGCACCACATTGAAACTTACAACAAAAGTGATAAGAGACGTAGTACATCTTGTCTACAATAGACAAGTTTCACACAACTTCATCAAAACCATAGAAAACATATTTGAAGCGAATCAAATTCAAGCCAAACTTATCCCCGAGTCCCCTTTTTTTCAAAATCCTTATGGATGAAATAATAAGAAATGTACGCTTACTAAATGGATACAGAATCGGCGATCAGGAAATTAGTATTCTGCCGGCGACGCCGTATTAGTTGCCGAAAATGAAGACGATTTACGGAGTCTATTACAACAATTTAACTGCACTGCCGAATCACTTAATATGATAATATCAACCCATAAAACTAAATGCATGACGACATCAAAAGTACCACGGAGATGCAAACTGAGAGTTGAAGGAAATGTTATACAACAGGAAATGAAATTTAAGTACTTAGGCATAGAAATCTCAGGCGGAAATGAGAGAACGAGCAACAAAGGCAACAAGAATAGCAGAATGCCTCAATGATACGATATGGTGAAATAAAAAAATCAAGAATTTATAAGGCAAAGGTGAGACCAATACACTGCAGACACTTGACCTGATACAGCAAACCAAACAACTACTAGAAGCAACCGAAATGAGAGTACTTCACAGAATAGCTGGAACAACACTGTTAGATACAGAGAGAAATGAGAGCATAAGAAGAGTATGCAAGACGGAGAATCTAAATGAATGGGTACACAGTAGAATGAAAGAATGAAACGAACGCGTCAGTAGAATGGACGATAGAAGGATAGTAGGAGTTGCACGCGACAAATCACCGCTAGGTCGCATCAGTGTAGGACGTCCTCGAAAACTTTGGTACGACAACTCGGCAGTCTAACTGACAGAGACGACCAAGGAACAGGCGACTAGCCTAATATGAAGAAGGAAGAAGAAGAAGAAGAAGTTTATTTTTACATGATAATTCCCCGTCATCAGACAGATTTTGAAAGGATAAAAGGATTTTTCTATAGTTTTTATAATAAATTCCATTTTCAATGTGAATATAAAAATATTAAAAATCCTAAATGAACTGTTTGAACACTGATATATTATATTAGCACATTTTCTTTGAGAACAAGAAGATATTTAGTTAGGAGCTTCCAGTTTTAAATCATCGAATCGAAATTGTTCGGCATCGATTCGGTCTTGCCCATCTCTATTCTCACAACATAACCTTACTGCGGTCAGAAAGTGATTTGTTTGCTAATGCAATGTTGAATTAAGAGATAAAAGTAAGTTTACATTTTGTGTTGTTACAGGTAATTTTCTATAATAAATAGCAAGTGTTGTTTCTGTTAAAGGTTAGACATCTGAAAAAAAAATAGTTTTTATTTTTGGCGGGAAATTGTACATGTATTTCTGCAGTTCTCCTATAAGTATGCTAGATATGTTTAAAGATAATAATTGTTATTTAATATTACTTGAGTATCATCCATCAACAGAGTAATATGCGTTGTGTTTGGATTTAAAACGGTAAATTTTTTCTGTATTGGATGAATCTATAAAGGGATTGAATCGCGAACGATACCAAACGAACTATTTTTTTAAGCAATATCAACACAAACCATACAACGCAAACGTGCGACTCATATCAAAACAACGCCGTCATTCTAAATATGACTTCCACGGAAGCTTAATATTTGTTCCGCCAGAGGTCTTATATATGCTGAAATTTTCCTTTTCCTAGCTTTAAAATTGTAAACTTTTAATGTAACTACTCAAACTCCTAGAAATGTCGCCTCCCATAATTAAGATTGAACTTCACGTACAAGATCGTTTAATTTATTAATTATGGAATAAGATCATTATCGTTGAAAAATTGAAAGATGCAATAAAAAAAGTGAGGTAGGTGCTGTCGGTAAATTTACAGGACACTTACCAACGGCGCACCCTTTTACCGGCGCTCCTCCTCCGACGCTGAACTGGTGTTGCGCCCCGGCGACAGCCAACTGACCCTGGGACTGTTGGGGGGGTTGGTGGTGCGAAGGTTGATGGTTGTGTTGCTGGTGATGGTGTCTCGCGCCGCCTCCGCTAATGTTGCCACCCGCGGTGCTGTTTGTCTGCAAAAGTGCCGCGCCTTTTTCTTATCGCATTTCTCTCTCTACATTTCGTGGAATTCAATGAGAGGAAGTTCTGGTGTATTCACACCAATGACATACATAAATGGAAGTAACACTTTGCTAAAATCGCAATAAGTACGAAATATATCGGCTAAAGTGTTGAAAACAGAACTTCTTCATTTTTTTCATAGTATAAATAAACAACTATGTTGTAGGTAAGTATGTCTCTGTCAACCAGAAATGACGGGGGAAGTTATCGTTCATGCGAAATTGGTAAAACCTATTTTTCCGCAAAAAACTAATTCTTCTCTTTTGATGAGGAAACGAATATGCTACTATCATATTGTTTGCAATTAGTCAGTAGAAGCACAGAAGTTTGGACAGCCGTGATAAAAACATATAACGCAATACTTTAGAAACAGTACTGATTTCATCCTAGTCAATCGATTTTAAATAAAGGTTTGTTAGAGTTTAATAGGTCGTCAAAAAATAGATTAATTAAAACTTATTTATTGCCCCAAAACTGTATTCTGATTTTTCTTTTAAAATTGTTCTGTTTGCTTTTGTACTTTTATACTTATGTGAATTTTGCTATTTATAGCATTAAGCTAAATAAATAAAATATTTATAATATTGCAAAGTTAACTCGGCTAAGAATAAACATTATGTCATAACTGGAAGCAAAATAATAATCTAACAATTTCCCAATTTAATAATAACAGAGAATTATTGCGACTCAGCGCACACTTAACTTTTCATTTATTTCAGTACCGTTATGAATTACCTTAAGATTTTTACTGATATAACACATAAGCAAATATGCCAATCGAAACAAAAGCACTTGATACAATGATGGCCGCGATACCGATCAATAAACAGGATATATCGATAAAGAGACAAAGGGAATCGAACATAGATAACACGTTACTCGAAAGGACAACAAAAATCATCCAATTTCTTTTTTCTTTTACTTTCCGATGCTTTTATTTTGGTTTTGGCTCATCTATCATCCTCATTCTAGTTTTAAGGATCGAGATTGAGTTCTTTTAATTTCGTTTTTGATTGATTTATATCCACACGATTACGATTACAAAAAAATTACTTACTGCGTCGAATACAAGAACTGTCAATGACCGGTAAAATTTCTTTGTGTCAATTGACTGAAAAATTTTTAAAAATACAATGAAATTTATATTTATTTATTATATATATTGTACGGTCGGTCGCCGTCGCGTCGTTCTGGGATTGGGTTATTGGAAATCCCAGACATCCGACATCACAACGGCGTAGTAATTAAAATAATGATAGATAACACTCTACCATTGCAAGATGTTATTTAAAACACTTTGATCGAATTTGACTAGTCAAGTAAGAAGTGGTCAATTGACGGGCAATTGACAACAATCAACACTAGCCATGTTGATTGTTATTGTTGTTGAGATGTCAAATAACAGTTCTTTTTGATGTTTCTTATTGTCGTCGCATACATCTAAAACATTTTAAGGGAAAATTTTGTACAATTTGACAAATGATGAGGATCATATTTAAATAAATATGATATTAAATGACATACGTGATGTTTCAAAAGAACATGTAGGTATACTGAGTAGTGTTGGAACTGGTCAAATTGACCACTTCTTAATTGACCGGTCAATTGACCACTTTTTAATTGACTAGTTAAAAATGTTTTAAAGAACATCTTGCAATTGCAAAATGTTACCTATCATTATTTAATAATAATATGTACTTTACAGTAGATTATTATGGGTTTCTGATGTCCAATTTACCTATTAACCCTCTTTAAGGAATATCCGAATACGATTGTTTAGGGCGATGTAACGCATAATATAAATAAATATATATAAACTTCATGGTATTTTTAAAATTATTTCGGTCAATTGACAGAAAAAAATACAGAGCCTAATAAAGAGTGCGTCAACAGATGGTAAGAGATGGGGAAACATCTTTTGACCAAAGTTCCAAGATTGATAGAGTTAACAAGTTAAAAATATTTTCAGTTATACAGAAATTTTTTATCTATTTTTAAATGGGAAGCTCTACATATTACCTCATCATCTGATGTGTCAGTGTCATAGTTGTGTCACATCAACCAACATAAGTCTCATAAAACTCAAGCTAGGGATTCATAATTAATACCATACTCAACCAAGGGCTCATGGTATGTACTCAATGTGATATTTTCACAATGGTCTATACAGGGTATCTGTTAGAGCCGTACAAATTTAAATAAACAAGCCCGGCCTTCCATTGGCTTAACAAACAATTTACTTTTTGAGATATTACTTTACAAAGCGCCTACCTGATTTGATTTGACTGTATTGCTTTAGGCAATGCAAAAGGCAGTCTTTTAGCCTCATGCTCAGCGTTATCCTCAAAGACACCATCGTCAAACACAAGTTTTTCCAGAATGTCTTGTTAGAGATTTTTAATATACGAAAAATTACAACTGATGACCTTACCGTTATAAACGTCAACTATAATTGACCATATAATTGCAAAATTACTTGACGTTTGAAGGGCGTATAAGACTATTAAAATTTTGTGAAAGCAATCCCAAGTTTTTTTTTTTTCGCGCGTCGATAATATTTTAACGGAATTTTTTTCCGTTACCAACGAGACCAAAAACTACACTGCAAAAATAATTACAAGCAATCAATAATTATATAGAAAAGTCGTTAATCGACGAAAGTACGCCGTGAAATCTATTAACTAATACCCTGGATAAACGTTTATCTTCCACCTTAAATAAGTATTTTATTTTATCTTATATTACGTAAGCGAAAACTCCGGTTTCAAATATATAGAGTGGGTCGGGTTGGTCGAGACAGGAAAACATTTTTTTGAAAAATAGTCCTTTTAAACATATCTTTCAAAATACTTCGTTTCAAATTTCAATATGACTCTTTTTTTATTCAAATAGTGAGCACAAAATTAATAAATTAAATCTAATATGGAGTTAAAATGATCCTTTAACTAGATTTCAGGATATCTGAATTTTGTCTTGAAAAACCTAGTACAATAGCATAAAGTTCGCCCGACCATATACCGTTTTTACAACCTTTTATGCTTTTGACTTCGGAATGAGTTTAAGAGAACCGCCTGTTGTAAGATGTTAGCCGACAGGAACTGTGCTGTGCGGACTGTTGTATTTTGAGAGTAGGGACATTTTATTTGATTAGATTCATATAATGCTTTAAATAAATCTTCCTAAATCAGTCCCTAGTTGAAATAGCTCGATTTCAAGTTGAATTTGCCCATTAGATAGGTTGATATAGCATATTAAAAAGACATTAAAAACCTTAAACTGAAATGTGGGGTTTGGTGAAATCGAAATCCGCTGTCAGTTTTATGAAATAGTATTTTCTTAGCCGTCGAAGCTTTCTAGTTACTCCTATTCGGTCTAGTGTTTGTGATTAGTAATTACCAACTTACTGTTATTCAATTGTTTTTCAAGACACAGTGTACCATTTTTATTGAGGTACCATATATACCATATATTCCAATATTGTTTTATAGCTAAATTTACTCCATCGTTTTTATTTATAATAAAAGATTTTAAAGTAGGAATGGATTTTTCACTGCATGGGCTAATAATAATCGAGGAATCTCACCGATGAGACTCTACACAAAACCGTCACCTCTCAGCATTTGTATGCACGAAGTACCGAACTACGGTTCTGGAACATCATTGTGGAATTGCGAAACTGAGGATTACAAAGAGAGCGACGTAGGCCTGCGGTTAGACGGTTAGAAAATTTACGGTATATTGTTTGGCGAACTAAATTCATTTTTATTTTAAAATTTCATTTTTATAAGCTCTGAACAGTAGGTAAATGTTTGTGCGTTGGCAATTAAATTAAAAACTCTACTTACCTACCAGTATGACCATAAAAATACTATTTCGAGGCGCACTATACGATGTCTTACCTGGAACAAAAAAAGAAAAATTTACCGTTACACACAAATTTGGTAAGAATACATATTTATTATTGCTCGCTCGGAATTTTTGCTTTATTTACCGTTTTCAGATCGTAAAAGTATCAGAACACAATAGCCTTTTCTCTAATTATTAGATTCGTTTTAATTAGATCTAGAGATAGGATAAAACGGCGCCTCTCCATTTATCAAATAAATGCTAATTAAAACATCTCATTTCGACGGAAAATGACACATGAAGTAGAATAATTGAAACTAATTAGTACGGTGAATGTAATAAAATAAATATTTTCAACTCCTATATTAAATTAAATATTATGAAATTTCGTGCAGAAAATATTAAAATACGCACATCCTATTGGCAACGTCTAAAAAATCCAACAGGACGTTGTGATTTGCAAATGTATTAGTTTCTCATTCTCAATTCTCTATTTCTAGAAAACGTAATTGAAGATACCACCAAAAAGTAAAATGGTATACAATGTAATGAAACCAATTACGAAGAATATTTTATATTGAAGCCTAAAACGATATCTAGCTTTGTATTAACCAGTTAATGTTTAAACAAGACAACTTCAAGAAATATTAAAATAATTTCAACTTCTGTTAAAAAAAATACTGGAATGGAAACAAATGGATCGGTTTACAGAAACACGATTAACGAAATTAAGATGCCATTTTTGAAAACGTATTTACTAATAATACCCAATAGTGTTTTCGCAGATAAATGGTTTCGGCTTATTGAATCCAATAAAACTGACTGACCCGTTGTGTGGGAAGAAAAAATAATATTGATATAAAAGGTTTCTTATGTTGTCTTTTGTTGCTTTCGACAAATCGATTGATTCGAATTTTCCGAAAGCACACGCGCTCGGCAACGAAACTCATATCTTGATAGCGGGAGGTCCTAGGGCAAAAAAAATTTTTTTCAATGTCTGTCCGTTCCTCGTTCTCTGTCGACGCTTCATAAAACGTGCACTGAGATTTGGCTATTTTTAAACGGTCCACGAGATACGCGACCCTAAAGAAATGGCCTCGATCTG